TAATCTTACTATTTAGTTTATAATTATACCTAAACCTCTATTTTAAGATTATCTTAGTAGTCTACTAACTCTCTCCCTTTAACGAGCTCTAACTAAGGACTTAAGCTTAGTATCTATACTAAGTAAGATTCTAGAATTAACGAACCGATCCTAATATTTATAACGTCGATAAGTTAGGTTTTGCTATTAGTATAAGTTAAACCTCTTAAGTACTTATAAATATAAAAGATAAAGTAAGTTAGAAGCGTATATCTAGGCGATAAAAGTAGATTATAGCTATCGAGTATATTCGTACCTCTAGAGAAGCTTTACTACCGCTTCTTATTTTTAAAGTAAAATATATAAATACTAGATAGATACTACCTAATATACTAGCGAATTAGCGCTTCTCTATAAATAATAGTAGCTAGACGAGCGACTCGTATACCTATAAGTAGATTTCTACTTTATTCGACTTAGAAATAAAACGAGAAAATAGCTAGTATCGACTTCTACTACTCGATAGATATAGCTCGTACTTAACTTCTTAATTTATCGCTTATTATCTTAATAACGCGATAGATCTTATCTATTTACTACTATACTTATTATATATTTTATAGCCTCTTAACGTCGCCGTTTTTAGTCCGTTAAAACGAGCTTTTATTAAAGAAACCGACTCTCTCGTTTACTTTAATTCTAGCTAGATATCTCGAGTCGAGTAGATTTCTACTTATATTTAAGTACGAGAGTAAGCTATTATAATATTAAATATACTCGCTAGTTTTCGTAAAAGCGGTATTTTACCGCTTAGTCTAGTTATCGTTCTCTCGACTCTCGAAATACCTAAAGCTTCTCGTACTCTCTATAAGCGTCTCTATTAATAACGACGAATATACTCGATTACTCGCTTCTTAATAGCTCGCCTCTAGATAGTACTAAACTATAATAAGTAAACTTAGTACTTAATTTAATCGTCTAGGAGAATAAAATACTCGAAAGCCTAGTTAAGCGATATATCGCTCGAGCTACTACTACTCTCGAAAAGTCGAATTCTAAGAATATACTTTTACGAAAAGAGAATATCGAATAACGAGAGTTTCTCGAGACTCGTAAAAAACGAACGAAAAGGAAACGAGTTACTTTAGAAGGGCGTTTTACTTTTAATATAGAGGAAATTCTCGAAATCGCCTAGTAAGCCGAAGCGGAGATAGCGAAGAAAATAACTCGTAAACGGAAGCGGAACGCCTCTCCGAGTCCGGAAATCGAGAATATTATCGAGGAGGTACCCGAGAACGAGGATAGCGATAGTAAAAGTAGCTATATTACTATAGCGTTACGTAGATAGTCGAGAGTATCGAGGATTCGAGGCTTATACGCAGCTTCACCGTCTGCGCAGCTTCCCTATCAAGTACGTTATCTACACGCCTGGATAGCTGCATGCCCGGATGTCGTCAGCACGGCATTCGCGCCGAGCGCGTGTAGCTGGTCTTGCGCTTGGATGGCATGAAGATTGGCGAGGAGGGAATTGCGCTCGGTGAGGAGGTTTCGAATCCCGTAACGTTCGTGGTGATGTTCTGGATGAGCGAAGTGAAGAAGGCGACTTCGAAAATCTCGTTGAATGCGATGATTTGCCAGACTGTTGCTGATATAGGGGAGATTTTGGTGGGGAGAGGAGAGTTGGGGAGCGTGCCGTGAGCTTGGTCTTCGATTGCGGTCAGCGTCGTGGATAGGATGGTTACGTTTGGGAAGCCGTTGGTGAGAGGAAAGGAGAACCCGGTAGTTGAGATGTCGGATGAGCTGGCTGGGGAAGATTCTTGTGCGATGGGTACGGCGTGGGCGAAGGAAAGTAGTAGTGGCAACGTAGCAATTAACTCGTAAATGGAGAGAGGCGACATTTTGCCAAGGGAGGGAACGATTTCTGGTAGAGATGTACAAGTCTGGATGAAGGACGCAAGGCTGGGAGTCGGTGCACAGGACTTTTATTCGAAAGAAAGGCTGAAAGGGCCACCATACGGTTACTCGGGCACCTCATGAGGTGTACCACATTCTCAGCGCGTCGTTTAGCTATCGACAAGAATAGTAGCTGAGGCGTTGTTCACGCGGGCAAGACATGAAGATTTGTAACATGTGCCTAAGCGGTCGCTAAAGTCAAAGACTGCCTTGTATGAATCAAGATTCGCCGTGCCCTATAGATAAGTGCAGAATCCTCCAGGGCTGATAAGCGGCCGTGTACTCTTTGACGCGCTAACAATATTGCCCCTGGCTGCACTGCGAGGGAGTGAAAATGACGCGGGTCGCCTTCGCGATGAGACTGAGCACTTCTCCCCACGACCTCCATCGACAAAGATGCCAGACTGCTACTTCAATCAATTCGGTGAACAAATCTGCGTGACGGCGACAGAGTCCGCTTGGCTCAGATGGGGCCGGTGGGTGCTCCTCGCGATTGTACTCAGCGTGGTTCTCATCAGTATCCTGAGTGTTCTCATCTTGCGGTATGTTTGCAGCCATTTATCCTGCTTGGTCGCCGTCTGACAATTGCGCAGAATCAGATCTCGTGCCCGCTACCGTAAGATCACGAAGAGTCGCCAGAGAGGCCGATTGAATCAGGGCGAAACAGTTGAAACAGGACTACCACCACCATATTCGAGCCCAGCAGCGCAATTGCTACAGGAGGGAGCTACTACAACACATCGAGATGTTTGAAGGGGAAGAATTCCCGTTGATCGCGTGTCAAGCGGGATCCTGCGTAGGGCCAGATGGAGTGATGATGTCTGCAGTAAGTTAGAGCTAGCTGAAATGAGAACCTCGCGTGTGCAATGAAACCGCGCCGACAAGCGGCAAACTTTGAAAAGAGTCGCGATACGATGACAGAGCGTATCTTGATCCAGCGGAGCTACGAAGTAATTGGTCCAGGGTGATGCATGCTGCCACAGAGTGCAAGGCGGCCGTTGAGGGAAGAAAATAGGGCACAGACTGTGATGCGTCAGGCTCCGTGGACAATCCGCGGACGATGCAGAAGCGTAAATAGCCTTACCCCTAAAATCATGGATGACGAGTCACGACTCATTTGTAATGCATTTAGCGAAAGTTTGATACGTGCAGATTGGGTGTATGCCGTCCTGCTCGGTTCGCAACATTGCCTCACCGTGTTGATCGAAAGTGGCATTGCCACAGCATTGACCAAAAGATTCTTTGGGTCAGACGGTCAATCTTTCTACACATCGTTGCCGACGAATCTATAGTCCCATGCATGCAAGATTTAATTCGCTTCGGGCCAACGCCAATGAGTATCCACTCTCCCTGTCTCCCGAAACGCTGTGACTGAAGACAAGCAAGAAACGTCATGGAACGCCATTTGCACGCAGGCAAGATATTAGCCTGTAGTATGGCAAAGAAAAAGCAAATCACGGGCGATACTTTGTGACAGAAATTAGTGAGTCCCAGTAGATCAAAAAGGCCGGCTCTGAAGCAGAACGTCCCCTTCAAATGGAAGATTGATTTCACTGCAGTATAGCTGCGAAATAGTGTCAGAGAGAAGGCCGAAGGGGGCTCCATCTCAACTTCGTTTAAGCCAAGAAGAGAACGAAGAAGGAATTGCAAAAATTCGGCCACAAAAGATGTCGATAAAAGACTTCAGTTACAAGACCGTCTGTGTTCTTATACAACATCACTATGAGCCTAAGAGAAGTTTGACCTGTCTCATGTGTCAGGCATAGACATTCGCCGAAGGACGTTGACGTCCGTTTGAAAACGATGTACCCAGCCATTCATGAACTTTATGTATCATCTACTTTCATATGCTGACCTCGTCATCCACTACATGCATAATGACATTTACTATGCGCCGGGTACAGATCCATGATGCTAAGAAGCTTGATCCAATATGTCTATCCATGTACACAAGGATTATGAAGGACAATTTTTCCACTAGCGGTTCACGTGAATGCCAAGACCAAGTGAATGTTTAGAAAGACTACCTTGCATCTTGTTGACGTGTCAATCTTAGCACTTTAGTTCTCTCAACTGTTGAAAAGCACTAATAGTTGTTCGCTGTTAGAGCTGTTGGCGCTCGTCGAAGAGAGACGATCGAAGGTAAGCGACCTTGCATTTAGCGGACCAGGAGCAGGTCATTCTCGTATCGCTTCCTTCCTATGGGGCACTTGCTATGGCCATTCCAACTTCAAGGTCCATATATGGGGCGTTCCGCCACTTGATACTGTACACGAACAACTTGCCTTTTACATAATGTTCGACAGCATCATCGGCACCCCTTCTTTCGTCTCGAACATCTAAAGCTCAAAACATTCAACATGAGCCTTCTTGAGGAAATCAACAACCCATCTATTCAGCAGCTGGCACATCAGTCACTTGAAATTGGTTGCGTGCCAAAGTGGCTGTATGGGGCAGATGCTGCGGGTCCAGGGACGGAAGGAGCAACAGCACCTCGTCAAACCTCCGCGGTTTCCTCCGCACTCCCGCTCCGCACCTTTTGCCGTTGCCTCAAGTAGCGTAAGCAGTCTCGGCTTCAACGTAAAGCACATTTGAAAGCGCCGGACTTTGTAGCCCTGACAATCATGAAACGGTGTGTGCACGTCTCGGGTTTTGTTCCTAAATCAACTGTCGGCATGCAGTGCAAAGCGGCATCAATCCGCGTCGTGCTTTGTATATACGGGCATAGTGGTCGTCGAAGATGGAACCTTGTGTGCGATGTTACGTTTGATCGACTACTACCATTGTGACAATCGAGACTTCCCAGAGAGACATTCCTGAAAGCATCGAGGGAATAATCGAGGGAACAGCTACTCAGCATGGAGACCGCTAACGATGCAACGGTGAGTACTACCAGCCTCAATCCACCCGGGCACAGCTCATCTACCGACGAGGAACTCCACCAAATCGAAGAAGAACTCCATGTGGAAATTCTTCCCGGGACAGAGATCATGAGGGGTAAGGCTTCGAAAGTGTGGATGTCGAGAGAGCAGAAGGGACTAACAACCCAGACATCGGCTCTCACCACTTCCTGAAGAAGGGATCTTCACAAGTCTTGGTTCCTCAGCCTAGTGCTAACAAGAACGATCCGTTGGTGAATATGAACCTGCCCAAGAGCCTTGTTCGGGTGTTCTAACGAAGTACGTTGCACAGAACTGGAGCCTCTTGTGGAAAGGCCTATCCATCGCTACAGCCACGACAGTCTCTTTCTCCCAAGGTCTAGGATCCCTGGCATTGGCGCCCATGTTCCCGGACTTGATCGAGGCCTTTGATAGCGACCTCGCTGGAGCGGTACAGTTCACGGGAATTACTATGTTGGTGTTGGGGTTTAGCAATTTCATCTGGTAAGCTGAACGCCAATCTGCTTGATGTTGTCTCATCTACTGACTAGTGTGTGCTAGGGTTCCCATGAGTACTGCCTTCGGCCGGAGACCGGTATACTTGCTCTCACAGCTCATATCCCTTGGTTCTTGTATTTGGCGTGCTAGAGCGCAGACGTATGGGAGTTTCATGGGGGCTTGTGAAATCCAGGGAATTGGGGCTGGGCCTGCGGAGACGATACAACCTGCTGTTATAGCTGATGGTATGGACAGCAAACCAAGGCCCGTTTTGCTCTATACTGACTTCGTGGACTAGTGTTCTTCCTACACGATCGAGACTTCTGGAATTCAGTCTATTGGACCACGTATATGGGTAGCCTTACAGTGGTTCGTGGCTTTATTGTCGCAAGGTGAAGAGGCCCAAAGGCTGATGCGTGTTCTTAGGGTCCAATCATCTCTGGCTCAATGGCACTGCATACCGGTTGGAGAAGCTTTTGGTGGTTCAACACAGCCCTCATCGCCGCGTCGTTCTTAATGGCCCTGTTCCTGTTTCCAGAAACGAAGTGGGATCGAGTGAAGGCCACCGAGATACCGGGCACCGACAAGTCCTCGCAAGAGCATACTTTGGAGAAGATTGAGCATAAACAAACAGAGGACTTGCAAACCCCAGACCTCATCGTACCAGATCCGTTCCCTGGAGCGAAAGAAGAGAAGGAGGATATGTGGCTCGGCAAAGGACGACCAAGCAAACAACAGTGGGGCTTCTTCCAGCCTTGCCCCAACCTCTTCTCAACCCTCTTCGTCGCCTTCTGGACACCCTGGAAGCTTTTCGTCTTCCCGATTGTCGAATTCGCCGCCTTCGTCGATTCCTGGAGCGCCAGCGCCTTTCTAGTCGGAAACCTCACGCAATCCCAGAACTTCGCGGCTCCACCTTATAATTACAATACCGAAGAGATTGGCCTGTTCAACATCGCCATCCTCATAGGCGCCTTCATCGGCCTCGCCACCGCTGGCCCGCTCTCAGACTACGTGAGTGCGCGTGCAACGAAGAAGAAAGGCGGCATCCGCGAACCGGAAATGCGTCTTCCGGCAATGATCCCTTATGTCCTGATCATGATCCTCGGCAGCTTCGTTGTCGCGTACCGATACCAGCAGAAATGGCCCTGGCAAGCCATCGTCGTGATCGGATACGGCAGCACGGGGATCCAGATGGCGGCACTTCCGGCTATCGCGAATACCTATGCGGTAGATTCGTATAAGCCTGTTGCGGGGAGCTTGATGGTGGCTATTACGGTCAATAAGAACCTCTGGGGGTATGGCCTGAGTAAATTCATCACACCTTGGGTTACGGACTCGGGGTTCGTGAAGCCGATCTTGACGAATGTGGCGCTTATCACGTTCTGGTGTGCGTTTGGGGGAGTGTTCTATTGGAAGGGGAAGACGATTAGGAGGTGGTCGAAGAATAGCTCTGTGCATCGGCTGTGATTACGAAGTGAAGTCTGGAATATGGGTTGAATCATGGAGCTGGATTTTATTTGAGAAGGATAGATACGTGTTAAAGTTCTACATAGGAGAGTGTTCTGAAGGCCCTGTTGGCTATCATCTGCTCTAGTCACATGCTATCGGATCGAACAAGCGTATGAGGCAGGTGCTCTTCTTACACTCCCTCCTTGAGTCACACACGATGGTTGCTTGTGACGGTTCTCTTCCTGACTCTCCTGACTCCTCTATTGGCATTACTTCTGAACCTTGACAAGCAATCACAACGCCTGGTCCTCTGCACGACTCCAAGACTTCTGCTGAAGTCTCTTTCAGACAAACTTCTCTTCCATTATTCAGCATTTCGAAACAATCGGCATTTCCTTCACACTCTCGGCAGCAGTCTCACATCCACAAAATGGACCCAAACAACCGCATCACCAAAGACACCTCTTCCCGGAAGAACACCCCCTCTTCTTCAACCACCATTCACTCAGCCATCGAATCGGCCGCCATGCTCGCCTCCCGCGAAGCCTACACCAAGAGCATCTTCGCCGGCTACCAGGATAAAATCGCCACCATTGAATCCGAACAACAGACTCTCATCGACGAAGCCGTGAACAGAGCAGTCATCGCCTCCAACGACCAGATCCAGAGACTGGAGGAGACAATCAGCCAGCTAAAGACAATGGTACACGACGGCAAAGCCCAAGTCGCGAACGTCCAGAACGAAATGGCGGGAAAGACGACGGCGTTCGAGAGGACGATCCGGCGTTTGAACAAGCAGCTCGAAGTGGGACCGAACTCGTGGTTCGAGATCCACGTTTCGGGCAAGTCGCGGAAGACGAGGACGTACGTCAAGAGGCCTGGGGCGCCTTTCAACGATACGCTGGCGGATTTGGCGAAGGATTGGAGTAAGACGGTTGATTATATGCGGTTTAAGGTGGGAGCGGGGGAGGTTTTGGGGAAGGATAGGAGGATTTTGTTGCAGGTATGTTGATGTGTGCATGGCTTTGATTTGAGGACTGGGGCTGACGAGGTTGAATAGTTGGGTGTCAAGGACGGGGAGACGATTGAGTTTCTGGCGTGAGCATTTCGAGTCAACTATACTGTGGACGGAGAGATGACGTGAGATTTCAGGCAATTGGAGAAAGTTGAGGTTGTTGACTTGACGGCGGACCAGGACACCAGCAATGACAAGGACTTCTCCCGTTCTCCATCAGTGCCTGGCCGGGGGTGAAGCTTCAGGGATCGAGTTGTGTCTTTCTAGAAGTTTACTCTACCGAGCATGTATCTCTAGCATTTGATATCCACAGTCCGAAAGCACTCACAAGAATAGCTACCTCAGAGACCTCCTCAAAAGCCAACTTCAAAGATTACTCCGATCCCCTCTTCCCCTTACCGGAGGAAACGTCTGATCCAACAACGCACTCTTCCCATGCTCCGCAAGCGCCAACATCTCCCCCGTCTCCTTCTCCCTCACCACACACTGCGTCACAGCTAAACAACAACACCATCAGCACAACCCCCACCACTCCCAACAAAACAAAGTAACGCAGCAGCCGCAACGAAAGGAAAGGAAGATCTGCAAAACTCACAAAGCCGCCTCCCAATACTCCTAACCTCACAAACGACCTCCACCACGCCACCCACCTTCACAGGCTTGAGATACGTAACGCTCAACGTCCGCGACACGCCGCCGAATTCCCAGAAGCCGCGCTGGGAGAGCGGGGCGGTCGCCATTGTTGTGGCCATGTCTGCGAGGGTGGCGACCGCGCCGCCGTGCATGTTGCCCATGGGGTTGCAGAGCGCGGGCACGACGGGGAGGGCGAAGGTTGTTGTTGCGAGGGTTGAGGATGCTTGTGGGGGGTTGGGGTTGGGGAGGGAGACGGACGCGGAGATGATGTGGAGGGATTTCATGAGGGTGGATTCGAAGCCCTGGATTTGTTCAGCCTCTCATTAATATGTCACAGCCCGAGGAGAATTTATCGGATGGTATATATGTCGTCAGACGAAAACATACCTCATACTCCTCATCATTCCTATACGTATCGATATACGCCTGAATGCGTTCTTTCGGATCCGAGATGGAGACATCGAAGCCGATGGGGCCTTTGGCTGTTTTTGCTGGCATGGTTCGGGTCGTGAGGTCGAGTGTGGTTGTTGCTCGGGTATTGTTGGGGTTCGTGCTTAGCCGAACGAGGGATTCGCTTACGAGGTGATCGGCATGAGCTGTGGGGTTTAAGGTTTGGGGCTAGTTGAGCTGCCATGAGAGAGCGACGAATTCGTCAGGCGTCAATTCATCATGTCATGAGTCTATGGCATACAATAGCCATCTATCAAATATTCCCCGCCGGCCCCTCCCCGAAATCGTCCTCCTCGTCTCGCACCCTTCCACGCAACCTCCTGGCCCTCTCCTGGTCCTCAAACCTCACCTCCCGCCTCTCCCTCCCACCAAAGCCCTCGGCCGGATACGGCGGTGGCCGATGACTCCCTGGACGTAAGGGATCCACGGGCGTAGCACGGATATGTACGCCAAATACCCTCGCGGTAGGTGTCTGTGGGTAGCGTGCTGTTGAAGGGCCTATTTCGGGGTCTGTGGCAAGAGTCTCTTCAACGATGATGCCGGGTTGGGGTCTTGTCGGGTGAGTGGTTGTCGTTGTTGTTTGGGAGATGTGGACGTCGGCAGCAGCAGCAGCAGCAGCAGGGTCGACGATGGGAGTGTTTGGGACGACAGGATCGGCGAGTGGGGTCGTTATACGAGGAGAGGTTGGCGGGACGACGTGGTTGGGATGGAGGCTGTCAGGTCCTTCGGGACGATAGGTCTGTCGCCGTGTGCGAAAGGGGTCGTGAGGTCGATACGTTGGAACGGCGTAATCGTTCCTGACAGGGTCATCGTATGCAAGTCCATCGTTGCCACATCCACCACCAGGACGAGGGCCACTACCGGAAGGGCGGCGAGGCATAGGGGAAGCCGCTACTCATCATCAACATCCACTCCTTAACATCGCCCACGGACAGGCAGTACGTACTTACCGCCACCGAGGCCACCCAAATCCCCTTCATCGCCAAACCTCCTCCGTCGTTGCCACGGCTGCGGTCCTCCAGCCATATTCCCATACGGGTTCAACATATGAACATCCTCGTCAAACTCATCGCCATGTGCGAAGTTTCTTCTCCTTCGATGTGGGAAGCGAGGCGGAGGAGCACCGGGATCCATCATGTTGTTATGCATCGGCATCTGAGGAGGCATCTGAGGCATCTGCGGCATGCCATTCGGCATCCCACCCATCCAATTCATCCCACCGCCACCCATATTCATATTCGGCCCACCACCCATCGGCATCGCAGGAGGAAAGCCTGGATACGGCGGCGGCGGCATGCCCATCCCAGGCATATTCATGTTCGGCATGCCCATCCACATCATTCCCCCACCCCCACCAGCACCAGCACCACCCATCTGCGCCATCTGCGCCAACTGCGGCCACATCTCCTGCAGCATCCTGAGCACATTCCCCTGAAACATCTCCTTCCTCCTCTCCCTCTCGCTCCCAAAAAGAAACGCATCCCGCTCCTCATTGCCCCTCGAAAACTCCTCGTTCAGTCTCCGAAACCTCTCCTCCATCTCCGCTTGCATGCGGTCGAACTCCCCCCGTCCCACACCCCCTCCACCCCCACCATACATCCCCATCCCAGGCATCCCCATCCCCATCCCCTGAACCCTCGCCCTCCTCCCCATCTCCCGCCCCTGCCACTCAGCAAAAAACTCCCCAAAACGCTCCATATCGCGCACATTCCACTGACTCGGGTCCTTCCATGCAGGCCAACTGCCCCCTCCAGCACCTCCCCCTCCACCATTCATCAGCTGCGACATCATATCAAACCCGTCGTGCCACCGTTCCCGTCCGTCGCCGCCGCGCTCGACGTACACGTACCGGGAGTCGCCGCGGTGGTGCGAGCCTTTGCACCAGCAGCGGTCGGGGGTGCAGCGGAGGAGGGTCTCGGAAGGGAGGAAGAGTTCGGTTTTGGAGGGGTAGAGGCCCATTGATTTCTTTCTTTTTCTTTTCGAGTTTTTGGAGTGGGAGTTGGTACAATGATGGGTGAAGGAGGTAAACGGAATTTTCGAGGGAGAGCCGAGGGATGAAAAGGGATGGAAAGGACAGGTCGGTGAGGAGAAGCGGTGCGAGGGAGGACCGGAGACCTTGTTCCGTGACCGAAGAGACGGTGAGGGAGGGAGCATGGGAGACACAATCGGGTAGCAAACAGAACTTGCATGAGCCAAAGAAAATAGCGAACCGCAGGCAGGCAGGCAGGGCAGGCAAAAACACAAGGAAAAAAGGCGGGAAAGGGGATAGATAGTCGGAAGACTCTCGTTCCAAACTACGGATGATTGCACAAATTCTGCGCGAGCACGCGCCCAACGGCTACGTGCATGGTGGTGTGTGCTACTTGTTTCTTGCATGATCAGCTGCTGATTGTGTCACGGCCTCGTGACAATGCAGCTTTTTGCCTGCCTGGCCCCAATCGCAAAATGCAAATGCAAGTGATCCTGAACCAAACACCGTCGCTTTGCCCACGCTATGCATTGAATCATGAAATTTCACTCGCTGGTTCTGTCGAGTTGTTTTGCTGGTGATCGAAATTGGTTGTCGAGATAGGGAGAAGTCTTGCTGGTGGTCTGTGATGGTGGTGGTGAAACTCTCGCGAGGATGTTGTGCCGGCCCATGCTACTATAAAAGTAGCACGAAGCTCCTGCAACAACCACCCCCACGAGTCTCACTATCGTCAAGTCTCGAGCTCCTGCAATAACTGAATTTCTTCAGTTATGCCGGCCCAATACTATCAAATAGTAAGAACGCTTCACACACCACACCCCAAACAAGCAGTAATAAACCCCCTTTCATCAACATCAAAATCGTTGTTCTCATCATATCGTAGTCCTCGCGGACTTCTTGCGACGGCTCTCGCTCCGCCTCTTGGACACCCGGAATGACCGCTCGACCCGGTCAGGCATCTCTGCGCTCTCTCGCTGCTCACTCATCTCCTTCTCCTCTTTCTCGCGAAGCACCTCTGCGAGTGCCTTCTTGCCCTTGCGCTCGAAGCGCTCTTCTTCTGGGTCGATGAAGCGGTGGATCAGGCGATGATCGAGGATGCGCTCCTCTTTGTCATGCTTGCCTTCCTTGTCCGTCTTTGGCCAGTAATATCCATACAGCTTGCTGTGCCGCTCGCATCGTGGGCATGCAATGCGCGTCTGGTATGCCTCTGGCTGGACAAAGTGCTCATCGCAGTTTCTGCATTCCACCCATCTGTGGTATTGAGTGACCAGTAGCGCCTCGCAGAGATGGTAGTCGCCTGGGGTGCGTGGTTCTCCACGTCTGATTTCGTCACCGTCCTCTTCGGATTCGGTCTTCTCGATGCTGGTGACAGCAGGCTGGGATCGATCGACACGTGCGCCGCGAGGGCTCTTGCGAATCGCATCTCGACCTCGATCACCCTTTTCAGGAGAAAGAAGCGCGGCCTCGACAGTCTCCTGCGTGGTGGTGGTTCGCACCTGGCTCTTCGATCGGGTCATGGTTGTACGCGTCTTCGTCACCTTGACCTCTTCTTTGATGGCGGCTGACTGGCGCAGCTCGGAATCAGGGCCGCTGGTAAGCATGTCGCAAATGCCTTGTGCAATGTTGCCACCGCTGAAAGTGTCTAACGACGTTGCGCTGGAAGCGTTTGAGAGGCCAGAAGAACTCTCATTGCCGTTTGACGATGGCGAGCTCGGGTCTGTAGTGGTGTTGTCCACGACTTCCTCCGGCTGCTTTGGGTGCTTAGGTGGTCTGCCGCGCCCGCGCTTCGCTGGTCGCTCGACTTCTGCTGCTGATGATTGCTGGGTGCTGTCGTCCTCATCACCAGCGTCGTTGACATCACGCTTGCGCTTTGTTGACGGTCCAGCTTGTGGAGCAGGCGATGCCTGGATGCTGTAGACATTCGTCTCATCGTTCGCATTGACAACATTGCGTAGGCTTGAAAAGCTTCGTTCTTTCTTCACGGGATGCAGTCTCGACTTGGTGCTGTCAGATGGACCAGACTGGTCTTGTGAGGCCGAAGCATCCTGATCTCGAATTGAGTCGGAGCTGTCGTTTCCGCGCTCGCTGAAGCTGGGTCGCTTTGATGCGCTGGTGAATCGTCCGCGTGCGCCACGCACGGTGGTACGGCCGTTGCTCAGATGCTCAAGATCTTCCTCGGTATCCGTCATGTCAATATCACCGTCTCTGTCTGGTTCAGATATCGTCTTCGGCGTGGGTGCGTTGGATCCGGATGATACTGATGGATCGAAGAACGTCCTGTTGCGAGCCTCGCGGTCTGCAACACGGCCCAGAATTCGTACGATCTTGTCGAGGATGGGGTCGATGCGTTGCTCACGAGTCATTTGAGGGTAGAACTTGAGGTTCGCCAATTCGCCGTTCGCTGACTTTGTGCTCTTCTTCGCGGGTGCAAGTGCAGCCTTTGCTCTGGAATCAAATCTTGCGTAATCTTCATCTTCTTCGTCGTCTTCGAGACCAATGGTCGCTGCAAGGGCCTTGTTCTTCTTACGCTTTGGCTCTTCCTCTCTGGCAATCTTTCGTGGACGTCCAACTGGTCGCTTCGATGCGCCAACCTCTTCGGTCTCATCGTCCAGTCGCTTTCTCTTCTTTGGCGGACTTGGTTCGGGCTTTCTCTTAGGAGTGGGCTTTGCCTCATCCTCCTCCTCCGATTCTTCATCACTGCTGTCTTCTGGCAGGATTGGGCCCAGCGGATCCCATCCGTTTCGAAGCATGCTCTCGCACGTGCGGCATAGACACTCTCTGTTGTCTTCACCAAAATAGTCCTCGCCGTAGTTGACGGTAATCTCCTCTCCAATCTCAATGTCCTTGCGTGCAACAATGTGGATTCCGTGAGGTCCTGTCGTGTTGAGACTTGCATTTGATTTGCAGTCGTGGTTGGCAAAACGTGCTGGGCCAAGGAATAGCGATGGTCGCTTTCGCCGACTGGAGATGACTATACTGAAGTCTGTGCCTTGATTCAATTCCTTCTCTTCGTCTTCAGACAACTCCACCTGGATGCCTGAGAGGTGCTTGATCGATTCGCCCTTGCGAATATGCTTCCTCGCTACCACGCAGGCCTCTGCCGTTGCAATGGTATAGCGATTCGTGGTACTGACTTCAAATGGACAGTCCGGGTGGTATGTGTTGATGTACTTGCGCAGATGGCGCACAAAATGCTCCTTCTCATCTTCGGTCTTGAGACTCCTGTGATACTTTTTCAAGCCTGGCAATTGCAAAAGCTTCTCTAGGCCGGTGGCCGGATCTTTGTCGATAATGACATGCGTTTGTAGAATCTTGACGACCTCCTCTTCTTGAACGCCGCGGCATGCGTGGTAATTGCCTTTCAGCTTACGGATGATCGACCAGAAATAGACCTGCATTCGGAAGATTAGCCAGCTGTACAGACACTTGCTGTGAGTGAAGACATACCCGGTCGACGAGTGCGTCTGTTATTATGTCGTCGTAGTTCGCGAGTTGCGAAAGTGTAAGGCCGCCCTTCTTGTTCAACGCCTCCTCGAGGTCGGCGGCTTGGGGCATTTTGGCGGATGCGCGGTGGTAAGGACCGACATGCAAAAGGAACGGGTCGCGTGTGTGGAGATGTGCGATGCGCGTGTGGTGTATGAAGACAGGCGTGCGGAGAGGAATAAGAAAGTCGCTCGCTCAGGGCGGATTGACAATGGCGTGCATTCCAAAGGCGGCGTGGGCTGCTCGTTCGGGTGGCTTCTTTGGCGTGCTTTATTGCCAGGCGGAGGTGAGCATTGCCAGCAAACCGGCGGATGCGTGGTGGAGGGTGTGGTTGTGTGTCGATGCGGAACAAGCACGCGCAGAGGGGGAAGAGGTGGTGTTGCGGGCGACTATTGTCGCGTGAGACAATAGCAGAGCAAGACTCGGAGCGCGGCGGTGGTGGTCCAGTGCTGCATTAATCAATAGCGAGCAGCCGCTCCTTCCCAGCCACGCACCAACACGCGCCGCTTCCTCGAAACTCTAATTCGGCAAAGCAAGGGTGCTCCGCCGCGCTAGCCTCCGACTCTCCGACTCCAACATCTTGCGCCTCCATTCGCAAGCATTTCCACTTGTTCAAAGCCGTTCCTATACATCTGAGGGCTCGCCAGGCCCAAGGTCATTGTCAAGATGATTCAATTAAAGGTATGCGACCAGCGCCCTAACCCTCAGCTCATGCGCAAAGGCCTGATTCTATTTCTAGACCATGATGAACGTTATCGACAATTCCGGCGCCGCAGTCGCAGAATGCATCAAAGTCCTCAAGATGAAGCGCGCCGCACGGATAGGAGACCGCATCATCATCGTCGTCCAAAAGCAACGCAACTTCGGACCCGAGTCAGGTCCCGGAGGGTCAGTGTCAGTGTCTGCGGCGAACAAAGTACGGAGAGGGGATATCAGACACGCGGTGGTGGTACGGACGAGGAAGAAGGTGCAGAGGAAAGACGGGAGTGTGGTCAGCTTTGATGATAATGCGTGCGTGCTCATCAACAAGGGTGGAGAGCCCATTGGGTCGAGGTTGAACGGGGTTGTGGGTGCAGAGTTGAGGGATAAGAAGTGGAGCAAGATCCTCAGTCTGGCACCAATGCACTTGTAAAATACGGAGAGGGATGGGACGATATGGGCATGGGGAAACGGACATAGCGACGGAGTTGGTGGGCATATCATCTTGAATTTCGAGTTGCTTCATTGCGTGGCTGCGGGACTTCGTAGTCTCATGACAGCCCAAGATTCTTCTACCAAAAACCTCCAACGCCTCGCTAATCTCACTGATGGTTCTCTCCTCGAGTGTTTTCCTGGAACGTCTCCACGATTGGAGACGTGACCGAATCGTGGCGTCCGCTCCAGTATGGCTGCTTCGCATGCGACGAGCCTGATTCAAAGCCAGACTACTTCTTTGCATCAAGCGTCGACCACACGTGTTGGCAGTTGCAGCAGACGTAGAAGAGGGCCTGGAAAGAATCAGTAGCGGTCGATGTGGCGAGTATCCAATACATACCATCCCCGTCTCGGCAGTGCGCTGTTGGCTCTGGAAGAACACGGCATCTCGCTGGCCGCACTTGCTGCATTCTTCTTCGGCGTGTGGGAGCTAGACAAACCCAATCTGTCAGCACATGCTGCTGCATAGATATGACAAAGACAACGGCGATGCAGGTAGATGTGTGGACCTTCTCTTGCCTCCCCTAGGAAGCGCCAAAGCCAGCACCCGACAACGTTCGTTCGCGCTGCTCAGCTCTGACGGCTTCCTCTCCTTGCTCTTCAATCAACTCATTCGGATCCTCAACCTCGAGCGCTACACCGCCGTCTGAAGGCCCCTCACAGATCGGACAAAGGATCTCCTGACCACAGAGAGTGCACAACTCGGGCACGATATCCTCTCCCTCCACAACCACATCTTCCATGGGTGTGCCGTCGCGTTGGAAAGACTCGGATGCTCTTACCGTAGGATCCTGTGCGATGTCGTCGACGTTGCCAGCCGTCTCTTGGACGTTCTCCTTGAGCATGTTGCGCCAGATACAGCTCGCGTTGGCCTGTTCGCTGAACTGGCAGGTCCGGCATGCGAACATGAGGGTGTTGGTCATCTTGTCTTCCTTGGGGTAGAGCATGTTGGAACTGGTAGCACGTCAGATGCGACTCATCTTTGTATTCAGATGCGCGACACTCACCACTCGCGGCAGAAGCGGAAGCTGATCTTCTTCGCATCGTCGACCTTGTCCTCGGGGGCGGGCGAGGCCTCCATGTCGTAGCTGGCCATGTTGTGTCACGGCGCGGTGGTTGTAGAGATGTGTGGAAGTTCGAGACGTCCGAAAGTCGGGAACTGAGGTTGAAATGGAGAGTCGCGCGCCACTCGTGTCCGGGCGTCGCCACGGAAGCTAAGGAAGGAAGGGGCGGGCCGAAAGTCTCTGGTTTCGGAAGACGAAGCGGGGCACAGACAGTCACGCGTCGTTGCGGTGCTTGCACGGCAACGGAGTCAAAAGGGTTGCTGGCGAGGAGGATCTGAGAGAAAGTCCATATCACTCGCAGCGCCAAAAACAACAAAGGACTGCTGGCACATTCTGAGCTTCCCCAGAAAGCTTTCGACTGTTTTCATCCACTCACAGATCTCTGCAACGCCCACGCCCTCCGTCTTCCCCACACAAAATGGTAAGCCGCCCGCCAGATTGGTCTTTCGCTCGTGCCGCGTCACCTGATCATTATTGACTGACACTCATCTGCTTAGACCACTGGACTGCCCGCGGGCTGGGAGGTTCGCCACTCCAACAGCAAGAACCTGCCGTACTACTTCAACCCCGGCAGCAAGGAGTCGCGATGGGAGCCGCCGCAGGACACCGACAGCGAGGCGCTGAAGCACTACATGGGCCAGTATCACACTGCCAACCTGCGCTCTGATCTCGACGTCCAGCAGAAACTCGAGGGCAAGATCCGATGTGCTCATCTCCTGGTCAAGCATGCTGGCTCTCGGCGGCCTTCGTCATGGCGAGAAGCTGAGATCACTCGCTCCAAGGACGGCGCCATGAACATCATCCGCAACTACGAGAGCAAGATCAAGAGCGGCGAAACCAGTCTTGGAGACCTTGCCGTGACCGAGAGTGACTGCAGTTCTGCCAGAAAGCGAGGTGATCTGTAAGTCAGCTGGTTCCTTGTCCTCAATCGCACGTGCGACGCCGCACGACATTTCCTGTTTCCAAACGCCTTTGATCACATTTACTGATACATTCTGCAGTGGATTCTTCGGCAAGGGAGACATGCAGACCGAGTTCGAGCAGGCATCTTTCGGACTGAAGCCGGGTGAGGTATCGCCAATCGTCGAAACTCAGTCCGGACTTCACATCATTGAGAGGTAAGTTTGTACATCTGTCTCATCTGACCTCACGTGTTACCTAAACGCGCGTTTGAAAACCTGCCCACCCGCGTGCAGCAGTTCCGTCGCACGTTCGCATGCAGCGTTCCAGCTTTTCATTGTTTCTAACATTCTCTGTCCAGGCTCGAGTAGCTCCATCATCCCTACCGAGTAAACGAAATGTTGGAAGTATCGTTTCTTGCAGGAGTGTACTGCCGTAAAAGCAACACTCTGACCACTCGAACTGACTCACTGGACATGATAGCATGGGCTGCGATGTGTATGTGACTGGATTTCAGGGGGGAGGCACTGCAGGAGTCGGGACAAAAGATACAGTCATTAAAGCAGGGCTTTGAGGATAGGTCGGATCGTCGGGACCTGCGTGGCGGGTTCTTGGTGCGCAGAAAAGCCAACTCGTACCAAGTATCGTTCGCATGTTTGCATGGGTACAAGGGTACGCGGTCGAATCTCTCACGAGTTGTGTAGCAAAAAGCTGTCACGGAAATTCCCAGCCTTTCCACCGGCTACCACCTCTTACCTAGCATGCTTCGCCATAGTCACGAGAGAAGAATCCAACACAATCGTCACCAGCCTGTGCGCCGTTGGCTGAATCGGCACAGTCTCCGCGGACAGCAACTCTCATCATCATCGAACCGACGTGAAATCTGAAGCAGCACCAGCGTCATCCTGACCTTCACTCACCAGACGACGCTAAAAAGAAAAAGACGAACCTAAACCCCCGCTAAAACCTTAAGCGAGCAAGAACCCAGTGGAAACTCGACACAAGAATCCGGGGTAGAAGAAGAAGAAGTAGGTAGAGCATCACCTTCTTCTTTCCTGACCTGACCTGGCCGAACAGAAACAGCCGCCAGGAACTTTCCAGTTTTGAAATTCCATGGCCTGATCGGACCACCACTCGACTCGACTTCACCTGCCGCTCGCTCGCTCAACCTAAACTTCTTTTCTGCATTTAACACCACCCACCACGCTCCTTCACCACTGTCGCTCGTTTGACACTTGCAACCACCAACCACCATACCGTCACTCGCTCGTCGGCGCCAACAACTCAACTCACTTCAGAGCATTCAGTCGGTTTCATTGGCGGGTCCATGATTGCCTGCCATTGCTTGGAAACAATATCACCTACTGCGACCCCGATCTCCGCCTCGACCTCGATAACTCTAGGCAAGATCTCACTGGCACCATTCACTTGCCCTCGACAAGCCTAGCCAAACCACAAGCTCCACACTTCACCCACATCTTCACCACCTCAACATGGAGCGTCAACCAGCCTACCGCCGTCCCTCCTGGGCCCGCACCGAGAAATCCTACAAGTTCTACATGCGCAAGGACCTCGCCGTCGACCGCTCCCCCTGCTCCGACAACGGCATGGAGAACTTCTCCTACGACCCTGAACACCTCACCATCTGGCAGATGCCCGATCACCTATGTGAGCGCCTCCCTCAGCAACTCGGCGACGCCGTCAAGGACTGGGAGTACGCCGGCGCGGCCGTCTGCACCGCCCTCGAACGCATCAAGAAACTCGACCAGCAGGCCATCTACCGCGGCTACCCCGACAAGTCGAAGCACCACCTCTCGCGCCACACCTCGAACCAGTCGCCCGCAGTGGTCGGAGCCGACACGCCACCGATGAGTTCCCCCGACTCGCCCACCCCATCCATGTCCTCCTCCATCCTCCCCCTCGAGAAACTCTCCTTCGAAGGCCTCCCCCAACGCCGCACCAACATCCCCGGCATGGAATCCCCACCCTTCACCCCCCTCGACAGCAAAGCCTGCCCAACCCCCGTCATGCCCACCACGCAAAAGGACACCCACGCAGGCGCCATGCCCGACGCCTCCCAACTAGCGCGCCAGCTCTCCCCACTCAGCATCATCACCACCGACTCGAGCATCTCCCTCCCACCGCCCGCCTTCGACGAAAACGCCTGGGAAACATACCTCTCCGCTTTCAAAGCCGAGCTCGCCGACTGCAAGGAGCACGCCTGGCCGCGTTTCCGCGGGTACGGATACACGGTCGACCGGATGCGCGTCGAGCTGGGTCAAGGACAGGAGGCCGAGCATCGCGACGTCATGAGGGAGTTTCAGGAGTGGTGGGGCGAGATGAAACTCAAGGTGGGCGAGTATGAGCGGGAGGTGAGGGAGTGGGAGGTTCCGAGGATTGAGGTTGTGGTGCTGGAGAGGAAGGCGAGGGGGTTGGTTTGTTGAAGTGGAGGGTTTGAGTTTGAGTATGGCGAGTCGACAGAGGAGAGACGAGGGGTTTCTTTTGTCGGGAATGAATGGGACTCGGTGTTTCTTCTGTCGAGAGGAGTGTCGAGATGAAACGATTAGCGAAGGCGCTCATAAGGCGTCCAAGAGTTTTTGCTTGCTTTTACTGTTACTGTTTGTAGAATAGAGACGAACATACCTAGAAGGTATCGTAGGTGCAGGCGATCCGCAACGATCGATGGATGTATGGATGGTAGAGAGTCGTGACGCTGGTCGTTAGGTAAGCAGGAATAGGAACAGGAAATGCAAATATGGAATATCAAACTAATTCACGATTTCCTTTGGGCATCCTGTGTTGGCCATTTCATCTGTCTCGTTTAGATACATGTGGTCTCTTCGTGGATTCATCAACTCTTGGCCATCCCTCCCACATCCCCACATAACACCCAGATCCCCCCATACCTCCCTGCCACCCCCGATCCTCACCCTCCCCTCCTCCTCCTCCCCATGAAGAAAATCACAATCTCTGAACATGATTCCTCGGCCAAACCCCCACCCTCCCCGCAAAAACCCCAACCCCCCAATCCTCATTCAAATCCTCACACTCCCTGACCTCGGCGCCCGCAGGGATTACCAACTCATCCGCCTGTCCCTCCTCGGGAAACCAGGACCAGGAGGCGATGGCGCTGTAGCCGGTTCTATTCCCACTCGCATTCCCGTTCTGCTGGGACGGAGGAGGGGGAGGTGCGATGGTGGTAGGTGAGTCCTTAAGCCTCCATCCACCGACGGGGTCTCGTAATGTGATGCGTAGCTTGCCTCCCGCTAGGGGTGTGTCTTGATACCCGACGACGGCCATGCGGTGGTTGGCGAGACAGCGTCTCCAGCCCTTGGGGCCATTCGCGGAGGAGATTTTGCCGGCGGAGACGAGCGAGGTGTAGCATTGGTTGCAGACGTCGTAGTCGCCGGCGCTGCATTCGTAGCAGTGGAAGCGGGTGGAGTTGGGCGGGATGGGGAGGCGGCAGATGTCGCAGTCGGTGAGGACGGGGAGGAGGACGTAGCTGTTTGGGGGGAGGTGCGGGAGGGGGAGGTACCGGATGTCTTTTGGGGGGTTGGGGAGGGTGGTGACGTGCGCGGTGGGGAGGAGGGGGTGGGTGCAGTGTCGGCCTTGGAGGACGCAGGCGTTGCAGTAGCCCCAGGCGCCTGAGAGGCAGAGCTCGCAGTACCAGTAGCAGTCGTTGGTGGGGGTGAGGCAGGTTTCGCAGAAGGCGCCGGAGTGGAGGGTGTGTGGTGAGGTTTGGTCGTAGCGGCGCGGTGTGATGATGTGTGGGTAGTCGTAGGTTCGAGAGGAGTGGCCTTCTGGAAGCGCGGCTTGTTCGTAGCGGTACATGGCCATGAGTCCGAAGCCGAACCAGTGGTTGCACCCTCGGCCGGCGCGGTAGCATTGGAGGCATAGGTTGAAGTTGCCGTCGTTGCATTTTGAGCAGTTGTAGTGGAGTTTGGTCTGGATTTGAGGTTTCTCGCATCTTGAACATGATATGGAAGGCGGTGCTCTGCTTGCGGTTTCGGAAGTCACAGGTTCTGGGGCGAAGGCTGCTGTTGATACAGCTGGTCGGACGGACTGCTGAGGCGGAGTGCTGGTGGGAGCCGATGTTGGCGCCAGACTGGTACTCGTACTTGGTGGATTCGTCTGTCTTCGAGCAGGCTCACTCTCTCGACTCCTCGATCGATGTGAGTGGTTCGCGGCATCTGGTCTCAAGCTTCCAGACGTATTACGGACACGTTGGACATCGTTGCGCAGATTCGTCGGATCAGTCGTGCTTCTTGCGTTATTCGACAAGGCTCGTGGCCTTGGACGTTGGCTATCGTCGCTGGTTGGGTGTTGAGAGAGATCTGTTGCTGAGCGGGCGGCTGGGGCTACATTGTCTGTAGAAGTATTGCGATTGTAAGAGGTCTGTCTTCGATGGCTTGTGGAGCTCGCAGATCGACGTTCATTCCGCTCGGCACCAACAGACGCCTGCTGTTCGAAGAGGTGTGGTCTGGAAATTGGTGGTCTCGCCCTTGACTGCTGCTGCTGAGGTGGCTGGCTATCTGCACGCTGCTGGTTTTGATTCCGTGCTGGGCTCTGCGTCCGCGATGTAGGCCCACGCGGAGAACGACCAGGCCTCTCGCCACGCTCACCAGTCGTTGACCTGTCTCGATTTCGTGATCGCTCTCTATTCCTCTGTCTTCTGCGATAAGCCTCAGCGATCCGCTCCGTGAGCTCCTCCTCCTGTGCCGGCGTGAGGTTATCGATATCGATCCCATTCAGCAGTCCCTCCGAATAGATCGAGTGCAATATCTCCTCCTGCACGTCCTGAGAATTGATCTCCGACCCACTAAGCAGACTCCGCAGAGAGGGCTGATGCTCAACCTGCCTCTCGTCCTCCTGTCGCTGTCGGTTCCGTTCCTGATCCTCAGGCGTATCTCGTCCCTGCCTTCTCCTCTGCCTATGTCTCGCGGCTCTTTCTGCCCTCCGTCTTGCCGTCTCCGGATCCACATCCGCCATACTCAACTCCCTCACTTCAGCCATCAACCTCTCATCCTCACTATCCTCGCTCTCCACCTCCACCCTCACCGGCGGCAACACATCGTCCCCAGGCTTGTAGTGTTTCCGCATCTCCTCTTTCTCCTCCTCCGTCTTGCTCTTATCCGGGTTCGCTTTCAAATACCCCTCCAACAACGTACTCAACCTCCAGTCCGCCTTCGTCCCCCTCACCGATTCGCGACATGACGGGCAAGTATACGGATGAGTCGTTCGTCGATTGTTGGTCGCCGCGGAAGCCGCCTGCCATTTAAACCACTCCTTCAAACAACTCCCACAGAAAGTATGTAAACAATCCAGGAGCGTCAGTGGTTGGTACAGGATATCCGTGCATATCTACCACCTTCTCGTTAGCTGCTCGTGTGCCTCCCGACCAGCCTCGTCATTTCCACCGTACCGAACAAGTCAGCTCCCTCTCCAGGTCCAGCAGTCCTCCACCAGTATTCCCATCCTGCGCCATGGTATTGCGCGTCCAGAAGTCGTCCCTCAGCACGCACCGCGCAACAGACGCTGTTTCATGCAAGGTTCCAGCTCCAAGTTCGCTGTGGCGCAGTCGTCGAAGCGCGATGTGTTGTCAGCTGCACCTCTTCGCATACACAAGAAAAAGTCTGAACGTGGTAGTTCGTGAGTGGACGCAGGGAGAAAAAGAGAATCAGAAGATCTATCCAAGCTGCGTTTAGAGGTGCATACACCGTCTCTGGCGCAGGTTTCCCAAGATAGCAGCACAGTCAGAGCTTGGTGCCTCGCTACCGTACGACTGACTGCCCAGGAACAGGAACCTACCCAAACAGGACGCTGCTATATCACTCTTGTCTTGGAGACGACCACAGGAGTAGAGAGACAATGTGATGTAAAAAGACGAGAAAATTCCCGGCATGGATGGGATTGTGATCCATCTCGGTTTCGGCCACCTTTGTGGACGCTCGGGCCGGCTATACCAACTTCACCTCCTCAAGACATACCTGATTATTGACAAATGATGGGAAGAGATCCAGTACGCCATTCTATCGAAGTTATGGTGACCAGGTCTACTTTCGTTCTCTACGACAACCTCACAAAAACCGGCATCTTCTCAATAGGACACTCGACCTTCACCTCCTGTCCACCCTCAAACACCTCCTCCCCATCCCACAATCGCCACTTCGCCCCCTTCGACAAATACACGCTCATCTTCCTCACCCCCGCTTTCAGAACAGGCGCCACAAGATATCTCTCCCCAAACATATACACCGTCTCCACCCGCCAAGCCCTCTCATCCTCCGGAAACTCATAAAACAGCATCCTCATGACCGGGCTCCCCTTCTCATGAGCCTCCTGCATAAGGCTCCTCGTGTAATTGCGCATCTCCTCGCGCATGGCGATGTACTTCGTGCAGATTTTGAGCACGTCCTCGCCGTACGACCAGACTTCGTTCGGGGCGCCGGGGGCGGTGTCTTGACCCGGTGGTTTGGGTTCGCGGTCGCCGTGCAGGCGCATGACGGGGCAGAAGGTACCCCATTGGAACCAGCGCGTGAAGAGCTCGCGGAAGGCTGGGTCGGAGGGGTTGCCGCCGTGGAAGCCGCCTATGTCGGTTGTCCACCAGGGGATGCCCGCCATGCCTGGAGGTGAGGATGTCAGTGGATCGATCATCAAGGGGTTGGAAAGGGGGTAGTGCTCACCCATATTCAACCCCGCCGCAATCTGATTCCTCAAAACCTCCCAACTCGACCCAATATCTCCACTCCAGACCAACGCTCCAAACTTCTGACTTCCCGCCCACGCACACCTGAGGAGATTCACCACGCCCTCTTGGCCTTCAGCTGTCATCCCATCGTGGAAAGCCCTCGCATACTCGCGCGGATAAGCATTTCCAATCTCGAGATTCGGACCAGCATGATACCGATACAACTCGAAGTCGTAGACGCTATACTCCGGCTCCGCCTCATCGAGCCAGAAGATCTTGATGCCGTAGTCGTAGTAGTTCTGCTTAGCCTTCTTCCACACAAAGTCTCTTGAGGCGGGATTCGTGGCGTCAAAATATGTGCTATACGCTCCCGTCTCGGATGCAACACGAGGCCCACGATCATGGCGGATTAGGAGCCCTTGGTGGAGCATTTCGTCCCAGTTCTCCGAGGCGGGCTCGACGGTCGGCCAGATGGAGATCATGAGTTCGATGTTCATCTGCTTGAGCTCAGTCACCATGGCTTTCGGGTCAGGCCAATACTTGGGATCGAAGGACCAGTCGCCTTGGTGTTTCCAGTGGAAGAAGTCGATGACAATTACGTCGATGGGGATCTGTCTCCTGTTCGATGCGTCAGCTAAGTGGTCTGATGCAGAAGTGCTCCGACTTACCTCTTGTATTCCCTCGCAACCTCTAGCAATTCTTCCTGGCTCGAGTAACGCAACTTACACTGCCAAAACCCAAGTCCATACTCTGGCATCATAGGCACCGTACCAGTAACACCAGCATACGCTTGCAGGATCTCTTTAGGGCCATCGCCAGCAACTATCCAGTAGTCGATGCTTTTCGTCGAGAAAGATTCAAAGCTCATGATGTTCTTTCCAAGCACAGCACGACCAATGGCTGGGTTGTTCCAAAGTAGCCCGTAGCCTAGAGAGGACACGGCGAAGGGAACGCTGGCTTGTGAGTTGCGCTGCGCGAGCTCGATATCGGTACCCTTGAGATCCAGATACGGCTGCTGGTATTGTCCCATACCGTAGATGCGCTCATTAGGATCCAGAGATTCCAATCTCATCGTGGCGTGGAAACCGTCACTGCCGGGAATGCCTTTGAGCTCGCGAGCTTCAACTTTCAGAGCACTGCATTTGGCATCCTGAAGATCAAGACGATGGCGAGCATAATCCTCGAGAATCTTCTTGCCAGTCGCGGTATTGTATATGATGATCTTGCCACGATGAGACACTTCTGCACGGATATTTCCATTGGTGATCGACCTGCTGCCTTTGGAATCATCCTCTGAGATGGATATGTCACCATCTGTACTTTTGGGAGCGGTCTCTGCCAGGGCACCGTAGTTTCCTGAGGGCATGGATGCTAATCGCGTGGCTCGGATGCGAAATGCATTTGGACCCCATGCTTCGATCCAGAGCGTGTGGTCGTCGAAGCGATAGATGAGCTTTCCGGCTTCTTTGATAAACATGGCGAACGGCTCGGGATCGAAACAGTCTTAAAACGAGCGACGAAGATGGAAGACGCAAAGCAAAATTTTGTACCTGCGAAAGACCTGTTGCAGGACCGACGTGTACTTTTGTGTGGTCACTTTTGCCTGAGTCGATAAATAGTGGAGCTTGTGCCACAGTTCACCACATCAGCCGGTCCGGTGGGATACGCGGAGTCTGGTCAGCTAAATTGGAGTAGCCGCTGCAAAGCCATCCGGTATGTGTGACTCTGTCCCACATGTCTGTGCTGTGGTCGACGAAGGACTTTGACTGCTTCTTTCAGTACCACCTTCTGCGAGTTTGGCAGGCTAATGTCGGGTGCACCTGACATATCAGCTTGCATATCGAATCCTCGCCTAACGAACACCTGAACGATTTCGTCGTCGCAAGGGCGATCAAGCAGGATAGTCTTGGGAGTCAAGTCATCCTCTGCCTCCTCGCTGTTCCTTTGACTCAGACCTATACCTCCGTTATCTTGTAGCCTCCGAGCCCGCTCGGCGGCATTCATCTGCTTGATGTGAAGAAGATTGCCGCGGACTTGCGGTAGATAGACTCCGTAGACCCAGATGACTAGGCTCGACAAGTACATCGCGAACGGCTCATAGAAGTGACCACGCGCGTATCGGCGAAGATGCCAGAAGACGGCGCCTGCATGCACAAGGCTCAGTCGGCCTTTGTGATCGTCCATAGTAAGCCATCGCAGGATGCTCTCGTCCAGTTGTGCAGCCGAGGGTAGATCTCTATTCGCAGTTGGAGGCCGCTTCTTCAGGTTCGTTGCCAGGCTGATAAAACTCCGATAGGGACAGAGGAGAAGTAGCCGTACCAAATGCAAGTGCAAGATCAAAGGTCCCTCTGAGCCACGAGCCATTGTACTATCTGCATTCGCTTTCCAATGCAGAACGTCGAAACAGTCGCAGGCGCTGTTCCGCCACGCGGCGTATCGAGGGTTCGCAGGCAGCCAGATGGGTTCGGATACTGGCAGCTGGATTTCATCATTGCTTTGGTCGTCTCCTGGCCCTGGACTCCACGCGTGCAAGGGTTGCTGTGTCGTTCTGGCCACCTCGTCTGCTCTCCCAAGTATGATATACGTGAGCAGGACTTCGCTGAAGGTGTGAATTGGTGATGGGACTCGGTGTCTGACAAATAAAGACTGAAGAGCTGAAAGTAGGGTCGCAGATGGCTGCGTTCTGGGGAATCTTGCCACCCAACTCTCCACGTTAGTAGCGTCCCATAGATCCGCATCGCAGGGAAGAACCAACAGTTGGTCTGGCAAACTAATGTGCCCTCCTGGAGTCGCCAGCCAAAAAGTGTAAAGAGCCTTGACCAACCAGCAAGACCACATGAGACGAGTATGGCCTTCTTGGGCTATCCAAGCCTGCCACTTGAGAGCTCCCTGCGAGAGATCAATCTCATCCGCAGGGAACAGGACAACATTCGTCTCATAGAGCTCCATCGCCAGCTCGAAATCATGGCGTGCGGCACTAGCACTTGCCGGAACGTTGCTACCGAATTGGGCAATGGCGTGCAGCAGTGACGCTTGTGCCAGTGGTAAAGGGTCGCAGTCGATCTCTACGTCAAGATTCCAACGCACTGCTCGCCGTAGGAACTCGCGAAAAGCTGCCTCAGTCTGGAAGCTGTCAGGTCCGACGTCGTAGCTAGAGCCGATGGTCGCCGCTGCGAGGACCAGAATCCAGGGCGCGGTGTGTTGGGACCACGTTGTGGCATGAATGAATGGGAAGTCGGGATCAAAGTGCCGTAGGTACAGACCAAGATAGCGACTCAGCTGGGCAGACGATGGAAATGTAACGCTGGCAAACGCTCTTCCCAGACCCGCTTGACGTGTACAAAGTGAGTGGAAGTGCTCCGTGAGTGAGTTGTATACAGTAGCGTCAAGGCCAGGTCCATCGAAACCACTGGCGTGCAAGGCCAAGGCAACGCGACCTGGAAATTGCAGATGTGTTATAGAAGTCTCGTAGTTATCCTCATCCAGGGACACTGGTGACCTGGGAATAGTCTGGAGCGAATGCCGCCCGCCAAAGCCATCCGCGTATAGAGAAGACGCCTTTCCCGTGGCTGCGGTGTCGTCTTCGTAACTGGTGATGGACGACGCTGGCGCTGCATGATGTGCCGGTTGCTGTGAGTTGACCGGAACTGATTGCCAGCCTTCATCAGCCGCAGGGTCAAGCCCAACGCCAAACAGGAGCGAGAAGTCGACATTGTCGGCAACAGGTAGCCAGTTGATGTCGTTCCAGCTGAAATTGTCGTCTACACTTTGCTGCGCGAGGTCTGCAAGACCGGTCGAAGGCACATCATATGCATTCACAACAGCCTCATCCGGGTGATTAGATCGCACAGGCTCTCCAGCAGCTGTTGATGTTGGTGGATCTACGATGACCTCAGCCGTTTGGATCTCTTGCTGTAGAACGGGCTCGACATGAGATTCGTGAGTTCCTACGACGTCCTGCTTTCCATCCAGGGGATTTGATTTATTCGCATACGTGCATGTGAGATCTTTTGATCGACAACGCGTGCAGCGACTGCCACCAGTACATCTGGTCCGAGCTCTCGCGCAATTACGACAAGCCCGGCGTACGCGCTCCCCGGCTTTGGCCCTGCTCATGGAGGAGACGGCACCGTCCTGGACATGTTTGTGATGATTCTGCTCATGTCTTCGACAGCTGTCGGCTCGATTGAAGCTCTTGTCGCATTCTCCGCACCGGAAGATCGTGCCTTGCTCATCGTGGACGGAACGAATGTGGCGCCGCAAATGTTCCGGCCTGATGAAAGTCTTCGGGCAGTGCGGGCAGACGAAGGGATCTGAAGGCGTACGAACCATGGCCAAAGGCCAAATGTCAGATGCTGTCTTCAACGTAAGCACGGTTGTGGGAGAGTGAAGTCCAGTGGGAGAGGCCTAGGCCTTGTAAGTTCCGCGGTGGGGGATTCAGGCTAAGTCGACGATTCTCCTCATCTCAGCCTTTGTGGGGGTGGGATCCCGTAACCTTAACTGCCACGTGAGAACCATGGATACAAGAACAGCTTGTCGATCACGACTCAGAGTCCAGTCTTGTTGTATTCTTCCGTCGCTAGTATCGTTTCTCACCCTTCGACGATCCATTCCAACCCAGATTTCTACTCCACGCGCTGATTCTGCTGAAATGGTTCTTGAGAAAGAGCTGGAAGGGGGTGTGCCCATGCATGTCGAAGAGTTGTCCACTGGTCACGACAAGAACGAGGCAGCACACAATGCCGCGGCCGGTGAGCACACTCAGACGGTCTGGCAAGCTCTGAAGAGCGAGCCAAAGGCTGTCGTCTGGTCGATTGCAGTCTCGACTGCCATGTGAGTGAGGCATTACGAGCTCTTGAACGATTGCTGAGCCGTGACAGTATCATGGAGGGATACGATATCGTCCTGGTTACGTCTCTGTTCGCACAGCCTGCTTTTGCAGAGCGATACGGTTCCTATCTCCCGTCGCAGAACACTTGGCAGATTCCCGCTCCATGGCAGTCCGCTCTGGGGATCGCTCCAACCTTAGGGGCCTTGCTCGGTGCATTCCTCAATGGATGGTTGACGCATATGTTTGGGTACCGCAAGGTGTTGCTGGCGTCGTTGATCGCGATTACTGCTTTCATCTTTCTGCTTTTCTTCGCAACATCTCTGGGCATGATCTTGGCCGGGCTCATCCTCTGTGGCATTCCTTGGGGTGTGTTCGCGACCATGGCGCCTGCCTACGCTTCGGAAGTCTGGTGAGTTGCGACGGTACAAGCAAGACCCATCAAGATGCTGACAGCGAATAGCTCCTTGACTCTTCGAGGTTACTTGACAGTCTATGTCAACCTTTGCTGGGCATTTGGTCAACTGTGAGTAACCTGCTCTATCTATGAGGCACTTGCTGACTTCACTTCTAGAATCGCTGCTGGTGTGCTGGAAGGTTTCGCGACCAATACTTCAGAATGGGCCTACCGTATTCCGTTCGCAATCCAGTGGATCTTTCCACTTCCACTGTTCGCCGTCATTTGGTTCTGCCCGGAAAGCCCATGGTGGCTCGTCAGTAAAGGGAAGATCGAAGAAGCAGCGCATTCCGTACGCCGTCTTACCTCGAAGAACTCCACAGCGGCGCCACAAGATACCATTGCGCTGATCCAACACACCAACATGATCGAAGCCGAGACAGAATCTGGGACGAGCTACTGGAGCTGCTTCAAAAGCGTCGATTTGCGAAGGACAGAGATTGTCTGCATGGCCTTTGCGTCGCAGATCTGGTGTGGATCACCGCTTGGAGGAACGCCAGCGTATTTCTTCGTTCAGGCAGGTCTCTCGTCCTCCAACGCTTTCAAGTTCAGTGTTGGCGGACTCGGCTTGGCATCCATTGGAACAATCATATCTTGGTACCTGATCAGCCGTATTGGTCGAAGAACGCTGTATGTCTGGGGTCTCGGACTCCTCACAGTCTGTCTTTTGATTACTGGCATCGTTGCCGCCGTATCCCATGGTAGCACATCCAGTTACGTTCAGGCCGGCTTTGTCGTTGCCTGGCTGCTGATATATTACCTCACGGTCGGTCCGGTCTGCTACGCCATCATCTCCGAGACGTCCGCAGTAAGGCTCCGAAACAAGTCAGTCTGCCCTTCGAGAATGGCATACTACATCTCGCAAGTAGTCGGAAACGTCATCGAGCCTTATATGATCAATCCCGGAAACGCAAACTGGCAGGGGAAAACGGCACTTTTCTGGGCAGGGACATGCGCTCTGTGCTTCGTCTGGACATTCATTCGACTGCCAGAGACCAAGGATAGGTCTTATGAAGAACTGGATCTTCTATTCAACGCCAAAGTAGGAGCTCGCAAGTTTGCTTCGACAAGGGTTGATCCATATGCGGCTGTGGGCGAGAGAGTGAAGCGGGAGTGAACGCCACTATCCGTGAGCGCGATCGCGGGTCATCGATTTTTGGCCCACAGTGGGTTCGTTGTGCAGTAACATAGGCAGAGAGTACAGCTTCGATGGAATGCATTCATGTTGTTGTCTTTTTGTCTTGTTGTAGAGAGAGACAGCCTCACGCGCCTCGCTGTTTCCAACTTTCACGTGTGCACGGGCCATGGATCGGATCTATATTTCCCCGAGCCGATTGAAAACAACCTCCTCTCCTGAAAGGAACTTCTTCCTCTGCAAGTCTTGCAATGTTCACAAATACGTCACGAATATCATGATGAGATGCTGCGATACTGTCTTCAATGTGTCTCATGCCGGAGTTCAGGAAGAAACATGCCAAATCACCAACGGCGGTCAGAGCATGGCTGTTCTTCAATCTCGGCAGAACAGCGTTCTCAAAGATGGAGAGGAAAGTCGGACGATCTGATGGTTATACTGCATGGGCCAGCAGGCATACGTGACATGCATGAGATTGGCGGCTGGAATACTGACGAGACTAACAATGTCTTGTTCGCGTACTCGGGTCTCAATCAGCTCGCCCAGCAATCGCCATCGAAAGACGTCAGATGGTCCCTAGTCTTCGCTGGTAAAAGGTACTGTATCACACGACAACCCCAGAATTGTTCCTGCACCATCGTATTACCCCGCAAATTGGGCATGCGGGATGCTAGGAAGAGACGATTTTGCCTGCCGGAAGACTGTGGGATGACACTGCTCTTACGGTATCCCACCGGGAAGCCCAAGATTTAGGCAAGCTTGGTCAATGGTCATTGATGGAGATATGCAAACTAATTCGACGACCACAATGCATTTAAGAAGTATCATGCCACTTGCATACCTCAAGCTTTAACAAGCTCGGGTCCACCAAAGTCCTCAAGATCGCAACTCAACATGTACTCTGCTCTTTCGTTGCTCACTTTGGCTCCAGCGTTTGCTGCCACAATTTTACTTCCCAGAGAGGGCGCCGGCCCGACTATCAACTTTGGAAACAACACGGGAACACCGAAACACCTAGCGTCTGGCATCCTTTATGGGCTTCCTGACAACCAGCAGCAGATACCTTCCGCGCTCCTTGATGGATTCGGTTTCAACTATGGGCGAGCTGCTGGAGCTCAGGTCGGTGGTGGATGGTGCTATGGCCAGGCACCCTATGAGGTTAGTTTCAAATATAATTGGCATATTGCAAGACGGCTGACCCCGTTTCTTGAAAGCAACGATTCGCAAGCGCTCTTAGCAACTACCAACTAACACGCGCGCATGGAGGCTCGTTCGTCTTGATGCTCCACGACTTATGGGGCTTCGACACAACACAGAACTCGTCATGTGCTGGACCAGGCGACAATGGCGATTGGGCGAGCTACGACAAGTTCCTCAATGCCGTAATCGCCGATATCAACAAGTACAAGATGCAGAGTAACTTAATCATCGACATTTGGAACGAGTCAGACAACGCTCCATTTTGGGGACGAAGTATTGATCAGTGGCTCGCCATGTGGGGACGTGGATACTACAGGCTTCGGTGAGCACTGCCTTGTGGCATTCCGACAGCAACCTGGTTATGCACCGACACTGACATATTCTCGAGTGCGGCATACAATAGCGGCACAGTCCAGCTCTCTGGACCTACAACCGCGGGACAACCGAACTTCAACAACGATTGGTTCACAAGCTGGGCTTCGTACGTTAAGAAGAACAACTCCATTCCAGACCAATATGTGTGGCATGAGGAATCCGGAGACAGCTCGTCCATGTCGTCCTCATACGACGGCCTGGTCGCAATTCTCAAGCAGAACAAGCTGCCCCTGAAGACCGTCAACATCAACGAGTACGCAGTCTTCGACGAGCAAGTTCCCGCTGGCTCAGCCTTCTGGATCTCACAGCTTGAGCGATACAATGCCATCGGGATACGTGGCAATTGGCTTGGCGGAACTCAACTCCACGATCTGGCGGCATCCCTGCTCTCGAAGCCTAATCCCAACGAGTACGCAAGCACGGGTTACTTCCCGAACGGCGACTATCAAGTATATCGATACTATAGCCAGAACATGACCGGTAATCGCGTCGGCACCAGCGTCTCCGTAGACGGCAAGTTCGACGCCTACGCAACAGTTGGCGGAAGATTCGCCAAAGTTCTCATGGGCGTCAGACCACCAACCACTGGCACCTACACCGTCACATTGAACAATCTTACAGCTCTTGGGCTGGCAGCGAGTGGCAACCTGAATGTCCAAACTTGGAAATTTCCAGTGGGCAACGACGTTCATTACAGCGAGGTCGACGGACCAACCGACTTGGGAAATATCGGACATTCATACTCGGGCAATACTCTGTCGCTGCCGTACTTCCAGACAGACCGGACTACGACGTATGCGTGGGAGTTTGCAGTTGGAAAGTGAGAGCCGAGACAGAGAGAATCGTGCGGAACAGCATATCCTCGAACGTCCGACAAGATCCGCAGTGAACATGTCTGCGAGCAATAAAATTGACTGTTCTGCAGTTTCATCGTCCAAGAATGGACGGGCTATTTTCTTGAGCAATAGCACCCATTTGATAACTACTTCCGGCATAGTACATTCTGTTTTGGATTGAGCTCGTCTAGGAAGCTAGGTAACCTTCCTCTACTGCTTAGCAGGTCTCGCAGTGGCCTACCACCTCTGTGAGCAATGGCAGCGAATGTAGAGCTGTCACAGCAGCTTTCCTTCTAGGTAATGCACTATTCACGAAGTAAAACATTGAAGTCATTTATCATCCACGTCGAGTGCTGACCAACAATTTGGTTCATTGGCGGCCCTGGATCGTTGCCACTAGAGTTATACTTCAATCTCAACACAAGCCCCAGCTTACACATACCACTTACAAACCACCGAGACCACCGAGACTCATGTCCTCCCTTTTATTGTGACCAATGATCCATCTTTCGTCTCCTCTCTACCTATTGCTTCCATCCACTTAGGTCTTTCCCTACCTTATTTACCCTTCTCGAAAATCACCAAAATGCGTTTCATTGCTCTCATTGCTGCCTACACGACCCTGGTCGCCTACACTGCTGCTGTTCCGATTTCAAACCCGAGCCCAAGTGGCCTCGCCCTCCGCGACACTGTCGGCGACATCACCGACACCGCCAACGACGTCGCCAATGACCTTGCCAATGACGTGGGCAATGACATAGGCAACGACGTCGCTAACGATATCGCCAACGACATACTCAATGGAATTGCCGACATCGACCCCGACACTGATATCAACCTGAATCAAGTCAATATATCTCCCGTCATCAACGCTAAGTAGCATGAAAACATCCCTCAGTTGTACGTCCTAGCTTCGCTCTTCCAAACGTATTCAAAATGAGTTCTAATATCTCGTTTTATAGCTTTCCATTGATAATCTGCGTTACATTCAATGCAGAAGAGAGCGACTTTAGTGTAAATAAGCATCGAGAAACGCAATAGGAAGAAGGTATTACCTCTATGAATTAATTGCTCAAAGAGAGATTTCTTGTGGCCGATAGAGCGGCATCTTCAACTGCAGTACAAGTCGATTTGGGAAAGACCAGTGGCTCTCACATTTTCAAAAAAAAAACTTGATAGCGAAAATGCAACGATCTTAACTCGTCAGCCGAGCCTCGTCTTTGGAAAGGTGTGGAGCGAAACGATACTAACACAACGGGAGAGAAAGTATTTATTTCGGCAAGATTCTAGCGCCACGGAGGATGCAAGCGTTCGGGGAAATAACTTGTATAAAGCTCTGAGGAAGACCATGAATTGATACCTGACAGGAGCGGACTCAGACGTCTTGGTAAAAAATTCCTATCGAGCATCATAGACTCGAAAATTGGGAAGGAGAACGCCAAATCCATCGCCGTCTGCGCCCATTGCAGTCACCGGACAGGATCGGTGGGAGTAGATTTAACGGCGGAGATAGCGTTTCGTTACCTTTCCTAAGCAATTCGTTCGCACACGGCCAAGGCTGGAACTCAGTAAGAGGTCCGGCCCATTGTCCACTAACCGAGTTTGGAAGGAGTGGCCGGGCACGAGGCTGAGCGAACTGTATCTCGCGGATCTTGGGTACATGTAAGTCAAAGCTGCTCGAGCTTCCCAGCCGTCGCCTTATCTTGTGTTGGAGATGGTGCACTGCGGCGAATAGAAAAACAGGTGTAGCTGTAGCTGATACATAACAGGGGTTGGACACGAGCTCAGATATTTTAAGACTAAACGCTGTTGAGAGCAAACGCTTGCAAAAGCTTAAGAAAGATCTTCGGTCAAGTATGTCTCCCCACCCAACCGGCCCACCATCTGAAGCTCACTTCCTCGTTCCACTTTCTTCCAGCTGCCCCTTTCTGCCAACTATAGATTGGAGAGGACGTCCCTACGAACACGCTTGATCCGCCGTGATCACATGAAAAGCTTTCCGAGAAATGATGAACGTTGGTCCAACAGGAAACCCGCCCATCATGATCGGAAAGACGGATGCGTCCACGACACGCAGGTTATCGACACCGTTGACCCGAAATTTTGAGTCAACGCAATAGTTGCGGTCGCCTTTAGGGCCCATTCGACACGTCGAAGTAATTGAAGTTGATCAATGGTGCTTCTCTCGGGCTCGTGGACCGCAACTCGACTATGCATGCGGCGTTGCAAGGTTTCATCTTGACCATGGACCAGTAAAAAGTGCTCGCGGGAACTTGCTCACGACTGTAGCCTGGGAAGTAGCCACGAAAGACGGCACTGGCGCCACCGAAGAAGAAAACGTCCGAGTCGTTGTTTTGGCTTTGTTTCGATCGATACCACATGATTAGTGGCGCGCCTCCCTCTCCGTACGGTCCAGTATGATCGTTTTCCCATTGCTCGAGGCAGGGATCGCTTTGGTTGGACAGGCTGTAGGTACAGTTGGCGAAAGGATTGTTCTCGAAATCAACGTTGGCTTGAACTACAACGTCGCCCTCGTAGTTATCTCGCATGTTATTTTCCTGCTCGTAAGTCACTGCACTTGTCCACTTTCCTTCTTGAAATGAGATAGGGGCCACTTACAACTGCTGGCAGGTCGACAACGACAGGTATCCCAAGTCGTTGAAGCTCTTCACGACGGTCATCAGTCTCTCCAAAGCCTCTCGAGTCAGAGTTCACATTAGAGCGAAGGAGGACATACCGCAACGTACCCATCGTAGCCATGACCAGGTATACCCTCAGGCAGATATTCATTCCTCTCCAGCTCCATGAAATACTGTCTCATTTGCTCAGGACGCCAAGAGTCGTCATTGGTCAAGGTGGCAATGTATCGCCAATCGTTGTCAGGCGGCAACGCCCAGTTCATTCCATTTACTTCGGAAGAGCCGCCCAAAGTGCTGCCGCGAGGATACAGAATACCAAGCCTGTTCATCCACATCAGCATAATAACAGGTTCTTTAACCAACGCCATTCCACATACGGCTTTGCATTGGCTGGAGGATCCAACCCGACATAGAGGGAGCCATTGGTCAGTCGGTATGTGTATTTGTTATCTCGGGCGCCTGTGTCTCATTCTTGAAGTGATTGACGAAAAAGTTCCAAGCAAAGCCGGGTGTTTCTGATGCTATGGTATTACTGCCTAGGTGTCAGCCTTATACCTCCATAGATAGCATCGATCTTCAGGACACTTACAATCCTGGGATCACTTCTGTAAGGTTATGTCCCTGGTTATCACCCGCCTCGATGAGGAAGACTGAGTGTCCATCCCGGGCAAGATTTGCACTAGCTTGATGTTAGTGAGGCAGTACGAGTTGTTGTTGTCAACTCTAAATCTCGTGTGATGCAAGCCTACGCGAGCGTACCACCTCCCGGACCAGAACCGATAATAACGTATTCGTACTCTATCTGCTGAGCAACAGCAGCTGCACCCAGCAGCAGAGACCAGAGCGCAATGGACTTCATTCTGACCAAGTAGATGACTCCAAACAGTAAGGGTCTAATCTTCGACGCGTTATGGACTTCAGTACTTCTAAGAGGGGTCGTGCCTTTTATGCACACTTTGAGATAGGCACTCCAGCATCGATGTTGCTGTTCCACGGAGCGGTATACTTACGACTTACAGCACGAGCTCCGTCGTATTCAAGCCACAACATGAATAAGTTGTAGGCACTGGAACAGACGAGTTGACAAACCATGTTGCCATGAGTGCGGGGGACGACATCATCTGTCTAGATCGCTCCACCACAAGAGTGATTCTACGCGACCCACACAAGATTCATCTCCAGACTACAAGCTCGAGAGGGCAGAAATGTGATGTCCGCTTGGTCAGCGTTCTATGGCGAAGGAGCAAGGCTGGCTGCCTCGCACGCGTTACCTGAATACACCTCAAATGCGAGACCGAGAGGACTTCTGAACGCCGTGGCCGTTTGGGATTGAACGACATACATATTCCCTAAAAGGTTCATCTGCTTAGGGTTCCACAATAGATTGCAGCATTTGCGTTTGGAATCACAGTCACGGGAGCAGAATTGAACACAGTCTGCGGAAGTGAGACGGCATTGATCGATGCTGAAATTGATCCTGCTTCTAGAGGTTCAATTTACGGGAGCGATTGCCGCGAGCAATTGGTTTGAAGGAGGAACAAAGCGGTACACAGCAACTACAATAACAAGATCATAGTCTCTACTTTAAAATAAGTATATCTTTCACAAGCTTTACCTCCACCGATTGAAGCAAGAACAGTATCGAGCAACTTTGATCGAGCGGATGACGGGTCGAAATACTGTACTCAGTAATGCTATTCCATACCGAGCCCTAAGCGCCTCATGCCTTTAGGTGAACGGTGTGGCTAAACACGTCTCTAAGCAAGAGGAATCGAAGTTGCATATGGCAGAGCCTTTTCACGTGCCCGGTACATCGCTCACATGCCTTGATCAAGCGACGATCCAGACGACGTGGCCACGTCAACGCCTATACGATCCAGTCACAGACTGCACAGTCGACTATAGCGTCTTATTCTTCAAGAGCATCAACGTCGTTCGAGAATCATTTCGCATACCCTGCTGCCCATGGACTTCGGCGGCTACACACCTCCCCGCACGAATACAATAGGAACACTCGATTATGAAGCAATCTACGCCAACCGCTGCGTAGTCCTACCACGTTTCCAAGCCTAACAGGACAGGCACCCAGATCTCAAGAACGGCTTCAACACCTCCTCTTCAGTGACCAAGGATCTTTTCATCCCCTTGAGCGACTGGTTGCAGAAGTACAATCTCAGCGATGTAGCCTATGTATTCTGACAGTACGATCAAGGTTCGGGAATTTATTCGGTGGAGCCGACGTTGTATTTGCTGAAGTGTTCGAATAAAGAGATTATAGCCATTCTGGCGGCGGGTGGGTATAACCAGACGAGAAGGACGAACGACCAGGAACTCTACCACAATGCTCTGGCGAGATCAGAGAGCAAAGCCTCGCGCGGCCGACGTCGGTGTCTGGAAGTACGGACAACAAAAGTTTTCTAGAATGGCATTGAGGACATATAACCCTGCCGATCGGAGTGTGATGTGTCCCCAACTGTGAAGTTGGATGTGGTCGGTGATGAATCATCTAGCGGGTTCCAGATCTGCCTTCCGTGTTTGTGGCCACACTACCGCGACTCGTAGGAAACCTGAGAGATGCGGTATGTGCAAGCACCTATGAGATCTCGTGAGTATGTCTGCTTTCGATTCAAGTGTGCTGACTTTGGCTGCCACATTTGAGTAATGCCAAGCCTGATCCAAGACGAGGCTGCGCGAATTCCATCTCGCGCTTGGCCTCCGCAAGTAGTCGCTGCACATTATCACTACTAAGAGATAACAACACTGGCTCAAGAACGACTCCTACTTGGAAAAACGAACTGTACTCATCAGAGGGAGACCGCATACACAAGTTCGAACACTCTTTGAATCTTGAATGATGACGACCTCTATGATCTATAGTCTATGTTGAATAGCATGACCTCGTTTTAACCGTAATTTCCATAACAGAGCAAAAGAATGCCTAAATAACAAAAAAAATTTCCGCCCCCTTGACTTTCTACTCTCGTCTTCCCGCTATCTCCAACAGAACCAACAAAAGTTCATAAGATATCTAAGCCCCTCTTCCACAAAAGTTATGCCCCTTAGCGGTACAATAACTCTCATACCCATAGGAAATCAGATAATCGTTCGGACCATCAAGCACCGATCCAGGCTTATACGCACCACAAGCCTGGGTGATGGCTTGGTTCGCAGCAATACTGTCAGACCGGTAACAGAAGACCGGATATGGCGCATAGGGAGCCTCATCGGGCGCCGAAAAATTGCACGCGTATGCGACGACGCATGCACTGATGGAATAGATGTCGTCGTAGCCGTCAATCTCTGCGCCGTCGCCGCACTGGGCTTGCAAGGCGGCGTTCGCGGCGTCGGTGCTGGCGTTGTCGAGTTCTTCGGTGCCTTCGGAGGGATAGCATGCTGTTGAGTCGATTGTTATGCGCTTCTGGTGAGCGTTACGGCGAGTGACAGGCGCGGGCCCGGAGAGGCGAGTGTGCACTTCGGTGCCGTTTGGGTAGGTCCTGACGGAGTAGACGCCATCGGGGGTCCCTTCGGGGATGTGGAATGCTGAGGCCGTGATGAGGCTGAGGCTGAGGCCAGCAAAGATAGCGCTAAACTTCATGCTGCTGGATGCAGAGTGAATGATTAATTCCAGGGAGTGTCTTGTACGGTGTTCCGTGGGCTTAAGCCAAGAAAGAGTGTAGATCGACGAACATCCTGTACTCTTTATAAATCGTATGCACACATGGCACTCACTTTCGACGTCTCGATAGGAGAGACAGCGTACAACGTACGAGTACGTGTACGTGTACGAGTTGAATCAAGTCCGCATTATACCGACGACCACGTCAGCGACAGTCGTAATGAGGCTTTCTTGATCGATTACGATGGGTGCAACTACACAGAACTTAATGCCTTAGGCTACTCCTTAGGCTGCTCCTGGGCATAAGCTAGAATTGAATGTTTAGGGTTAGGAATATGCTAGCTTGTTATAGTTGTCCGGTCTTGCAGTCATGCAGCAAGTCAGGGCGTTCAACTTGTTTGGACTCCAAGGCTTCGTCAGGAACGTGAAGATAGATCACAAACGTTGTCGATGTGTATGGGTCTTGAAGTGTTCGATCTAATCACGTCCGGTTACATTGCCTCCCTACACCATGCGTACATCGATCGATACATCTCCACTATGCTAAGGGTAGTCGGCCGGTAGACCCCTTCCCACTTACTCGACATATGTATATATAGTATGTAACCGCCTATTTGGCGAGAAGTCATCCAACGCTCGTACTCGTACATTCCACAGAGACCTTCTACAGGAATGGCAAGACTCCTTCACTCTATGGGGCTGTCCAACTCCATCAAGCAGGCAGATGCGTAGCCTTAATCGAACAATCGTTCAGACTTGGTGGTCACGACAAGACCTCTCTCGACCTTCGCCGACTAAAGTATCCACTGCCATACAGAAAATCAGCGTCGTCCGGCATTACTTCGACTACCTTTCCATCCCCTAGAGCACCACGAAGTTCGGCGGCGATGCGAAGACGAAAGATGTCCCTAGGAATCATTTCGTCACCCTGGACTACCCATTCATCTATGCCGGCCTATCCGAAATCCTACCGCGATCTCAGGTCCCCCAGATTAAAGACCCTTATCTCGCCACTTGCTCATTCAGCAAGGTATCGCGAGTCGGGAGGTCCTACCACCACGTTAAAGTCATGATAAGTAAGTACATCCCCGAGGAAAAATACCGAGACCTTATGGCGACTGCCCATTCGAAGTGCCGTGTAGGTGCAGGAGTCGAGTGCGATTCGGAATTTTACCGAGAAGGTCATGCCTTCAAGGTCGTTGGGCAGCCTTAGATGAAAACCCAGATCTATTCACTAGCAGTTCTACACTACCTCCCTTCCCCTCCCGTCCCTCTCCCCTCTACCCAAAATAACAATACCTCTCAAAACACTTCCCACACTGCCTCGGCAACCCCCTCAACCCATCCTTATACTTCACCGCACAAGCCAAACAAACCGCCCACCCCTCCTCCCCATTCTGCGTCGCAATCGCATTCCCATTCGCAATCATCGCCCTCGTCTCCGCCTTCGAATACTGGATTTTCAGCGTCGATTGCCCGGAGGGGTAGATGTAGGGCACGTTGGGGAGGTTGATGATGAGGATTGTGGGTTGGTTGTTGTTGGGGCCGTTGTTGTGGTAGGAGGGTGGGGGGTTTCTGTTGGCGTTGCTGGAGTTGGTGTTGAATTGCGCGGGACAGCCGAAGAAGGCGGCGCGTTTGTTGAGACCTTGGGCGACGAAGGTGTCGGCGTCGGGGATGTAGGGCATTTTGGTCAGGCCGGCGGCGCGGGCGTTGAGGTATGTTTGGTGGAGTTCGGTGCCGTTGGGGTAGTTGTCGTTTGTGTCTGCTGAGTTGTCGCCCGTGATGAGGACGTCGACGGTTCGGCCGGGTTGGATGAAGGGCCAGATTGGGACGTTTTGACCTGCGACGCCGCCGTCGACGAGGGTGAGTTTGGGTTGGGTGTTGACTCGGCTGCTACGGGGGTATTTGTAGAAGGGGTTTGGATAGAGGCCGAAAAGGTCCTGAAAGCTTGGGCTCCCGGTCGAGTTGATAAAACCTTGGAGTAAGTTTGCCAGTGGAGAGTCTTCGTCGAAGAGAGGCTCGAGGGGTTGGCAGACGGAGGAGAAGATGTCGCTGCTGGTGCCGAAGACATAGCCGATGTTATCGTAGTGGGTGATACATTTACCTACCTGGGTCGGCCGGCCGTTGGTGAGGTTGCTGCCCATGTATTCTGTGTTGGCGAAGGCCGAGACGCCTTTGTCCCAAGAGCCATACTCGTAAGGGTGGAATTCGTACTGGGTTGCGTTGAGGGTGGGATAGCACTGGCCCTCGTAGCTTCTGTCGACACCAAGGGCGGTCATGATCGGGTATGGCACATTGAAGGAGGTGAAGTTGCTGTATGATGTCAGGGTGGACAACCGGATTTCATCGCCACCGTCAGGGCCGTAAAGAAAGCCGTAAGAGAGCAGACGGCCATAGGGATCGAAAATGGTTGTGTCAAACCCAGCTCTCTCCTTGTCCAGGATATCATCTGTTATCTCCAAGTACTGGTCTGAATTGAGGATGTTGGCAGGCAAGAGGAAGCTGTTCTCGAAGGCGTCTTCCCATAGATTATCTCGCAGGGATGATATCGTTGGCCAGTTGTTACCAGCGAGAGAACTCAAGAACCATGCACCTCCTGTAGCATATTAGCACTTCCATCTTTCCCCTCACCTGGCATGCGTACCTGATAAACCAGACTCATAAGTAAGCCCTTGATAAAGCCCACTGACGCTCGAATTCCCATCCCTCCCATCAAAAGCCTGCACGACACCCGCACCCTCCAACAAAGCCCGATAACCACCCCCGCTCGACGCAAGTCCAACAGAAGGCAAAGAGTTGGTATTGAAGCGACCTTGCTTCTTCAACCAAGCCGCCAATCCAGTATCCGCTTTCCTCTTGCGAGCATTGTAGTATCTGCTCTCATCCGAGCCGATACCTCCCGCGGGCCTCACCAGCTGCGTGTTTGGGCACGAAGCCGGAATTGGCGCATAGTCGTCATCGAGCAGTCGCTCGTCCAGATGTTGCTCCGTCGGCGTAGCGGATGTAAGAGCAGAAGCAAAAACGAGAGAAACAACGAGCGAAAAGACGCCCATGATGAGCGATGTTCCCTCTGCGAAAGGAAAGCTTCCCTCTGCGAAAGTCGAAGTTCCTACCCTGGGCACGTAAATACGAAAGTGAAAACAACCGAAGTAGCCCCAAGATATACGAATTCCCCGGGTCCTGGGAGAGGCAGTGCTTCCGAAGTAGATCGTTCGTCATGTCCGGGCCTGGCTGATCCTTGGCTATATCTACCAAGTATGTAGAAGGAAGAAAAGCACAGGCGAAACTCACCTCTTCCTCTCGCAAGCCAGGCCCAAAACTGCATCAGTTTCGAAAAGTGTCTCTGATCCAATTACCAGGACGGCGTGCAAAGTCTAATGGCAATGAGAGATGTTGGAGCCCGCCTTGCCCAGAACGCCGCGCTGCACGAGCGCCTCCGCCACATAGCGTGATGAGATGGCAAGCGATGAGGAGATCGGGGTGGCTTGCAGTGAAGATGACGGCGAGGCTGAACTGGACCTCTCCCACTGTTTTTCTTCTTGTTGTGATTGCTGGAACAGAACGTACAGAGTGCGAAACCGAATGACTCGCCCTTGATGGTTTGTCATCGGGGGCATGTCTGGGGAGGGATGGAGAGCGAACGGCCCAAGAGGTTGGGCGAAGCCACTTGATAAGACAAAGACGCCTGCCATTTCACCATGTAGCCAGATCACAACAGTAATGTCGAGTATCATGTTACTAATGCGATCGTGGTAGATGTTGCGGATTCCTGTCATCAAAGGGAGGTAATCGTGAAGTCGAGTCGTGAGCGTCGCAAAGTTCCAATTTTGACTTCACACGATGAAACCAACGACCCCACCCGCACGTGCGGCTTGCGCGACGTCACATGGCTATCGACAAGGCTATATACAATCAACACCGTCCGCTGGAGCTTTCTCTCTCTGTGATCTAATTTCTGGAGAGACTGCTTAGTACTGAGAAGGTGTTCTGTTAACCATATACCCAGCAATCCACCCACCCTACCCAAAGGCCAACCTCCTCTGCCCCTTCTCCACACCCCCTCCGCCACCAGCACCTCCACCAGGCGGTCGACCCCTCCCCTTCGACTTATTATTTTTCGATAACGTCGGCGGCACAGCTTTGGGTGGCGGTGGCCTTGGCGGCGGACTCTCACGCTCATTCTGCAAGTCCTGCGCGAAATGGAAGTCATCGTGCTCTGTCTTCTCGGTCTCTGGGACCCGTTGTCTGCAGCGGGAGCATTGGTAGGTGTCGTCTGATGTCGTGGTATTGTTGTCGGGGAGATCGTTTGCCTCGTGAACTGAGGGTGTTGATGGGGTGTCATCTGTTTGTGGTTGGAAGGAGGGTGGGAGCGTAGACTGTTCTGCCGTGTCCCGGTCTGGTCCATGTGGAAACTCCTTGTCTTCGTCCTCGTGGTGCTCATAAAGCTCATCAATCGGATCCACATTCCGCGCCTCCATGCCACTTCCTTCACCATTGTTGTCTTCATCAAGAGGCGGAGTCTCCATACTGTCTTCCCTCTGCGATTCGCCATCATCCTCCCCGGTCCCATCCCACCGATGCGCAAAAAACGTCGGAATCCCTCCAGCCTTAATCCTCCTCCTCTTCTTCTTGGGCTCACCCCTCGAGCCTCCACCACCACCACCACCACCGCCGCCAAACATCCCACCACCCCCTCCCTGCTGCAACTGCCTCGCCTCATCCCCCCTAACCAAAAACCCTCCAATCCCCTTATTCCCCACCACCCCATCCTCAAACCCCCCAACACTCAAACTCAAATTCGAACAAGGCCACGCCCGTCCATCAACAATAAACATCGCCAACAACCGCTTGGCCAGATCGAACAGCACCTCCTCCGTGATGCCCTTCCCCATGGGTATAGGAATCTGTTTACTCCGACTCTGCTGGCCCTGGCGATGGTGGAGGTTGATGGTCTTCGGACGGCGTTTGTGTTCGAGGACGCCTTCTTCCACGAGCCGCCCGAAGATGTCCGCGACGAAGATCCGCAGCCATTTGCAGGCGACTTCCATAGTATTGATGGAGGGCCGGAAGGATTTGGCGGAGAGCATAGATTTGATTTGGGTGCGCGGGTTGATTTCGCTGTGGTCTTCGCCTCGGAGGACGGAGTAGAGCCAGGAGCCTGTGTCGTCGCCCAGCTGTTTCTTGAGTTGCTCGATGGGGACGGGGAGGAGGTCCTTGACAGAATCCGTATTAAACGCCGCCACGACTTCATCCCCCAACTTTCCGCCCAAGTTCCTGATCTTCGTAAACTTGAACCCGCTCAGAAAATGCCCCACGGCGCGATTCCGAATCACAGTCTGTCGATTCGGTTTCTGATACCCACTGCCCAGCTTCGCCAACATCTTGTTCTTGCTGAGCCCCGCCGAGCACGTATACCTCGACTTCTCATAGACCTTCTTCCTAACATCCCGCACGATCTCCGACCCAATCAACATGGCGATATCGTCCCAATCCGGATCATCCTCTTCACTCTGGCTAGCATCCAAATCCACCAACGCATCCGCCTTCCAATCCAGCACCGTCGTCGGCGGTCGCGGCAAACACTCCGTAGGATCATCATACGGCGGCGGGCCCCCCAACTCGGGAAACCTCTCCAACATAACGGCATGCACCTGCGCCGACAAATCCAGAAACACCTCATCGATACTCGCCTTCTCCACCCTCTGCTTCTCCTCCGGCAAAGCCTCCTTGATCACGGCCAAAATCTTCCTCGACTCAATCCGATACGGATCGAGACTCACCTTCCGACTCGCAATCTCCTTCCACGCATCCTCCGAATACCCCCATGAGACATCCCCCTCTTTCCACGTCGCGACGTGCTGACAGATGATATCCGGACACTTCTCCTTCGCCTCCGTGATCGTCACATGCCGACTCAATCCATACGCTCGCGCGGGGTAGTTGATCGCTATCAGGCCCTGCCATTGCTGCACCGCGAGGGGTTGGTCCGCGGGAACGTCGAGACGGACCATTTCGCATTGTGCATAGAAGGCGTCGAGGTCGATGTGTGCGATGACGCGCAGGGGGGAGTTGGTCGCATAGTGAGCGAGGGTGGAGAGGTTCTTGTAGGTGAATTTGCTGCGGCGGGGGCGGCGGTGGGAGGGCGAGATGGGGGAGGAGGCAAAGGGTTGGGAGGAGGACATCGTCCTTGTGGTGGGGTGGTGTTATGGCATGCTCTGTCCTGGATGCGGTCGGGTCGGTGGTGGGATTCGAGTGTGCTCGAGTATGGTGTACTTTGTTGAACATTCACTTGACGTCGCGTAGCTTCACGTGTCGGTTCTAAAGTGGTGACGTCACGCGATGGACTAAAGAACTCAATCACGGGACTGAAAACCACACCCTTAGTGCAACATACATCCCCATTACTCCTAAGCCATCTCAGGAGCTTGGAGTGCAATAAGCAGCGTAGTCACTTATGGAATCCGGAGAGATAGCAGTTCCATACATTCCACTATGACCAGAACGGGGAGGGTACTCATGCTGCGAAACAGTGTATTCACTACCCTACGTATCGCAAAGAAGAGGAAGAGCCTACACACCCCACTCTAAGCAAAAGTGGAAGAAGAAAATCAAAACCAAAGCGCGCCCACGAAAATGCCTCGCTCGTCGCTTGCCTGATCGCTCACTCGCCCACTCGCTGCATGCCATGATGATGATGGGAGAAAAAAAGTCGGAATGGTCGTAATCGTCGTAGGCTGCTGGACGTCTTCCTGATCACTTCCTCGCCCTGATTCTATCGTTTGCCCTTTCTTTCCCAGGTCCCGCTTGTCGGGGTATCGGCCCGAAATAAACACGCTTCCTTCGCTGAATGCCTCCAAACGCAGTTGAATCGTATCGTTATCGTTGCCTTGTCGATGCATATGTAAAGGACGAGGATCGTTGACGTCTTGCACAACGGCCATCCTAACGCCATCGTCGGCCGTCTCGGTCGTAGATGTACTCACGCTCGTAGATTCGCTCGTCGTACTTGGACCTTGGAGGAGCTGGTACCGGTGGGGGTGGTGGGAGCAGCTTTGGTGCGCGTTCACGTTCCTCTCGCTCCCACTGAATCTCCCGAATGCGGTCGCGGCGTTCACGTTTGATGTCTTCCGTAATCTCGACAAGACGCACAACGTCCTCCTGAAACATCGTTAGCGCCCTGTTCATTCACAAGCTTCTGTCCATCACTCACGTATTTCAAGTACTCGATGATATAGAAGTGATCGTCCGTTTCCTCATAATCGTAGCCCTGCTCGTCGATGGCCTCTTTGATTACAAGATCCTTTGTGACCTCGGTCCACATCTTGTCTCGCTTCTTGGGCTTGTCTTCGTTGGTTCGAGTATGGGTGATTTTGATCTCTTCTTTCTCTTCACGAACCTCACGTGGAGGAGGGCGTGCTGGTGGAAGAGGTGGCGGTGAGTGGTAGCCATTGCCGTAATCTGCCTCGTAGATGCGGTCTCCAGAAATGAACTTGCCGCGCCGCTGCCCACTGTAGCGATCCCACGACACTTCTTGAGCCCCACCACCAATACCATCCATGCGGACACGCTCTGTGCCTGGTGGGATGTCGACAAGCCCCCAATCCTTTGTCGCTCCATTCCACGCCTCGCCCGGATAGGCTCGCGAGGCGATCTTGCGGTTGTAGTAGTCTGCCTCTGCCAACATTTCGTCGTCGTATCGTCGGCGGTGAGGAGATGGCGACCTGCGTCTGGCGACACTCACAGACCTTTCACGACGGTCTTCCCAACGTTGAAGTTCGCGGCTTGGCTCTTCACGTTCTTTCGTCTCTCGCTCAAAAGTGATGTCTTCTTCATAGGCTTTGCCGTTACGGGTGCCTTTGCGTTTGATCTCAATTTCCAGACTATCATCCTTTACTTGTGGTGGACTGGGAGGTGGTGGAGGCGGTGTAGGTGATCGAGCACGCTCAACCCCGTGATCGATGTGACGATGATGAGTGATGACTTCCTGAATGATTGGTGGGCGGTAGATTGGCTCAGGTGGCGGGGGAGGTGGAGGTTCGGGTGTTGGCTCGCGTGGTGGTTCTGGCTCAGGTGAGACACTCTTCTCTTTGCGCCGGATGATAATTTCTTCTTTTTCGTAGTCCTGCGGGGGAGGTGTTCGTGGTCGTCGAACAATCCATTCCTCTTCCTTGCGAGCGACCAGATTCGGCCGACTGGCGGAACGGTGACGGCTGCGCTCGCGAATATCAATCTCCTCCTTGAAGACCTCGCGACCTCGTGGACCACGCCGACTATCACGAATCTCGATCTCCTCCTTGTCGACTACAGATCGTGGTGGAGCTGGCGAGCGTCTTTCTCGGATATCAATCTCTTCTCGATCGACCACTGTTCGTGTACGCGGTGGTGGAGCACTGCTCTCGCGTATATCAATCTCAGTCTTGTCGACAGTCGTTCGCGGCGGGGCTGGTCGCTCCCCTCCACCACGTCTAAATCGAATCTCTTCAACAGGAATATCTCGCGGGGGAGGTGGTCGACTCTCTTCCCGTCTGATGTTGATATCAATCTTCTCTTCCTCACGCTCACGTGGAGGCGGTCTGGAGCGAGTGCGCTCTCTGTAGATAATCTCATCGTCCTCGCGACCTCGAAATTCCACCTCGCTCCGTCCACTGCGAGGGTATGGCGGGCCTCGTTCTCGCTCAGACTCCTTGAACACAATCTCCTCCTTCTCAACTCTCTCGGTCGGCGCGCGAGATCTCACCGTCTCGCCACTTCGTCGCCGCCTGGGAGCCCGGCTGTAGACATCCTCTTCCCGATCCTCCCTCACAACCAGCTGACCTGCGTTGGATTGCTTGTCGTAGTCCTCGCGCAAGACGTCCGGCAGACGGGGACCTCTATCCGTCCGGCGGTCGCTGACTACCGTATCTCTCTCCTTGACGACGGTCTCTGCTCGGCGGGGTCGTTCTTGGTATTCCGTGCGGGACATGTCGACCTCGAGGTCATCGTAATCTCGGTCCCGCCGTGGGCGTCGGTAGAAATCGCTTTCTCGATCTTCGTAGCGGTCGGCGACCGGGTAATCTCTAGGATGGCGAGACATGGCCGATCACCTGATATATCGCTCACAGAGCGAACGGTGGCCAGATGTCGTCGTAAAATACTGTCCAGAGCAGACTGGCTGCTAATGTTGGTGAGAGGGAAGGATGCAAGTCGAGACAGTAGCCAGCTGCCTCTGAGTCGTGGGAGGTGTCAGGTGAGGAAAGCACTCGCCCGCTCCACGCGACAGTGCAGTGCAGTGCAGGGCAGCAGTGAGTGGAGGTGATGTTGGGGCAGGAGAAGAGGCCAGAAGCGGGCGGCGTTTCGTTTCGTTTCACACACGGCCGACGTGCGGACGGAGAGGATGTACGGCAGAGCGCGGCGGGCCGTCAGAACGAGGGAGTAAGTGAATGGATGATCGGGCTCGTTCAGTCACAGCATGGAGGACCGTCGTCTTGGAACAGCAGAGACAGCCAGACACGAGCTGGAGGCGGGATTCGCTGCTCACGCTGACGACAGCCTGCATGAATCTGGGCAGCAACAGCAGCGAGACTGCACCATTGCACACCACTAGCGAGTGACGACGCCGCCTTTTCTTCGACGTCCGCTGGGCATCCACACGATCAAAAACGACGATGCCTCATCTTTGGCCGTCGTAGACCAGCCATGCTAGTCGTGCCCACGCCCCGAATCGTCAGCATTCGAACTCTATCCTCCTCCCACCGCGCCGTGGAAGGCTGCTCCCGAACCGAGCCGGCTCGTCTATCTGTCTTCTTCCTGCTTTACCCGTCCGGCATCCTTGGGCGGCGGCCAGGCGTGTGATAAAAGCATCTCCCCTGCTCAATTGCAGGTTTTCTCGCCCAACCCGCCATCTTCTTCCTGCACCATGACGTTGGACATCTCGACGTTTCACTTCACGTTTTCGACCTATTCCTCCGCCGCGTGTATCAAGAGCACTATAAGATGCAGTTCATCCCAAGCTGTGGTGACTGAAAGCCGGAGGAGTTCGGTGCATGCGCGATCATTACCCGAGGAGGCTTGGATTGCATGTGAAAGGACGAGCTCTGCGTCTTAAAATCGCTTGCCTCCTCGTCTCAACACCAGTATGGCTTTTCTTAGACGGACGACGTTGTCAGGAATCCTAGGTTTCAACTGACTGTGAGCGACTCCTCTAGTAGAAGCCGCTCTCTAGTCGAAAATCGCAGGTGAGGCTGTGCTGGTGAATGCATTCAATGGTGAGTCACGGGCGATCTCTCAAGACCAACAACTCCGCTCTTCCCGTCTCTTCAGAAGCAAAGAAAAAGTCTCTCAATTCTGTCAATAACTTCCCCGTTCTACTAAAACACCGATTCATCCAAACCTCGAACTCGACCCCAAAATACATCCCCAACCTCGAATCCAACACCACCGTCCAACCCGCAACATGGCGCCCTCAAAAGACAAAACCCCCATCGAACTGGACGGCCGCACCCTCGAAGGCGGCGGCCAACTCCTCCGCAACGCCCTCTGTCTCTCCTCCTTAACCTCCACCCCCATAAAAATCACAAACATCCGAGGAAACCGCTCCGGAGGCGGAGGTCTCAAACCGCAACATCTCGCGTGCGTCAACTGGCTCGCCCACGCAACCAACGCTACCGTCGAAGGTGCCGAGAAGGGGAGTAAGACGCTCCTATTTCGTCCAAAGGCTTTGGGGGAGGAGGAGCTGTCGCCGGCGTTCGAGGAGAAGACTCTCGAAAACGGCAAGAAAGTCTACGTGTGCAAACTCGAAATCGGCACGGCGGGGAGTACAGGACTCGCATTACAGGCCGTTTTACCATTCATCCTCTTCACGAAATTCCCCGAACAGAGGACGGTAGTACTGGAAGTCAGCGGCGGGACGAACGTCGATGGGGCGCCCAGTTACGACTAGTAAGTCTTCCCATTTCACTAGGAGAGACATATCGCTGACATGATGGATTCAGTATCACCCACGTCCTCCTCCCAACCCTCTCCCGCATCGGCCTCCCACGCATAACAGCAACCCTCCAAAAACGCGGCTGGTCCACCGGCAACGGCCCAGGAATCGGCTCCTTCACCCTCTCCATCCCCCCTCTGACAACCCTCCCCCTGCCGACATTCACATACACCCCTTCTCCCTCCACCACCACCTCCCGCCCAGAACCCCCCTCCTCAATCACGGCGATCTTCCTCGCCCCCTCCACAACCCACACCCACATCTCCTCCATCCTCCCCACCACCCTCGCGCACCACTTCCCACCCACCATCCCCCTGCACATCCAAACAGAATCCTCCCTCTCCGAAAAACGAATCTACCTCCTCCTCCTCGCGCACTTTCCAGGCGACACACACACCCTCGCGAGCGATCATCTGTACGTCCGGAAGATTCGGTCTTTGGAGCGCGCCACGACGGAGATGGTCGAGTTGTGCGCTAAGAAATTGGCTGAGGAGGTGGGGAGTGGGGCGTGGGTGGATGGGTGGTTGAGGGATCAGGTGGTGGTTTTTCAGGCGTTGGCGCGGGGGAGGTGTGTGGTTTTTCCGGGGTGGGAGGGGGATGAGGACGGGGATGGGGATGAAGAAGACGAAGATGGCGATGAAGATTCAGAAGGCGGAGGAGAAGTAGAATCACGAGAACTACGAGAACCAACCCTCCACGCCCGAACAGCCGAATGGGTCGCGAAGATGATGTTGGGGGTCAAGTTCGACGCGCAGGGAGTTTGTGAGGGGGTGGCGTTTGGCAGGGATAGAGAGGGTGCCAATGGGGTGGAAGAAGTGGTGAAGGGGTTGGAAGAGGTGCAGTTGGGTGATTGATGATAAATGATGGTCCTGGTTGATGGAATGGACTGGACGAGTAGATGGGATTGATGAGCTGTGTGGTGGATGCTTGTTGGGTGTTCTTGCTCGAGGATAACAGACCTCGAACTCGAACTCGATGAAATAACTGCGAGGGTTTCAGCAGTGTCTTCCTTCGTATGCATTCGGAGCGAGTCAAAGGAGCAACATCACCAAGCGAATGAACCCGCGCTGTTCACACCACAGCTCGTTCGAATCCAACTCCATGAATCATCATTCTCAAACGCAGCAAAGGCATAGAATATCCGAAAAGAGCTCCATAATCTTGACAGTACTCAGAGAAAACTACCGCAGGAAAACGTACACGTCCTCTGTCTCTAATCTTCCCCGCTAGAGACAAAAAGTGAGACTCAAGAATGCATCCTTCGATCATCGAATGGAAAACGCCCTTCAAACGCCTTCATGAATCCGATCTGCCTCTATCCGCCGGCTGTTTGAACCATATCCAGCTTCACTCCCTTCTCTCTCTTGCACGTATTCTTGCTCTTCATTCCCATCTCTGTCGTGGAGTAGGTAAGGTAGGTATGCAAAACGCCTTTCTTCTAAGTCACAGTGTAACCACCGTCGACGCGGAGATCGGCGCCGGTCACGTAGCCCGCCGCGTCGGAGAGCAGGAAGGTGACGGCGCCCATGAGGTCCTCTGGACGGCCCATCTTACCCTGCGGGATGAGGGAGGTCCACTTCTGGGCGAGCTCTGGGTTGTCGTCGAGGATCTTCTTGGTGCTGTTTGATGATATGTCAGTTGCCGTCCGCTAGTACCACTTTCTCGGGTTCTTGACTTACAGTGCCGTAAGCATGTATCCCGGCGAGATGCAGTTTACGCGGATACCTGCATGAGCCCACTCAACTGCCAACGAGCTGGCGAGATGTCTCACCGCGGCTTTGGCGGCGTTGTAGGGAGCTTGTGGTTGTGGGACGTTGACGATGGCACCTGACATGCTACCGATCATGACCACACTGCCTGCCGCCTTGCGCTCCATCAAGTGCTTGGCAACCGCGCAGGCCCAGAGATACGTGCCGTCCACGTTGACACCCCACAGCTTCTGAATGCGGTCGTGCGGGTACTCGATGGCGTCGAAGTTCTCGGTGAAGCCGGCAGAGGTGACGAGGTGGTCGACCTTGCCGTGAGCTTCGATGATCTCGGCCAAGGCCTGGTTGACCGACTCTGGCTTGGAGACATCGCAGTAGTGAGCGGTGACCTTGGGCACTCGCGTCGCTCCTGGGTTCTCTTTTCTGAACGTCTCCTCCAGCAGCTTGGCCTGCTTCTCACCCTCCTCCTCTTGGATTGGTATGTCAGTATCGATCTTGGCGTGTTAGATGAAGAAGATGGCTGCACTCACTGTTCAAATCGACAATAGCAACATCCGAACCACTGACAACACACGCCTGGCTCATGACCAGACCCAAACCTCTAGCACCACCGGTCACGATAGCACTGCGACCCTCCAAGCTGAAGCTCGACAGCGTCCGCCGGAAATGGAAGCCACCACGGCCCTGAACTGGCGCAGAGCTGGGGAGGTTCTCCTCCTCGGGGTACTCGACACGGATACGCTTGTCGGTACGCGAGAACTGGCCCTCATGCTCAAAGGCACCGGGCTTGCCGGCGGTGCTGTACTCGTCGTGCTTGTCCTTGTCCTCCTCGCTGCGTGCTGGTGGGGTGATGCGGATGCCGCGAGTTGCCTGGCGGGTGAGGAGGGCGGAGGTTGGTGGACGGACGGCGGTGGTGGAAGCTCTTGAGACCTGCCGAAGCAGGCTGGTCTTGATCATGATGGTGGTGTAGGGTGATGGAAGGGGTGGAGTGGCGGTGAGCTTGGTGGAGTGGTGGAGGGAAATTGAAGGGCAGAAGCTCGTGGAGGGTGATAGTGAGCTGAGGATGGAGTGATGATTGAGAAAAGCTGCCACGAGCTTTTCGAGGTCGACCTCACTCAGGGTCTCTGTGAAACGAAACGGCCAATGACGTCGGACGTCTCCACGCGGTGTGCTGTGTGCTGTGTCTATCTGTTGATAATAGATGCACGCACCGGATTGTTATTGCGTGCCTTCACGTCACCGCCAATGCGATGCAGTAGCTGCGGCGTTGAACGACGATGGAAGCTCAGGTCGCTCAACCATTTCTGTGCTGTAGGTCCCAAACTGCTTCAAGCTCCTGGTCGCTGTGACGCTCCCACACTCCCGCTCTCCGCGTCAAGGCCGTGTGGCCAACCGTTGTTGTGCCTGGGGATCACGTGAGTGCCAAGAAGGCCACATCTTCTGAATTCACAGTCCTTGTAGATACCTGCTCCCGTAATCAATCATCTATGAAGGCCTAATAACCGCTGCACAACAACCGTCCCTGCTTCTCCATTTCAGGCTAAGCCCACGATGGGAAATCCATCCTCGCCATTGGCTCCCCCACCATTTCTCGCCATGTCTCGTGTACGGCGTAGAAACTAATCCACAGTGGACGTCGACGCAGAAGATCCCCTCGCAGACCGCATCGAAGTGAAGAGGGAAAAGAGGCATGGCCAAGACCAGCCAAAGCCAAAAATAGTCCGGCCCTCGAATGTACCATTGTACAGTGGAGAGCACTCGTATCGTCTTCTTGAGCTGACGACTTGGGTAATGATGACCAAGAACACCAAGTGGCCATTCCAGTCAGATCTTACGCAGCTTCAGGCAAAGTGTTCGTACTGCTGTGGCGAGAGATTTGGATGGTGGAAGAGCTATTCGCCAGCCGTGAGATCCGAGTTGTCTTGAGAGCGAAATTTGAAATTCGTCTGATACAGTAGAGGGCCATTCCAGTGAGGATCCATGTGAAAGTGCAGAGCGTTAACGTTTTCAAAAAGAGCAACTCGATCCGTTCCCCGTCCTGATATGATCCATGGCCCCCATGCAAGGCTGTCGATTTTGCTTTGGCGTGGCCAGATCCACCACACGATAAAGGTTCGGGACGACCAGATCTGTGGAGAGAAGACCCACTCAGTCGACAACGTTTTTCCCCCGAGGCTTCGTCTACTCTCCTCGCTCCGCTCAAAGTGAAATACCTCATCTCCACAACTCGCAAGCCGTCTGACCAGCCTAAAGTGCGAACGGAAGCGTGGTCGCTCTCCAAAGATCGAAGAATCACTCGTCTTATGCGTTCCACTTTGAGCGGGACGATGAGGGTATGACATCCTCCGACCTGAAGTCTTTGTCCGGGTCAGGTCAAACCTCTGCGGACATGGCCATCTGCGTCTACTCGTTGCTTAGATTAGCGAAGAGTGGCCGCTCGGGTTGGTGCGCTGACGAAGATACAGTCTGACCGGCCTTGCCTTGTTCAGACTCGTCAAAGAAGACCAATAAGGCAGGTCCCTTCAGGCTTCCTATTCTCCAGGGTAGGCAACCACTCAGCGTTAGCCTTGGCCTGTGTACGAAGGAGCCTGTCTCCCCGATCTCGTCGTGCGCGCCACCTCAGAATCGTTCGGCTTCTCAGCTGCATCAACTTGCTCATCTTCAACAACCTTCCCTTCGACAACCTCCCCATCCCCACCCACCTTCCTCTTCGCCCCCTTCCTCGTCCCCTCATACGTTTTCAGCCCCTTCTGCGGCACCAACCCCTCCCCCCTTCCCAATATCTCCACAAACCCCCTCGTCGCCCTCTCCCTCCCCTTCTCCGTCCTCAACCCCACAAGCCGCATATAAACCGCATACCGATTCCCGCGATTCAGCCTCTCCCACGTAGCCTTCGCCTGAACATCCTTCTCCACCGCGTCGAGAAAATACTTGGGGAGCTCAGCGCTCGCAGGACCAGAATACGCCGCGTCCCACCGCCCGTCCGCTTTCGCCGCTTCGATGGTCGCTAGGCCCGCGGGTTGCATCCGTCCCTCGGCGATGAGGCGTTCGACGAACCCGATGTTGCGCTTCGACCACATCCCCTTCGTGGCGCGGGGCGTGAAGCGGTACGTGTGTGTTGTGTCGTCGCGTTTGCGGCCCCGGGAGTCGATCCAGCCGTAGCAGAGGGCTTCGTCGAGAGCTTCGAGATAGGTGAGGGAGGTTGGGACGGTGATGTTTTTGTTGGCGATGGTTAGCCAGACGCCTTTGGAGGTGGTGGTGTTTTGGGAGAGCCAGTGGCGCCAGGAGGGGGCGTTGGGGAGGGTTAGGGCCGGGAGGTCGGGGGCGGGCATTTTGCGAGAAGAGTCGATGATTTTGTTATTGTAGACAGAGGAGGTTTGGTTGTATTTCTCGGGCTAGTCGTGGCGCGAGTCTGTATACAGCTCAAGGCCTTCTTTCGGTGCCTGGACCGTGTTGAGAGTAGCCAGCGCCGAGATAGTGGCGAAGTAGAATTCAGCTATACCAGAGGAGTACTGCCGTCCTGGATTGAAAAAGTCCTCGGAGCATATTCGCCTTGGTACATGATCTTGAAGGTGCAAGAAGGAAGAGGAGATATAGCTGAAGGTTGAAGCTAGCCATGGAGGGAGGAAGGAAGCAACGAAGGATCAGAAATGTGGGGGCCAGCATTCCTGCCGCAGGAACAGTACATATATTTTCAAGACCACAGGAGAGAAAAATTGTCCAAAGATTCAGCTCCGGTCAATACTTCGTGAAATAAGATCGTTTTCTTCATTCATTCATACCCTTTCATTTCAATGCCAATCTATAGATAGGTAGGTCCAAGCATATGTACATACCAGCGCAAGAAAGTCGTTCTCATTCATCGATCTTCCCGCTATGCAATATGCCGTTTCAACAAGATTGCGTCAAAATCTAGTTGGTACCAGAGCATCCAACAAAGTTGTTACCCGAAGCACCGGTGTGGGTGATGGCACCAGCATAGTCGCCATCGGTGTTGAAGACAACACGGTCAGCACCTGGGGAGCCTACAAATCTACCATTAACAAAACATATCCCGACGATCATCGTTGTTAATGATACGTACCACCAGTGTAGACACCGCTCTCCTTGATGGGGAACTCCTGGTAAGGCCCAGAGACAGGGAAGTCGAAACCCTCGTAGTTGTTGTACGTGTGTGGGTAGTCGCCGGAGCCAACCTGCTGGCCGTTGGCGTAGTAGTTGTAGCCCTGGTTGAGCGCGGCGTTGACCTGGCCGGAGCTGTAGTAGTTGTTGCCGCAGGTGGTGGAGGACTGGCGGGCGACGAGCTCGCTGGTGGGAGCGGCGAGGGCGCTGACTGCGAAGAGCAGGGCGGAGGAGACGATGGAGAAACGCATCTTGGCTGGTTGAAAGGGGGTTGAAGGGTGAATGAGGGACTTTTGTTTTGGCGAAGAGAATGAATGTGTTTTCTGCTTGACCAAGGAAGATATGAATGAAGGAGATGGCTCACTTTATACCTCAGCAGGGTTGTGAGAACAACACACCGCGCATGTGTCGGCTATGTTCAACTCGTGTCTGTACGACGGAAGTAGCGAGAGCATAGAAAGTCCGTCCAAGAACTACTCCTGCAGTCCGACGATCAACAACATACCATCTCACGGCGAGCAGGGCGTTTTCGTCCATTGAACCGACGAGAGTGCGCTGCCATGGTAGCACAGAAGATGTGATCGACATCAACCAGCTTGCGTATCGTGCATAATAGTCGAATAGTAAGCGTCCGGTAGTCCTGTCGTCCTGTTGGCGCCAACCCGGGGCAAGTCGCGCAATAGGAAGGTATGTAGAATCGACGTCGTGGGCTAATCGATAGGCCAAATGAGAATGCAGTATCAGAGCACATGTCTGTCGTTCCCCAGCAAGCCTCGTAAGACGCACGCCGTGCCTGACGAGCGGGCACTGGAGCTTCCCGCTGCAGGTCTTCGGTAGCATGTTGGCAGGAAATGGGTGAAGGAGGTCGCCGGCGTCCAGTGAGAGTTGGAGTCGGGGATGTTGGCTCTCCCAGCCCAGAGGAACTGGCGGTCGATCCCTGCGCATGCCGATCGCGTAGGCGGCTGAGGAGAGTTTACGAGCCTGCGCTAGACTCAACGAAGAAGGCACTCCCATTTCCCAGTCGGAGCTTTCACCTCTACATTCCCCTCTTGCCTCTGCAAACGCTGAACATGTGCATATCTCTCAGCACTTTCATTCGTCCACCGCCATGACCTGATTTATGTTTCACTTGGCGCGAAGGCGAATATGGAGTCGGACCCGTCCGTCGACGCCACTCACCAGCTCGGTGAAGGTACTGCATTGGTTTGTGCGATGGCGCCTGGCACGTCATGGTCGCTGCTGAGTGTTTGAATAAAGGTCTTCTGAGCGTGGAGCTTCCTTCACAGCAGTTCGAAAGAGCACGTGCGAGTTGAAGGGCAAGCACCATCCGAAAGACGTCTCGTTCAGACATACCAACACCGATACCATGCCTCAAGCCGGCCTCGAGGGATCGAATACCATCCAGCAAAGCCCGCAGTACGCGGCACTGAGCGACTACATATCGAATAAGATTGAATTGAATGGAGCGTTAGACAAATTCAGCAGTCCGGCTGAGAATGAGTGGACATCGTCGACAAGCGCAGAAGAGGTGGAAGAACAGTTGACGCTGTCGTGGAGATCTATTATATCTCAAGCAGCGCAAACGTCCTTCAAAGACGCAGCCCAACAGAAGTTGGCGGACTTCGTGGTTGGCCTACAGCAACGCCCAGCACTGCAGAAAGACGGTCAGACTTGTCAAGTCCAGGGCACAATTGTTTGGAAAGATCTGCCAACGTTTGGGTGGTCGATACGAGACGCATGGAACCAAGGTATGTGTGTCTTGCCTGAAGCATCCAATCCAGACTGACAACCTGTAGCTGCGGGACCGGATAGCGATCAGAAGAGCAAAGACCAGTGGATCAACTTGAACGCGTTTACGGCTCTGTTGACAGCTTCGGCACACTCGAAGACCAACGACAACCCCGACCTCTCGCTCTTTGGTTTTTGGGCCTTGCGACAAGCTTTTGAGGAGCAGAACGTCTCCGACGTCGCCATCGCGGCGGCTGCTGCGTGGTTCGTTTACGCCGCACCTACCATCTACGACTTCTCCCAAAAGAGCAAATCTTTTGATGGAAAAGTTGCGAAGCCTGGTTCTGCCTTCTCCGACCAGAGCTGGACTGGCTTTTCGCAAGACCGATGGCAGGTGTGGACGAAGAAGTTGAGCGAACTTCAAGGCCGTGTATCCAACAATACCGCAAGTCAGCTGGTCGAGCAAGCTCAGGTAGCGATTGGCGAGATTCAGCAATGAGGAGTGCTGAGAGTGATACGAAGTTACGCGACGAGTGCGAACTCTTCTGTAAAAGTAAGCGACGTCAAATGAAGCAGGCGCTCAACGAAACCCATCAGTGTCAACGTTTTCTTCCAAAGTCGAGCCTGTCGTTCACGAGACTTTCCAGACAATGTGTTGGCGTTCCACAGCGTCCCGAGCCAGTCTTTCGACTGCAAGGCACGAACATCTCCACCGCTGTGGTCTGCCACATGATTGCAAGGATGACCACGACTCGGCCTGCTCGAGCATCCGGTTGTGCCGAAGTCGATGAGAGCAGAAATGTCATTAGAAAAGTACGAATTGATCCTCGATCCAGTATCTGAACGAGATGAAGTAGACTCGAGCATTCCTGTCAGACTGTACGAGTGTGTACGGCGTCTGGTTTAAGGAGAGGGGTGACGAGTCCAGATTCGAGAGCGCTGACTGGCTGTCGCAGGAGATTGAGTGGAGACGAAGAAGGCAGCCTGAGCTCGTTTCAAGATGAAGAATTCCCCGTAAGGCCAGTGGAAGCAACACTTCGATAAGCAGACGAGATTGCATTGAAGAGTAAGACATCCAGCTCTGAGAAGATTTCAACCCGACGACTCGACGTGATACAGATGGACTGCTTCATCACGCCAGTCCAGGCGTTTCAGGATGCCTGTTTCAGAAACGGCGGGCGAAGGATCACTTGGCGCAATGCACTGGCGTCGCACCGCATGTGGTGCCTGCCAAGCCGCTCGCTGCACAACTCCATCTCCTCTTGTGTACAGACGCTCCCGATGTCAAAAGCTGTGCTCGTGACTCGAAAGGAGAGGGTCTGGTGGTGAGGAGGCCGGATGCGGCTATGCGAGACAGCGGAGCCGTGGGCGCATGTATCACGCAAATAATACACCAGGAAGGAGGCGTTCCTGAGATCGAGGGCGTCGCCGGGACTCCGCAGCCGTTTTGCTATCGACGTTGTTGCTCGTATATTTTGCATGGTACAGCAGATGGACGATACAACCGCCGAGGCGTTGTTGTCGATAGCAGAGTTCTTGAAAGAGACTGGAAGTCTAGATCTTTTGCATCCCTGAGCAACATAACCTGAGAGTCGAGGCGTGGACAGGCAACCCAGCACTTGCCTATTCCTAAAATTGGCGGCGTTGTTCTGAGACTGCAGCTGCGCTAGCGCCGAACCGACCCCGAACCTAACGTTCCTGCCTTTCTCTCCCGCTTTCACCCAACTGCCACCACCAACAACATTCCATCCTCACCACCGCCGCTCTCTACCCGCCCAGCACTCCGTTTCACGCGGCCAGCTCGCCTGCGATCCTCGACCGCCGTCTCAACCTCACCTCGTCGCCCTGCGAGCACCGCTCCGCCATCGCGCCCTCTCGCCCTCGCGCCCTCCTCAGCTTCGTACGACAAAGCCCGGCGCTTCTCCTATCGCTCCCTGCGACCACACGCCCACCTCGCGCACCACCCACCACCCAATTTAGCTGCGCATTCACCACCACAGTCTCTGCGACATTCTCTTCTTCATCATACTCGCGCCACTCCGAGAGCATTCGCGCGCATCAACACACACCCTGACGCGCGGCCGTCCTCGATTCTTTCACCAGTCACTCGTTTAACACCACCGCTCGCGCACGCGACCGTAATTCATGCCCAGCTTCGGAAGCAACACCAACTCACCCTCGCTGCAAAAGATGGAGATGGGAGGTCGTTATACTGGCGGCAAGAAGTTCGCCTTTGGCAACATTGCCGGTGACCCATTCTGGCTGGGCACCATAGGCATTGGCATTGTGAGTCAAAGAACATGCACAATGGGATACCCAAGCTAATGTTTGACAGTCTGGCTGGATCATCGCCTTTGTCAGTTCGGTCATTGCCGACATCCAGACCGACTACCCCAACTACTCCTGGTGGTGCTTGGTCTACATGTTCTTCTGCATCCTTGCCGTCATCTTTGTTGTCGGCGCCGATTGTGTTTTCACTTACCATGTCGGCCTCACCGCATTCCTCTCCGCTGGCCTTGTGTTCACGACCTCTTCTGTCAACTCCCTCATCTACTGGCCCGAGCCTGCCAAAGAAGCTGCCGCCGCCGGTTTCATCCTGCTGTCTATCGATGCCGTACGTTACTGACCAGATGCAATACATCTTCGTATACTAACATTACTCGCGCAGATCATCTGGATGTTCTACTTCGGCTCTCAGCCGCAAGCAAGCCACCGCCAAACCCTCGACTCGTTCGCGTTGCACAAGGACCGTGCGCCGAGCCGCAACAGTAGAGCTATGCGGCAGTCGTACCGCCCAGAGACGACGCATTCTGCTGGCCAGCCCCAGCACATGTACACGTCGAACCACCTCGCTGGCTTCGAAACCGCCTCGCCAGTTACCGGCTACCATGGAGGTCCAGCCGGAGCCTCGAACCGTGCCAGTGCCATGCCGCCGCCGTTGAACTCGCAGCCAAGTGGTGCCCTTTCGCAAGGTACTAACGGCGCTTCTGCTCCTCTAGGCACTCAAGACGGTTCGGTTGCCGCACCCACTGAATACCCATACCGCGCCAAAGCCATCTACAGCTACGAGGCCAACCCCGACGACGCCAACGAAATCTCCTTCACCAAGCACGAGATCCTGGAAGTTAGCGACGTTTCAGGCCGGTGGTGGCAGGCAAAGAAGGAGAATGGGGAGACGGGTATCGCCCCTTCCAACTACCTCATCTTGCTCTGAACGGGAACTGTATTTGTGCGATTGGCATAAGCGAGCAGAGGAAAGCGCTACGACTTCACGAACGCCGGCGAAAGTATGCTATCATGCAGAACGGAACGGCTACTCATGAAAGAAGAGGGCAAAAGCAAAGATTCGGCATGCATGATAACGAGAAGAGCTTCTCCAGAAGCGTGTCTTCCCGGTGGACATATGGGAAGGCGGCATGAAAGCTTCAAGAGCAGGGAGACAGCGAGTCTCTTTGTTCGAAGCGGCGGCATGTTGCACACTGCGAAAGGGAAAGACGGGACTACTATGCGAGATTTGGTTTTGGCGGCGGCGTTATCTGGATGGGCAGAGCCACTTTTCTGGCTCATGGCTCTGATGATCGGAAGGCAGCGAGCCTTTTGCTGCTTCTTATGTGCTGGTTTTCATGCGACGATACCAGAGGGCCTGATGATTGGCCCCAAGGGACACTTTTATTGCGTTTGAATGTTTTCGAGGACTGATGTGTTTCTTCGAAAAGAGGAGCGATAGCGCTAAGCGAGAGAAAGTATGAATGTTTTTGAGATTGAAAAATTGAACTGCTTCTCCAACTTTTCAAGAGGCTTTGTGATGTGATGTGATGAAGAGGACTGGGCACGGTGAGTCTCTAGAGTTGGCACCAGATGGATTGATCACACACGATCGTCCCCATCTCGTCCCAGTCAGTGATAAGTGAATGGCAATCGCCAGAACTCAGGGAAAAACTTCGCTACCGGTCCTCCCCCGAATCCCAACGACGAACTCGGAACGAACGAGAGCATGGAAGAACCAAATAATACGAAAGGCAGATTGACTTCCTTGCATAGAAGAATATCCAGTGTACGTAAGTAATGGTTCAGATGCTTCCTGTCGTTGGGGGCTTCTTCATCAAGGGCCGAATATGTTTTGAAATAATGACCCTGCTGTTCGTATTGTTGCCTTGTGGGGAAGGTTTTCGCGGACGATATTGCAGTCACGCATGGAATGGCGGGATTTTCGTTCTTAGGGCGTCGATATAGGTAGGGGTGGGGGTAGGGGTTGAGGTAGGATGGGATACGCTTCGTCGTGTGTATAACAGTGATCGATTGCGAGATTCTCTTTCAAGTCCAGCGTCGGCTCAGACATTGAACATTGGTGGTGCTGGAGCGTTGGCGTGCGAGAAGATGTAATGGTGATGCTAGAGTAGATGGATATGTGTTGGCAGGTCTGCATCATTTCTGTTCCTTGGTCATGGGCTTTCTGGGCTGTGCTTCCTCTCCATATGGCAGCTCGACTGCCAACGTCGAGCGTTCATGTACTTCTTCAAACCCGCTTTTCACCTACCAGCTGCAGTGGCTCCATGGTGCAGCGGCTAGCACATCCAACAACAAAGGGGTGTGATCGGAGCACCAGCTCTTGTCTTGATCCCGATTGTACCCCCATTCCGCTTCGGTGGCGTGATTTGTTTGGAAGACCTGCGTTCGAGTCGCAGTGGGACCGACGTCTTTTGCCTTGTTCCACAATGCAGGCATGGAGGTCGTGGCCTTCTTAATTGGACATGTTACTTTTTGGATGAGATCTAGATGCCGATGCCGATGAACGGTTGATAAGGCTGATGAACATGCTTTGGCGTGGTCTCAGATACCGTTTGCTCATTCTGTTCTTGTCTCAGAGGCTCCGTGATTTGGTTTCTGGTGTCGTTTGCGAGCCGCATAGTTCCGGCTTCATGTGTATGTATCGCTGGTCCTGATGGAGATATTGCTTGGCTTCCAGCAGGCGAATGTGTACTCGTTTATTCGCTTGGAGACGGTTTACAGCGAGAGGGGATTCTAACACTCTTGTTTGAATTCGCCAGAGCTGTTCACGAGTTCCATCAAGTGGCGGCATGGAGTGGCTGAGGCTGGCTGCCGAGACATGTCTCAATTCACTCACAGCTGATGAGTCAGCCCCGCTTGCATGTGATGGCTGCCTCACTGCCGTCTATTGTCGGCGTCATATTGTCGGCACGTCTCGCTTTTGCTCACTTTGCTTGTGATATTGCAGCAGCTCATATATAAGGAGCTCCTTTATTGCGGTCAACATTGACTTTGCCACGACAACGACCTCGAAAGGATTCCGCCGCGTCCAACAGTTTCTCAAGCCCAGCAGTCGTCACGTATCTGGCCAGGTTAGCGCAGTTCGAGGCTCACACGTCAAGCTTCACTTTCACTTCCAAGGCAATGGGCTGCATCTGCGCTGCCGACCGGGGTGAAAAGTCTTCGCTCCTTCTCCAAAACCTCACCTACCTCAAGTCGAGTTCACGCCGGTGCGCCAGTACATACTACGAGCACGGCATGCGCTACCATCGGCTTCCACTTCACATTCGAAACCACGAAGTCATCCAAGACAGCTGGCGCAACTACTGCAGCACCGCCTTCACCGTCTCTGCCAACCGCGAATTGCCAGACCTCGTTCAAGTCCTCGCAATGTTGGAGATCAAGTTCCAAGCAGCGCATTCAGCCCTGTTCAAGGGCGAGGTGAATGCTGCTGAACGCCACCTCTTCGTCGCGCAGAAGCTGGTCCTAGAAGCTCACCACCGGGTGAGCACGTTGCAGTGGGCGATGGTGCAGTATGAGCGGCTTGTGAAGTTGGTTGGCGATGTGGATGTTGCTGTGGGTCAAGGCCAAGAAGTCCATGAAGGAGGCGTGGATGAGGGTCTTGCCAGAGTGGTGCGGTAAGTCAACTATTGTCTGCGGTAAGTGAATCTCACCACGGAAGAAAGCAAGTGAACACCCCTAACATTTCCTTAGGCGCAAGCTAGGATATCTTGCCAAGGCTGATGGCCGAGATCTGGAGCTTGAAGATGGGCTCAACAAGGATCGAGAAAGGCGTGTATTTGAAAGGCATCGTCCTGAATACTGGATATATGCAAAACAAGAAGAGTCATTTCGTGACGATGGTGTTTACTCCATTTCTGATTACTTTTTCTCTCTTATCGCTTCGCTGTGGCGATCCAGGGGCTCACGTGCTGCGGAGGGACTCGATTACGTGGACCGTTGCTACTGACCTTGTGTCTGGCATAGCAGTCGAATGATCGATGTTGAAAGCGTGATGTCGATATATGGGCCCAGCAAGGTGTGAAAAGCATGTTTCACGATCGACTGTGACTGTGATGGGACGGATAGGATTAGAGTGGAAGGGAGACAGGAGATTCGAAATGAAGTCGACAGCCGAAGCTTTGCCTCTTTAGTCAGGCGTGCTGGGTCGACCTCGAGACTACCTGTCACCAATTCTACCATACCCACCCTTGCAAACTCGTACAATTCACCCATCTGCCTCCCTGGATAGAGCGTATGTATCCTCCCGACCCGCCTCGAGATGGCGAGCAGCTTGGAATCAGCCCGGCGACCGCAGGACACTGACTAATTGGGCCCGACAGCGCTTTTTCGGTCACGATCGAGTGTGTGCGTGGAAGAAGAGGAGGTTCTTGGAGATTCATCTTGGAAGTGCTCCAGAGTCTTGTCGAGGTGGAAGACTAGAGGATGGCTACATCTGCTGGTGCGTCGGGTACACTTCGCCGTCATGGTGGTTGCTTGGGAGGGCTCCCCGCTACTTCGCACAGCATTGCAGAAATCTCGTCGCAGCGACCACGCAACATCCAGCCAGACAAACGCTGAACCATCGGCAGAACACTGCAGATGGACGTCTTGAGGGCAGCGATACGGGTGTTGGGTTGGATGTGGCGCAGATTGGTCGACTTGCTGTCGAGTCTCATGCTCTGTTGAAAGGGCGGACAGCACCCCGGCGGCGAAACCACGTCTATCAAGGAGCGCTCACTGACTGATGGGGTTACAGAATACGGCAGCGCGGGCTTCTCTCGCTCTTCCTCCCTCTCTGCCGCACGGTCGCCAGACACCGCATCGCATATCTACCCTGATCGATCAATTCGGCCCCTGCCCAAGAGCAGGCTCAAGTCGAAGCTGTCCCCCGAGCAGCAAGCCGCCCTCGTCTACCCTCCCGATCCACCGCCCATCTCGCCTACTTTGAGCTTCAGCGTGCAGGAGAATGGCACCCAGTCCCAGCAGCGACGGCTGACAAATGGCGATTCGCACCACCATGACCACGATCGGCGCATTGTGCACGACCACTGCACGTGTGGTGAGGATGCGGACAGCGGCGACGACGAGGTCGAGTTTGACCATCCCGACTACCGTTATCCCCCACCCCTACCTGCTGCCCTCGCGAACGGCAAACCTGTGGACTCGCTGCAGCGGCGACTGATCGATGCTACACGCGCGGCCGGCAACCAACCTCCACCCCCAGGCTCAACAGCATCATCAGCAGACGGGTACGAGAGCTTTGAGAATACGAGCAATAAGAAGAAGAGAAAGATACCTCTCTCAGGGGCTTCGAGTATGCACCAGAGTTCGTTAAGTGCCGAGATGGCCAACATGGGTATCAGCAATTCGCATGGAGATGAGGGCGGTGTGAATGGAGTGGCGGGAAGCCCTGAAGAGTCGTACAGTCCACAATCTGCACCTGCAACCACGCCAAGCTCAGGCACGGGCATTAGTGGTGCTGGCAGAGGCAGGTATGGGAGACAGGACGGCAGGCATCGGCGGCCGCTGGGAAGCAACACGATGAATGCCATTAATGGCTACAACTCACGTGTTCCTGCCCGCGGCGCCGAGGTCAAGAATGGAGCAGGTAAATTCCAACCAGACGCGCGGGTTTGATTAGACGGACAAAGCTGACGTAACCTCCAACATAGATACAGGCGTCGAGAACACAGGAGGCATTATTTCTCAAGCCATCAAGACCGCCGCAGAGCAAGGACCTCTCACACCCGCGGGCAAAGGTCGGGACAACGTGAGCTTGCTCCAATCAGCCGCGAGCCAAAACTCCACGACACCCAAAACACAGTTCACCTTCACATGCGAGTCCGACTCCGCCACCAAGATGGTCGATCAACAGCTGCCGCCACCCGCAGCGTACGGCACGCCCACTCCCACACGCAGTGCACCACCGCCAGGCAAGAACGCACATGGCACGCAGACGACCAACGCGTCACGCGCCGGACAAGCACCACCCAACAACATGGCGAGACCACCACCACCACCCGCAAACACTGCACCGCCTGCAGGACAGCAGCAGCAAACAGCGCCACCACCGAAGCCAAAGCCTCGCAGAAACCCCAACAAAGAGTACGCCCTACAAGCTGCCCAACGCAAGAGAAACCAGCAGTACCAGAACTATCATCATCGACCTAAGCCAGACGACATGTGGGTGTGTGAGTTTTGCGAGTACGAAGACATCTATGGTGCACCACCATACGCGATGATTCGCCGGTACGAGATCAGGGACCGCCAGGAGCGCAAGAAGGCAGCAGAGAAGAGACGGTTACTGGAAAAGGCCAAGATGAAGGGACGCAAGAACAAGAAGGGAGCCGGCAAGGGAGGCAAGAACAACAACGGAAACAACGCGACGGCGCCACCACCACCGGCAAATGCCCAGAACTACGATCCCAATCTGCCGCCGCCAGAAGGAGAGGAGTACTACGACGATGAGGAGTATGATGAGGACGGCTACGACCCTGTTGGCGACGAGCAGTACGATCCAGCGTACTATCCACCGCCTGGGCCCGAGCGACCGCCTGCAAGAGTTCCTCCTCCAGGGGCTCGCGGGGCGCCTCATCCCCATGTATAGCTCACCATGGGCATGGCGGTACTGTTTCTGGCTTCGGCTTCGGTGTTTGGTCACATTGTTCCTCGAGGGCTCTACTACTCGCTGTATGCTCTACACTTTGCGACCGTCATTTGGATTGCAATCTGGCTCGTGTCAGAGAAAGCGGAAGGCCAACAGGAATGCGTCGATCAACCTTTCGAAACAGCGCTGGTCATACCTACGGATGAGGAGCCTGTACATACCAACTCGCGGTGAAAACTTCTCCTTCTGGGTTTTGGATGGCGTTGGAGTTCTGGGATTGTTTTTTGTTGCATCTTGCATCTTGCGCGTCGATGGATTCTTGTTCTTTTTTGCATTTCTCTGGCGTTTTATACCTTGACCTCCACTCAAAACACAGAAAACAGACAGATGCAGGGATGATGGTGATGGATGGTGGGAGGAGTGGCTGATGGTGGAGAGTGTTGGTGGAAGTGGAAGTGAAGAGAGTCTGGCGGGCTGAGTGTTGGGGGAGGATGTAAGCAGTTGAACAGTGTACATGACCGAAAAATGGAGGTGAACACTGTTGAAAAGAAGACGTTCTCTCTGGACTGTTTCCTCATTCCCCCCTTCAAAGCTTCGCATCCCCCAGTCACGCCGAACTCCCCTTCTGCTTCTCCCCCAACTTCATCGCCCCCAACGTCTCCGCCGCCTCCTCCTTAAACTCCTCCAACCACCGACTCTGCGGCTTCCGCTCATACACCACATCGCCCATCGTCCACGTCATGCGCTTCCGATCCGTCTCCCAATCCACATCATTATCCGGACAAATCACGTAAAACTTATCCTCACTCATCTTTTTGTAGAGGTAGTCTGCGACCTGCGAGGCGTCCCACGCGCCCGCGGGTTTCTCTTTCAAGCCGCCGCCGCCGGTGAGGCCTGTGAAGGTCCAGCCGGGGACGAGGAGATGCACGGACGTGTGGGGGGAGGTTTTGGCGAGGTCGTAGTGGAGGTGTTCGGTTATGGTTTTGATGGCCGACTTTGTTGCGTTGTAGGCAGGATTGCCTGCGAGGTGAATTAGTCTTCGTGCCTTTGGGGAGAAGATGAGGCTGGTTTATTTACCTGGTGGGTTTGTGATGCCTTGTTTGGAGCCTGTGATTATGATGGCTTTTTGCGAGGATGGATTGTTGTTGTCGTCGAAGTGCGGGTAGAAGGTGTTGAGGCCGTTGATCACGCCGAAGAAGTTGACGTCGAAGATCTTGTGGAAGTAGGCATTATCTGTCCAGTCGCCCTTTAGTCCAATGCCGGCGTTGAGGTGGAGGAGATCGAGTTTCCGGCCGCCTTGCTCAACGGAGGATTTCAGTTGCGTCCAGGCATCGAGAGAAGCTACGTCGATGGAGTGGGTTTCGACTTTGCCGGAGGAGGACGAGAGTGTGCTTTTGGCTTGGTCGAGTTGGGAGGTGTTGTTGTCGACGAGAATGAGGTTCATGGAGTGCGAGGCGCATAGTTTGGCGACGGCGAGGCCTACGCCGCTTGCTGCGCCGGTTATGAGGGCATTGGCGCCGCTGCGGAAGACTTTGGTTGGGGCTGCCATGTTTTATTGTGTTGTTGAGATGGTGGTAGAAGAAAGAGGGGGATGGAGAGGGGCATTGGGGGGTGAAGTGATCGACTTGCACGACGTCTGTTGTTGGAGATGGGAAGGTTATCTCCGAGAGATATTGATGGATGGCTGTCCACTGCTGGTGAAGGCAAGTGTTCTTTCGTCTTCAATGCCTCTCAAAGGACTCCCCAAAGAACGACGCCCGATCATGCCGTCTTGACTTTTGTGGTGGTCATGGTGCTGCTGTCACACGCGGAGATAGCAATGCGATGATCGAAACATGTCTAACTTTGCCCTTCTCTCGTACGGTCTTACTCTGCAGACCCACGTTGCTATTGCGCTTGGTCTGTATCGTGCGTCGTCATCGTCGATAAAATGAAGGCGTTGTTAGCCACGAGGTTGTTGGAGAAGAGGATCGCGGTGCTTGCACAAGTTCGCTCGTGAACCTCCCCGCGGTAGATTTGGGCGCTGGTTGCTGGGCAACCCAGCCGATCATCACAAATCCCGACCACACCTCGATCCAGAACACACGCAGGTGGCCAGCACCCGAGACAATAGCAACGCCTTTATATTCCCTCGTCCGCCTCTCACATCACTCGCACATGCTTTCTGTGTGATGAGACAACATGGACGCCAAATCGCGGCCTCAGCACCGCCGCAACCCCAGCTCCAAGTCGGGCATCCTCAAGTCGCTCGTCTCGTCCAAGTCGAGGCCGGCCTCGCCTGAACACTCTCGCGAAAATGCACAACAAGTTCGGAGCCAGACAATGCCCTTGCTCCCGCCAGACCATCCTCATACTTCAGCACGAGGTACAGGACTGAAGGAGCGGGCTGGCAACGTCCAGTCTCCTCCATCCTCACCTTCAAAGAAGAAGGCCACTCTGGGACGGACTGACAAAGATATCAAGGCGTCGAAAGTGAAGGATGGCAAAGATGGCCCAAAGAAGAGCAAATCCTCTACCAATCTTGGAGCTGTCTTCGCCAGGATGAACCGCTCCAGCAAAGACCTCTCTGCTCAACTCGCCAAAGACAAGGAAAACACCACCCCGCCAGTCTCCGTCAATCGGCCGCTCGAAACACCCATCTTCTCTCAGTTTGCCTCCAAAGACGACTCGAACTCCTCACGTCCGGGTAGTCGAGATAGCAAGTCCTCCCACAACCTGCAGAGCGAGATCGATCTCTACACGCCAAAGGTCTACTCGCCCAGCAAGCAACGCAACTTCAATGGCACTATCGACGATCCTGGAATGAGGCCAACACTCAGCCGAGATCGCCCACAGAGTGCATACAACCCTGTCTCGGATGGCTTCATGGCAGCGTTGGGAAGGAGAGTAAGTGGAAGACACGCCAGTATCGATGACAAGAGACGGTCTGAAGATGCGGCGAGAAAGCAGGCTTCAGTCACGAATACCAGAGTTTCGATGGAGAGATCGAGGATACTTGGGCGGAACAGCACAGACCGAAAGACCAGCGGCAGCAGCACAGAACAGGCACCCGCAAAGGAGAAGCTCAATGTTACCAAGAGAGGTGGGAGAGTCATGGCCGCGGTGGCTGCCTTCCAGGGTAAGACCAAGGAGACGGCAGCTGAGAAGACCAAGAAAGAAGAGCCACTGGATCCAAAGGCTGTTGACGCTGCGTTCGAAGCGGTGCTGGTATCACGCAACATCCCGGAGCCCATGAGACAGAAGATGCGCACCTTGACTTTGACAGTGAAGGCGGATTTCATCAAGCAGGACAAGATGACAGGCAACAGTCCACTCGGAACTTTGACGAGCAACCTGGAGAAGTCGAAGTCGTCGAATAAAGTTACAGAGGTCGTGCCAGAGAAGAAGGAAGAGGACGACAGCAAGTCGACGAAGCGCTCGCGGACTCGCAGTCGTACCTTTACCTTTTCGAAAAGCGACCGAAAGAATAAGGGTGACGCTTCGCCATCGAAGAAGCAGCGCTCACAAAGTAAGAGCCGACCCACCTCTGTAGAGATCCCCAAAGAGGCGTATACTGGTTCTCAATCACAAACGCCTACCACCCCAACCGGCTCATTTGGACGCAAGAGTGGCGCTCCTGCTCTGCCCACCGACTACATAACCTATCTCAAGAAGAACCAGGATCCCACCAAGATCGAAGTAGGCCGTCTGCATAAGCTGCGAATCCTGCTGCGGAATGAGACTGTAACATGGGTCGACGGCTTCATCTCCCAGGGCGGTATGGCCGAGATTGTGGATCTCCTCAACAAGACCATGGCGATTGAGTGGCGAGAGGATCATGAGGATCAAGTGCTTCATGAAGGACTGCTTTGTCTCAAGGGTCTCTGCACGACTGAGCGTGCGCTGGCAGAGTTGAACCAGGTGGCGGACCACTTGTTCCCAGCATTGCTGGGGATGCTGTTTGATGATGAGAAGAAAGGCCCGGCCGAGTATACGACCAGGACTATCATCATCAACGTGCTGTGTGAGTAAATTGTGATTGTTGTGACGAACCTCACTGACAGAAGCAGTCAACTTCCTCGCTGCAGCCACAAACTCGTCGCCGAAGGACATCGAGGAACGAGCACGTAGGATCCTTCGATACCTCGGAGAGCCAGTGAAGCCAGAAGATGCCCAGCCAGTCGACTTCGTCTTGGGAATGCATGTACCAAGACCGTACAAGCTCTGGTGTCGTGAAGTTTCCAACGTCACCAAGGAAGTGTTCTGGATCTTTCTTCATCATCTTAACGTCGTCCCCCTTCCAAAGCCGTCGAGCTCGCACAGCAATTCCTCGCCGGTAGATGATGAAGAGCGAGCAAAGACTCTGGCTGCGACTTACACCCAGCGCCATTTTCCTGGATCTCGACCACCGGTCCCAGCAGCACCCTACATCGGCGGAGTGGAGTGGGACGCAACAACATACCTTACCGCACACCTCGACCTCCTGAACGGGCTAATCGCCTCTCTTCCCTCACTCTCTGCGCGCAACGACCTCCGTTCTGAGCTCCAAGCCTCTGGCTCTGAGAAAGTCATGGGCACTGTGCTCCGCACCTGCAAAGAGAAGTTCTACTCGGGCGTGCACGATGGCTTGCGGGCTTGGGTCGCTGCCGCCGCCGAGGATGGCTGGGAAACGAGGTTCGTCCGGGAAGGCCCCACGGATGAGGAGGTCAAGGAGCACGCAATGAAGGCGAGTCCTAAGAAGAGTCCCAAGAAGAAGAAAGACCTCCCACCTCAGCTTGATGCCCCAAAACTGGATGCTCCAAGACTCGACCTGGATTTGAAGTTGGAGAGGACGAAGAGTAAGCAAGCGGAGGGGGAGGACGATGGATGGCTTGGATGATATGGTGATGAGTTTCTGAATTATGATGATGCTTCTCGATTGACGGCTAATGAGTGCTGCTTGGGATGGACGCACATGTTGGTGTTATTGTCCATGTTGGACTTTCGGTTCTTGTTCTTATTTCGTACGGACGGTCTTATGGATGGATGAAAGGCGCTGGAGTTTGGTCTCGGCTGATTGATTGATTGGGGGCATAATTCGTCCAGCAAAACACGATACAGAAGTCATGCAGCATTATGAAGCATTAGAAATCGACAAGGTACATGTATGGTGGCATCAAGAACAGTCCAAATCAAGGTCGAACATACTTCGTCCAGTCGGTGAGGACTTGTTGAAGTGCACAGGCAATCATTCAGGTGCGGCTGACTTGACATCTTTGCAGGTTCGAACGAACGCACAAACGGGATTTGCCCCAAGTCGATATACGCATATACTTCTATTTAGCCTATCGCTGCAGTTTTTCTGGGCCGTCGAGTATCAGGACAAGGCTGCCAAGAGAGTCGGCTGCGCGTCGAGCTTTTGCGAGGAGCCGATCTCGATGCTCTCCATCTTCTACGCGGCCTTGACGGGGAAGGCATGGTTCAGTAAGTCAGCTTCCATATCTGCGCTTGGCCCTGGCTGACCACCGTGAACTTATCTATGGACGGCCCTCGAAGAGGTGTCATGCGCGCAGACGAAGGACACAAGGACGCTAGTCGCAAGGACGAAGAAGCTCTCGAAGGGACCAGGCTGATCCTTCATGGTGTGGGGCTGAAGGACAATCCGTCCGTAGGAGGAATCCGTGGATACCGTGGATAGGCAGATACGTTTTTCCGACGATTTCCTCGCCTTGAAGAAAACGTATTTGCCCGGGTTTGCGACGCGAGCGAAGGGATTCGGGTCTTCGATTGAGCGGGACGATCGACTTTTGTGATGGTCTTGTGTTATCCTTGAGCGGCACTATGGTATAGTAAGGATGACAGACAGGATACTGGCAGGCGCTTGTGTCGTTGTTTTGGCTGACATCTGTCTCAGTTGCGGCAAGCCCTCGCGAGGATGGCTGCTTTATTGTCCCAGGTCGGTGTTTGAAATGCAACACCTTTTCACATGTGAGCATGGGCTTAGGAGACGCTCAGAATTACCGGTAAACAGATCTGCATACTATACCTCCTCGAGTCCTCGCGGTATCCCGGTTATCTACTCTCTCTCACAAATGCTGCCTCACCCCAAAATCCAAACTCAAATGCCCCATCCCCGGCCCCGACCCCCCATTCATAGTCCTCTCATACCTTATCGGCAACTGCGCAATACTCAACGGCCCGCCATTCCCCTCAATCGCCAAATCCGGCGGCGTCAATTCTCCCCTCAAATTCTTCGAGACCATGCCCCTCAAGTCCTCTGCCGGGGAGGAGGATTTGTCTTGTGCTGCGAGGATATACACGAGTTTCGTAAACGCCGCCTCGGTCGTCATGTCGTATCCGAGTTGGATGCCTGCTTCGACGAGTTTCCGCGCGGGCTCGTATGCCGAAGAGACCGATCCGTGGAGACATTGTGTGACGTTGACGATGATCACGCCGCGGTTTACAGCGCTCTGCAGCGCGGGGATTAAGTCGAGGGGGATGTTTCCCGCGCCGAGGGTTTCCAGCACCGCGCCGCGGATGGAGGGTGTGGTGAGGATTGTGGTGAGGAGGGAGGGCGTGAGGCCGGGGTAGATTTTTATTACCACGACGGAGGCGCTGTTCATCTCTGCGAGGGCTTTTGAATGCTTGGGTTGAGAGGAGGTGTTGGTGGCGTGGTTGGGTTCGGGGTGTTGGAGATTGTCCCAGTGAACGACGATACCCGTCTCTGAGACTGTTGCGAGCGGACCGGCGTTGGGTGATTCGAAGCCTGAGTAGCTGGAAGCGCTGATCTTGGTTATCCTCGTCCCGCGGAGGAGCTTGTGGCCGAAATACACACAGACTTCTGGGATGCGCAGGTGACTTGCTAACACAATCGAGCCGAGTAGATTATCGGAACCATCGCTATCCGCGAAGAACATACTCCTCTGGGCTCCGGTGAGGACAACCGTCTTATCCAGGTTTGGCATCAACATATAAGACAGCGCTGCAGAAGTATACGCGAGCGTATCCGTGCCATGGCAAATCACAAACGCGTCGAAATTGGCCTCGTTGGAGCGCACCGTCCGCGCGAGCTGATTCCACGTCGGTGAATGTGCGGTCGAACTGTCCAGAAGCGGGTTGAATTCAAGCACAGTACACCTCACGTTCGCGCCATTACGGTCGCGTGGTAAGCGTAAACTCGGCGCTTCGCGCTCCACCCCGTGCTCGTCGATCACACGATAGGTTGGGCAAGGCGTCCCGTCATTAAAGACCGGCTTCGCAGAGAGGCATTCATCGAGGAATAATGTCGATGTTACGAGGCCGTCCTCCGAATCTTGCATACAGATCGTGCCGCCGGCGACGATAAGAAGGATAGAGGGTTCGTATGTGTCTTGGGGATGATTGCTACTGGTTTTCGCTCCCATCGCTCGGTTTTGGTATCTTTCTCGGTTCGCCGAGACGAAGGAGAGGAGGCGATAGATTCCGGATGCCATCTTGTCCCTGATTGATAGAAGACCACAGATATGCGATACTATGTCCAGATGGCGTAGACGGTCGTCGCACCGCGGGGATGTCCGTCAATATTGAGATATCGCAAAAGATATGGCCGTGTCGCAAGAGTGTCGTCTGACCAGTGGAGATGCTCGTTCGGCAGTGTGGTGAGATTGCTCTCTTATCAAAGAGAGTAGACACGACAAAGAAGCTCAGTAGGAAAAATCTTTTCCTTATCTTGGAGACCCCAGATGGAGAAAGGAAAGGAAACCCACCAAGGTTTAGCAACCGTATCTACTTGCTTACCAGCGCCATGGGTAGCTACGGCATTTCGTCGAAATAGACCCGAAGAGTAGGTGGTGCCGGGTGTTCTGAGAAAAAGATGAAAAAGTTACCCCATCAGAATCGCGGAATGGAAGAAATCTGGCCACGAGGACGTGAGGTCGGCGCTACTCGAGTAGTCATCAGAAGCTCGGACCACTTTCACGACGACAACTTCATCTGTTCGATGAGATGGAAGAATGATTCCAAGCAGTCCCATTGTAGAATACATAGCCATCGCGAAGCAGCAACGCGACAGGGTATCGCATCTTTGCTTCCTTTCCCATAAGCAACGCCTCGCTCATCCCAAAGCAAAGACATCACATCTCCATCTCCTTATTTCCCACTGATCTGTCCCTCCACAAAGTCCAGCGCTTGATCACGGCTCACCACATCGATGGTACTGGCCTTGTTCAAGTAACTAACACCATAGCACTTCTCCGCGACATGCAACATCTCCGGCCGGAACGTCGTGCAGATGAACTGTCCAGTCTGCGAGCACTCCTTAAGCAGCTGCGCGACCGCCGTTCGATACTGTGCGTCTAGGTTGGCATCGATCTCGTCGAAGAGGTAGAATGGCGCGGGATCGGAGAACTGAATAGCGAAGACAAGAGCCAACGCACAGAGCGACTTTTGACCACCGGAGAGCTGCTGGATGCGTTGTTGCTCGTCATGCTTGCTGTTGAAGGATACGGAGATACCGATACCGATGTAATTCTCCACGCTGGATCTGTGTCCCTCTTCATCGCTGTCCTCATCGTCGGCGCCATTTGCAGCACCGTTCGCCTGGCGATCGCTCCGGCGTTGAATGATGAGTCGGCCTTTTCCGGCAGGGACAAGACGTTCGAAGACGCTGGCAAACTCTTTGCTGACTTGCTTGAACGTACGCTCGATGGCCTCGTCTTTGCGCTGGTCGAGCACATCGATGAGCTCCCGAATAGAAGCGTCGCTGTTATCGAGCTCCTTTCGACGATTCTCAAGATTCTCTCGCTGCTTCTCGAATTGGATGTACTGTTCGAAGGCTTTCTTGTTGACATGGCCGTACTTCTTGAGCGACTCTTGAACTTTGTGGAGTTTCTGAGTGGCCGTGGTGTTGCTCATCTTTGTATATTGAGCGGTGAAAGCAGCCTCTGGCAAGACACCGAGATTGCTGATCTGTTGACGGACAACGACCAAGCGTTCTGTCGCACGTGCACGAGTCTGTGCGCTCTTCTCGACATGCTTCTGGTGGTTTCTGATAGCCTGTTCGAGTTTCTCGACTTCAGCTCTCTTGCTGGCCAGGCTAGATTCGGCATTCTGTAGCTCCTGCTGTCGCTCCTCAATTGATTCGTCGATCTCGCCGAGCTTGGCGTCGATGTTGTCGAGGAGCTTGGTGGCACGCTTCAGATCTGACTTGCGTTCTTTGAGAAGGACATTGCTGTTGCCGCTTCTAGCAGCATCAGATTCCATGTTCAGAGTCTGCAGCTGCGCGAGTCGTGGTCGAAGGTTCACATTGAGGACGTCCTCAATCTCTTGCTTCTGGCCTTCAAGTTCGGCCAGAGCAGTCTTAGCTTCAGTATACTGCTTCCTTAGATCGAGAATCTGGTTTTGGAGTGTATCCAGTTGACGCTCCTCCTGGGTGGTCAGCGCTTTCTTAAAGTCTGCTGCCAGTTCGGACTCGTAACCGGAAAGCTGATTGCCCAATGCACTGAGTAAGTCCTCGACCTGTTCTTGCTGGCGATGCTTCTTGTCGAGTTCATCACGGCGAGTCGCAAGTTCTTTCTGTTTCTTTTGTAGCTCATCCATGAGCGGACCATAGCCACCTTCGATCTGCTGACGCTTCTGCTCGATCTTTTGCAGCTCACTCATAGCCTTCGTCACCTTCTGATCAATCTTTTGCAGCTCGCGACTGATTTCATCTTGACGACCGTCGGCACGTTCAAACTCTTCACGCCTGGCCTTGTACTGAGCCAGACCGTCCATTCGAGAGTTCCGAGAATCGTGCCAGCCACCAGTAAGAGCGCCCTTGTTATCAGATCGATCTCCATCGGGAGTGATAGCGTCGAGTGAGTGACTTCGAGCGTACTGGGCAGCGACTTGCAAGTTTGGACAGACAATAGTCCTGCCAAAGACTTGCTGCATGGCCTTTTCGAACTTTTGATCGTATTTCAATTTGCCGATGAGATGGACGGCATCGCTGGTTTTGGGCACTTCAACAGGCTTGGGCTTGACACGATTCAGCGGTGTGAAGGTGAGACGACCTGCTTTTGCCTTCGACAGTCGCTTGATGAGCTCCTCGGAGATATTGTCGTTCTCCACAACGTAGTGGAAGAGTGAAGCACCAGCTGTCACTTCGGCCGCAGTCTTGTAATTGGGAGGGCATTCGAAGAGCTCGCCGATTGGACCATACGCGCCTTCAATACCGTCCTGCTGTACAATGCGTCGAACGAAAGCGAGGCCTTGCTGCGTGTTCCGGTCCATCATCTGACCGAGAAAGCGTTCGGCCTTTTGGAGTTCCTCTCGAGCGGTTCCGATGACAGAATTCAGCTTGGCCTCTTCTCGCCAGAGCTCTTTTCGCTGGTCTTGCAAACGATCTTTCTCGTCTCGAGCTCGTTGAACTTCGCCAGATATGTTCTGCTGCTCATCGCCGCGATTGTCAATACGGTTGCGCAGCTCTTCCATGTCCGAGTCGAGTTGGCCAATTTCCGACTCAAGGTCAGAAATCTCTTCTGTGATCTGCATGTTGATGGCTTTGCGTTTTGCCATGGAATCGTGGACCGTAGCAATCTCTCTTCGCAGGTAATCGTCTCGCTCTTTCTTTGTTTTGAACTGATTCTGGCGACCCTGCTTCGCTAGCAGACGATTGACGTTCGCTACAGCATCGTCCAGTTGCTGCTTTGCCGCACGCTGTTCCTCTCGCTTGGTGTTGTATTGTGGTAGAAGCTCCTCAAGCTGGGCCTCATGTTTTGCGATTTGATCTTCCACTTCGCGAAGGTCTTTGGCGTACTGGGCTTGGGTCTGCTGAGCTGCGAGCTGGTTGTCCTGGAGAGCTTGCAAGTCTGACTCTGCTTTGGCCTTGTTCCTTGCCGCCTCAATACGGTCTTCCTTGTACTGGTTCTTCTCCTGCGTGAGAAGCCGCATCTGCTGCTGCAAGCTTGTAATCTGTGCGTCAATTGAGTCCAGCTCCTTCTCGCTCTCGGCTAAAGCTTCAATGTTGTCATCTTGCTGGTCGGCGCCACCGTCTCGAGACTCATCGAGCCGAGAAAGCTGCTCTTCGATGGACTCTTGATCTTTGTGGTGGATGGTATATTCTAGACATCTCCTCTCACGATCTTTGTCTTGGAAAGCGCGCAATTCCTCTTTTTCCTCCTCAAGCTCGCCCAATCGCGTGCGAATGTGCTTGAGCAGATCGTCAATCTTGGTTCGCTTGTGTTCCGTCTCCTCCATGATCTTCTGCGACTCAGTCCTCCTGCTTTCGTATACTTCAGTACCAGCCACAGTCTTGAGCATCTTCAGACGCTCGGCGTCCTTCATGTTGGTGATGGCCGTGACTCTACCCTGGGGTACGATGTAGTACGGATTACTCTTGCTGAAGCCTGCACTCTCCAGGATGTTCATGACCTCCTGCTTTGTGGTGTTCTTGCGATTCAAGCTGTATTCGTCCTTCTTCTGACCAATCGTCCGTCGTAGAATGACTTCTGGGGTGTTTGTGGGAAAGCGCTCGTCGCTGTTGTCGAAGATGACCTCGACGTAGGCCGTCATGACTGCAGATCCGGCACCTTCGTGGAGCAGACCCTGTCGGTCCTGGCGACTGAGCTGGGTGTACTGATCGCTGAGGACAAAACGGATGGCGGCGAAGAAGTTGCTCTTGCCAGAGCCGTTGCGACCGACAATGACATTGTGCTTGGGCGAGAATGGCTCGATGACGGTTTGGTCCTTGTAGGACTTGAAGCCCTGGATGATGATCTGCTTGATGTACATCTCGCTGGCGGAGTTACGCAGTCGGGGTAGGTGTGTTGTCGCGCCTTCGCTGGCGCTTTCGAAATGAGGTCCTCAATCTATTGTGATTGCATGCGGGCGGTGGGTGACTGTGTTGTAGAGCGGCGGCGGTTGTTGGGTGGAGGAGGTGTTGTTTGTCGCGAAAGTCATCAAAGTCGCGTCAGGTCGCGTTTGCGGGGAGTGGTCCGAGCGTTTGCCGGCCTTCACATGTGTCACGTGTGACGACACTTCCACTTCCACATTCACTCGACTCTCGAAATAGTCTCAGTCACCAGCTGACGCCAATTCGAACATCGCCATCCCCAGGCATCACTGCAGAATACTTTTCGAGCTAACTTGAGCAGATCCACAGGGGCAGACCAATCGAAGCTGGTCTTTGAGGCCGCCAGCTTCAGCTCCTTCTGGCGGCTCGAAGAGCACATGGCTGGCCTGAGCATCTCCTTCGACGAGCATAGTAAGTCCAATGTCTCGCATGGAAAGCTCTCAGCTTCTTTTTGGAATCATTCCTCTCCGCCAGAGCCCGCACCCATCGTATTGTTATTCCCGCAACAATGGCACAACCTACGCAAAGAGCTCACCAAGAGCCTTCGGATCTGCTCGCCTTCGACGACCTAGGCTTGGACAGCCTGGGATTCGACGAGCTATTTTGGCCGATGGATTATAACGCAACCAGCACGCTCGATCATGTCCTCGACCAGGTCGTATGCTCAGAGCACTTGGAACAGCAGCTCGGTGAAGAAGAAGCGGCGGTTCGCTCTTCGATGCATTGGCAAGACTCACCTCCACAGCCACGACGCACTCCGGTGAATGGCTCCATGGGTCCACTTGAGATCCTGATCCGCGAGGAGAATAGCCAGACTCAAAGAAAGTTAGAGCGCATGCTCTCCAGACTCGGCTGCAGAGCGATAGTAGCAGGAACAGACCAAAGAGCGCTGCAATACCTCTCAAATGGCATCAACTTTGATCTTATCTTCGTTGGGCTCGAAAGTCCGAGTAATACTCTCGTTCAAGACATACGAGCCGCGTGTTCTAGCGACTTGGAAGTGCCGATCTTGGCCATCACTGCGGGCTTGCAAGGCATCGAAGAACTGAGGGAATTCGACTTGGTACTGGAGTTGCCCCTGAATAAAGACAAATTGGAAGATGCGATCAATATCTTCTATCCGCGCGGGCAATCATTTCAGTTGGCTTCCAATGATGATCCAGAGAGTGACTGCTCGTGGACCGCGGCCGACGATGATGAAGAATGGCAGTTCTCATTCAAGGGGCATCTGAGGCGGTTTCAAGCACAGAACGAACGCGTGTCTTTGATGACTCCACCACTGCTTTCGAAACAACGCCGCAAGATTCACGCCATGGCACATCTGTACAGACTGAGCCATACAAGTCTTGGATGTGGGAGATACAAACGAGTCTTGATTCTAAAGTGTCGGCTCTTGAAGCCGTCCACTGTTTTGAATCACTGGAATCCAGGACGCAAGCAGTGGGCAGAGGGTGTCGTAGACCCAAGGATCATCGCATTTCATGGAGACGCCGGGGACACATCTAGCGAAGCACTTGCAACGTGGCTACAACAAGCAGGCTTACCGGCTCCAGTTCTTGTACATCGTGATGAACATGAGACAGAGGCGGCCAGAAACTCCATACACTTATTTTTCGAGCAGCCGGCCGACGCTGCAGTCGTCCTCGAAGCAGTACATGGGACCACACCCTCGTGGAGTGTCTCCACAATAACATGCGACTACACAGTATTCAAGGACTGCTTCTGGTCTCCCTGGCAAAGTCCAGCCAACTTCGATGCCGTTCTAGCCCAGAAGATGGATGTCACAAGTACAGTCGATTCCACAAGAAGGCCAAAACTTGAAAGCCGGACTCCAAGCATATTCACTCCATCCGAAGACGAGGCGATCTCTGACTCTGAGTACTCAGACATCAACACCTATGCCACCAGTACCAACAGTAGCCGCTACTCCGCGCCAACGACCAACCCTTCGACTGCTTCTTTCCTCACCCACGCTACATCATCAGCGTCTCGCTCACATAAAGGCAGACACAAAAAAGCCGACTCCACGTCCCTGCACAGCTTCGCAGCAACAGCTTCCTCCCTCCCAACGATCGCAGACGAACAGCCATCCGACACCGACACCAACACCATCGCCTCAACCTCACAAACGACGAGTCGGAAACGTCGCCTCCCATACTCACTCTCAGGCTATCAATGCTCTCACCCCTCCTGCACAAAGACCTTCGACCACGCAGGCGACTGTCGTAAACACGAGAAGATTCATGAAGATCGCTCGCATATCTGTGAGATCTGTGGCAAGACATTCCTGTATCCTAAGGATGTGAGACGGCATTGTCAGAATGTACATAAGTGGAAAGAGTCGTTTATGGCGCAGAGGGCGGAGAGGAAAGTGCGGCCTTGTTGATATGGTCTGGTCCTTGCGGCGATTTACTAAGCACTCGTGATGTATACGAAGAAAGTAATAATAATATCATTCTCCTGCATTGAAACCTATGATCCATCCGCTCTCCTTTCCCCTTCGTCCATGAAAGTCACCATTCCCTCAGAAAGCCCTCATCAACCAAAACATCCAGTCACAGAATCCACCACTTACAAACCTTTCCAACCCGTCGACAAACGCGACGAAGTCCTCAACAATCGCAAAAAGAAATACCAGTGTTGTCGACTTGTCATTCTGTGTTTTGAGGAGGCTGAGAGAGATGGGTATGGACGAAGGCTGCTATCGAGCTCGTCGGACGCAATGGACACTTTTGACACGGCAGTCTTCTTGATGAGAGTCGGTTTTATACAATGTGATTTTCTACATACGGCACTACAAAACAAAACAATCAGCGATGATCATCCATCGCCTCACTTCAACTCGGTCAACTCCTCTTCCAGCATATCCTTGAAGTTGAGAGGCTCGAACGCCACACCCTCGCCGATGAAGTGCTTGCTCATTGCTTCGACCCAGTGCAGTCGCAAGGAGTGCAACATGGCACTGGTGCCCTCCATCACTACCAGAACGGCGACAGTCAGAGCGAACCAGAGAACAAAGGCCAAGAAGATGGCGAAGATGCCGAGGGCACCCTCGAAGGCGAAGGCGTTTTTGAGCGTCATGGTCCAGAGCACGATGGAGAGCTGTTGATGGGCCAGAGACAAAGCCCACAGACGGAGGTAAGAGGCTGTGTGGGAGACACAGTTGAGGCAGAATTCTGGATGAACGTTAGCATCGCTCTTGTGACATGGAAACGAGATTGCTTACCAATAGTATGGATGACTTGGTGAATCATCACCTCGCTGAATTCAAACTCCTCGTGCTCGCCTTCCCCAGCACCGATGTCCTGAGTGATTACGGCCCCATCAATATCGCTATCGGCGAAGCTTGGTCTGTTGGCATCTCCGTTGGCATGTTCGCCTTCATCGTCGTCCAGGGCAGAAACTGTAGTCGTCTCGCCGATGCCACGATAGCCTTGTGCACGAGCTTTGTTGTGCTCCCAGCGCAGGTAGAACGGCTTCAAGAAGAGCATGATAGGAACCTGGATAACAGCAAGCAGGAGGAGAATGACCTGCACAGCGCCTTGGCCAGAATAGAGCTGTTCCTGGACTGTGCCGGGGGACAAAAACATGTAGATGAGCATGTTCAGAAGATTTGGTGGCTGCTGGTCGATCGCGTACCAGTCGACACACCATTTCCAGATGATAGTCAGGACGAGGTACCCGAAGATACCCTGGAAGAATATCATGCCCGGAACGAAGTTGCCCCAAATGTCGATCGGTGACCTAAAATGGCGAGCATTGATGAACGAAAGGCACAGTGAGTATGTCATGTGCGCCCAGCCCATGATGATGGAGAGCTTCATCTTGTAGCTGTTGCTGAAGAGCAAATCGTTGTCAGTATCGTGCCATCTCCAGTCCAGACCGAATGGATAGGTGTAGCCTTCGACTCGCTTTGCAGTGATGATCGTCTTGCCGGGCTCGTACCCGTCAGGGAACTCCCAAGTCCACATACTCTGGGCCAGAGGGATTTCCTTGGAGAAGGCATCCGAATATATAAGGCCAGTATACATAGAAAAGATGCCCATCATCAGCATGATATAACGTCCGTAGAAGGCCATTCCGAAAAGCTCGTCCTGCTTGCCGCGTTGAAGAGGCTTCTCGAAGGTGATCATAGCAACCGCTGCCAAAGTCATAATGATTCCGTGGCCGAAATCACCGAACATGACAGCAAACAAGAATGGGAAGGTAACGATCGTAGGTAACCCAGGGTTGACTTCGGTGTATTTTGCAGTGCCGTATGCATCAATGATGGTCTGGAATCCAAGAGTGAACTTGTTGGTCTTGTTGTAGGTCGGTGGCGTCTTCGATGTCTTGATCTGGTTGACGATGGTAGGTACGGAGAGACCGGCCCTGTCATTGACATCTTGCAAGGTCGACTTAATCAGGCCAAGTGAGTCTGTCGGACACCAAGCCTCGGCCACGAGAGTCTTTCGGGCGGGATCGTACGAGAAGCGATTGAGAGTCTGATAGACACTTTTCTCCTTCTTAATGACAATCAGCCACGCAGCCAAAGAACGTCCGATCTGTGTCAATTCCGCATCCAGCGTTCGCTTGGTGTTGCCCAAGACGTTGGACAGATCCTGCAGGCGACTGTTGACCTCGTGGATCTGATCCCGACGAAGCTCGCTGTTCTCGTCCACGTTGTAGATGTCCGCGCCCAAGCTTTCAGAGATCTTCCTGATCTTGGCAATAATCTCCTTGCCATGTGCGAAAATGACAAAGACATTCTTGTGAACCTCCTCGTTCTTCTCTGGGTCGAAGATGGCATCTGGAATCTCGGATTGGTTCATGTAGAGGTTGCCACGAAGCGTTCTCCAAAGAATCCGCTCAAAAGCTCCCATTCGCTCACGTGGAATGACACCAGCAACAAAGCCGATGTTCATAACGCTGAAGCTTTGCTGGCCAGCTTCAGCAGAGCCGTTCGCATTCTCCACGTCTCGCAATAACGGAGCATCGTCCGAGGAGTCCACAGACTGGCGAATCTCCTCCGTTTGTCCACGAGCGCGATCGAAGAACCCTCCAGCTTCTCTGAGCACCCAGCGCCATTCTGTAAGCTCTGTCTCCCTCTTTTTCAGCGTCTCGTAGCTTTCATTGAGACTGCGAATCCTCTGTTCCAAGCTTTGACTCCTGTCTGCCAACTCGTCAATTTCAGAGGCAGACGGGGCTGCCATCTGATTGCTGAATTCGTAGATAGAGCGCATTTCGATGCCATTCTTCTCGATCTCGGAGCGGAAGTAGTTCAGTTGGCGTTCGACATTATCGAGGCGGCGGATCTCCTGCGTGAAGGTGCGTTGGAAGGCAGTTGTTTCCGGGTTCAACTGTTGACCATTAGCCTCCGCAAAGCTCCCATGATCTCGTTCGAGCTCTCTTTTCGTATGTACGTACGTCGCGGAATTGCATTAAACCAAGCTCGCCCAGTGCAGAGACAACCTCGCGGCCGATTTCGTTGGCGATGTACAGCTGGGTGAGCTGCATCTCCCGCGAACGGAAGAGCGACGGGGTATTGGGCGCCATCTTGGCGGGACCTCTCTATCGGTACCAGAAGAGGTTTGGCGATTCGTTGTATGAGGGATGGGTGGTGGTTGATGGTGTTTGGAGAGAAACAACAGCGTTGCCTTCGCTGAAGGAGGCGGATGATGTCGCAGCTCGATGCCAAGAGATGATCCGTGCACTTCGATGTTGTTGTCCTCAGGCAAGCAACAGCTTCATGTTCTTCCAAACATTCACGCGACGCTGCCGTCATTGCCACATGTGAGCGGGACTTCTTGCTATATGGCATACCTACCTGACAAGACTACCACACGGTTAATAATCTCCAATCGACATGGCGGACGAACAGCCCCGTACGACGCTGTATGTGCTCGTGCCTCCGTCGCCACTCTTCGCAGCTCACTGGTCACTGTTCATACCAGACTCGAAAGGTTACGATATGATCAGCAAACCGCATGAGGAATCCACTGTAGGCCGACGAGTTCATGTATCTGGTGACAGGCTCAATGGGTTTGCCTTAGAACTCATTCGTGAGTACGATGTGAGCAAACACCGCCGTGTTGGATCCCGCATGTTTCCTATTGGCAGTATACCTGCCACCCACATTCAACCAGATGCATCGAAGGCCGAGGAAGACACAACTCGACGCGACAGCTGCAAAGACGACGAAGATGGAGGCGGCCTTGTCGACAATGAACCACGCGATGTCTTTGAGCGGACTTGCGTTCAACTCGAAGCTCCAGGCCCAAGTCTGAACAACGTCTCGAACAATCAAAAGCCAGCAACTGGGAAAAGATCCCAGATCGAAGGGCGAGACTGTCAATGGTGGGTTAGGCAGGTGGTTCAGGAGCTGACGACCGCGGGCATACTGGAGAGTCTATTGCAAGCAGACGGCCAGCGAAGCAAGAATCCCAATGAGCTGGTTGCTCAACTGCCTGTACACTGATATGGTTCCAGCCATTCCATATCGCTCATGAGAGCTACGAAACATACTTCGTACACTGCACGCAACATCCGCGCCCATCGCGAGCTTTGGTACACCCGGCTCGAGCTATGATCGACAGAACGACAGTCACTTGACGGTTTGGTGTGAGAGACGGCGATTTCGTGCACACCGTGGGTTTGGAAGCCGGAGCAATAACCATGTCCAGGCTGTGATCTTAAACTCAATGCAACGGAGTTACCGAAACGATGCTTTGGGCACATGAAGGACGCATGGATGTTAAGCCAGCATGTGCCGTCGAGCTTTCACCAGCCCTCGACCAGTTTGCGAATCGTCCGGTGCTTCGATTTGTAGCCAGATGCGCTGCAGACACAGAAGACTGCATCGAGTACACTGACCCGTCCATGGAAAATCTTTATGCAGCGCAACACCTCCTCCATCCTTCCTAGCCGTGCACTTTTTGGGCACTCTTTGATTGGTCATATCATACATCATCAAAACCTTGCATCGACTGCACTACTTCATGCTCCTTCTTCATCCGCAAAGATGTTCCACAAGACTCCTGTCATTGGATATGCGACTCGCAACGACGACGTCGACACCTCCACAGCCGTCCGATGGTCCGGCTCGGCGAACAGCTTCAGCCTCTTTGCCAAAGAGAAATGCAGGGTGTCAAGCAAGGAATTCATCGCGAGAGGTAAAGATAGCGACGCTGTGCTTCGAGAGACTTGATTCGAGTCGCACGCTCCATTGTCAACTCTAGGTGGAGAGCGCGTTGCTTACCTCTTACAGGATCGCTTTGCGAGTCCGAGCACTGTGCCATTGGCTGATGAATGATCTCAAGCAAGCAACATCACATGCCTTACCCAGCCATAAGCTCGTTTCAATACCACCTGGTCTCTCGGCTGCGTCAGGGCGGGGTTCCTCGTCCCGAATGTGAGAAACGGCATAGTATGCCTCGGTGATCACACTCATCGAGGTAATGTAGAATGCAATAAATTGGCCATCGATGCTCGGATGTTATGCCTCATGGAATGTGGTGACTGCTAAACTTACAGCTCCACCGCAAGTTGCACTCTTTTGCCAATTCAGTTGCCTTTCTCGTATTCCTCACGACTTTAGCCCGAACTATCAGGCTGATCGCCTTTGCGATCCGAGAAAAACATCCAGTGTCGACTCGGCCTGAAAGTTTCGCTGGTACCTTTCGACTGTACACTATGGCTACCGCAGAAGTTCTGAACAAGGTCGATCTGCTCGGCCCCCAGCAGGAACAAGTGAACCTCGAAGCGGACTTGGGCAAGACTGAACTGGTCCCTCCACCGTTCGATCCTGTAAAGCTCAAGGAGAAGTACTTGGCCGAAAGAGACAAGCGACTGCAACATGGCGGCGGGATCAACCAGTATCGTCTCGTCGAAGAACGTGGCCAATTTGCCCATTATCTGGATGATCCATGGGTCGAGCCCGGCTTCACTCGAGACCCTGTCAGCGAGCAGGTCGATGCCATTATCATTGGCGGTGGATATGGTGCACAGCTGATTGCTGTTCGACTGATCGAACAAGGAGTGAAGAATATTCGGTTGATCGAGAAGGCTGGGGATTTTGGTGGGACGTGGTATTGGAATAGGTGAGTCTTGGTCAATCTGATATTTCTCGACACGTGCTGACCGAATAACACAGATATCCTGGTAGATCTAGGCACCAAGTTGTGGCACTTTACCATCGCTGACAGGAATGTAGGTGCGCAATGTGACATTGAATCATATATCTACATGCCACTCCTAGAAGAAATCGGCTACATGCCGACTGAGAAGTACGCCAGAGCCAAGGAGCTTCTCAAGCACTCCGAGATGATCGGCCGTAGATGGGGACTCTACGAGCGGACTCTCTTCCAGACCGAAACTCATGAACTGAGATGGAACGAAGAATCGGGCCTGTGGTCCGTCAAGACAAACCGGAACGATGATATCAAAGCAAGATTCGTTATACCAGCTGCAGGACCACTGCACAGGCCGAAATTGCCGGGCGTCAAAGGTATTGAGAACTTCAAAGGCCATAGCTTTCACTCCAGTCGGTGGGACTACAAGTATACTGGTGGAGACAATGGAGGTGGGCTGACTGGTCTGGCTAATAAAAGAGTTGCTGTCATTGGAACAGGTATGCGCAGTGATCAGCACCATATAGTCTTCGCTGACTGTCACTCCATCAGGCGCCACTGCAGTCCAGATTGTGCCAAACGTTTCCAAGTATGCCAAGGAACTCTTTGTCTTTCAGCGAACACCCTCGTCAATTGACGTGAGAGGCAATCGACAAACAGACGAAACATGGGCAAAGAGCCTAAAGCCCGGTTGGCAAAAGGAACGAATGGATAACTTCAACATCATCGTCAACGGCGGCATTCTACCAGTCGACCATGTCCGTGACGGATGGACCGACATCCTACAGAAGCTCCTCGCCAGGGGATCAGCCGGATCTGAGACCGACCCAGAGAAGGCCGCCGCCGAACGCCAAATGGCCGACTTCGAAAAGATGAACCAAGTCCGCGCACGTTGCGACGAAATCGTCAAAGACAAGGAGACCGCCGAAAGTCTCAAACCGTGGTACAACCAACTCTGCAAGCGTCCCTGCTTCCACGACGAATATCTCCAAGCCTTTAACAACCCCAACACCCACCTCGTCGACACCAAAGGCCTCGGAATCGAACGCATCACCGAGAAAGGCATCATCGCCAACGGCAAAGAATACGAAGTCGACTGCATCGTCTACGGCACCGGCTTCGAGCTCGCCACCGAATGGTCCCACCGCACCAACATGGAAGTCTTCGGTCGCAACAACCAAAGCATCACCGACTGCTGGAAGAACGGCGCGAGCACCCTCCACGGCTGGAGCACACGCAACTTCCCCAACTGCTTCTGGGTCAGCATCGTGCAAGCGGCGTTGACGCCCAACTTCCTGCACGTTACAGGCGAGCAGGCGAAACACCTCGCATACGTGATCGGCGAATGTGAGAAGAGGAAGATCCGCACGGTGGAGCCTACGGAGGCTGCGGAGAGGGAGTGGGTTGCGACGGTGCTGGAAATGGCAAAGTTGAGGGCGCCGTTCTTGAAGGAGTGTACGCCTGGGTATTATAATAATGAGGGGACGCCGAGTGCGACTGCGGGGAGGAATGCGAGTTATGGGGGTGGGAGCCCGGCTTTTATCAAGATTTTGGAGGATTGGAGGGCGAAGGGGGAGTTGGGAGGGTTGGATGTGAAGTATTTTGAGGATTAGGGCCTCATGGTTGTTGGTGAATTCTACTTTCATCATGGGACCCCTTGAAGTGTGTCTGCTCGTCACAGAGTCCTGGACAGCGCGATGTCGCTCAATTGACTTGAGCAGCAATTCAGGACCCGAACTCAGCTGCACCTTTCCATCTCTCGTCTAGCCTTCCCTGCTCTCTCCGATTCCTTCGTCCCTGGGGATTTGCCCTCCACGTCTCCCACGGACTCCTCTGAACACAGAGCTTCATGTTCGCGCCTTGTTCGTACATTGCGAGCCCAAGAACTTCCTTAGATTGGATCACGCGAGTGTTAAAGCCTGGCCGAGACTCTGCCTGCGCGGACCATGGTTCGAAGAAGACTGGATCCGGACGAGGGTCGAGGATCTCAGTAAAAGCCAAAGACATGATCGCATTCTCAACTCCTGCGTATATGTAGGGCGAGTGTGCAGATGGCGATGCGAGTGAGTAGACACTAGATTCCGTGGGACGATTCCGACCCTGGGACCAGTTATTGCTGCCACGTACAGTGAAGGAAGAGTTGTTAGGGCGTAGGAAGACATTGAAATCTTTCTCAAGATCAATGATTCCTGGATCTCCAGCTGCTGCTGGACTAGCGTCTAGATAGCTGTAGCATTTGGCCCCAAGCCTCATGTCGAAGACTTTCAACAGGTTGTGCCTACTCGTGCCTGCCACCAGCTTCTCGCGGCCTCGGGGGAGGAGGCTGTAGATGGGACTGTCGTCGGCTGCGTACGTCTGCTCGACATCGCGATTTGAGCGCATGTCATGCAAGCGAATGATACCGTCGTACGCTCCAGAGAGGAACACATTGCCGTCACCCGTAGAGCCGACTGTGGATGGCAATGGCACAATAGTGTAGGCCGACGACGTTGTTTTTTGTTGGGGAAATGACTTCTCAAAGTCGTTCTGCAAGCTGAACTTGCGCAGTGCCTTCGGATACAAGCCGGCTCCGTCTATCGTGTAAATGTGGATCGGGTCTTCTGACGGTCCAACACCGACGCCTAGTCTCGACGGCGACAAGAAGCTTGTTACCCAGGCTCGATGGGTTGAAGCTGGATTGCCGTCAGCTCGCAGAGGCGGTTGGATGTCCACTTGACTGGAAGCAGTGGTCTTAGGTTGTCCTGGGTCGACACTGTACAACGCAAGCCTAGCTTCCCCAAGATTGGCTGCCAGTAACAGTGGATGGTTGTCATCCTGTAAAAGACTGGTAGACCTTACCGGCAGCCCGTTTGTGGCAAAGTAGGAGATTGAAAGATCTTGCCCTGAAGACCCCGCGCGCGGTATAGACAACAGCTGGAGGTCGCCATTTGCTGTTCCTGTGAGCAGTCCTTGATGATCATCCTCGCTCTTTCGCACAAGATGCAGTGCTGTGATATCGTCCTTCCCTTCGGCAGCAGAGTGAGGCCGGTAAGTTGTCCACTTCACAATTTCTGTTCCATCATGCTGTCTCTTAGTTCTTCGAATGCAAACCTCAGCCCCGGCGCTGAATGCGAGTATCTCCGTCCTGTCTCGCCATGTTCCGCCAACTTCTTCGTATACGTCAAGCTGTGGCGTAAAGCCAATAGTCTGGCCCCTCGGTCTTTTCCATCTGTCGATGTGCTTTCCACCCGGAAATGCCGTGATGTCCCCTCGAGGTTCGGTGTACCTGCCGACGAAAGCCCGCTTCTCCCACGCCTTTGATAATGTCGTTAATGAACGAGCGGTGTCTTTGTAGGATGGGGACTGCTGCGGCCATGTTGAGGGGAATCGAGTCTGTGTGAACGTCTTCCACGCATTCTTCTCGACGAACTCGTGAAGGCTTCGGCTGGTGCGATCGAGGCTGGCGATTGAGGAAGCTGTTGGTAGGTAGCCAGTGATGTGGTTGAGCAGCTCAGGCGGAAGGTCGGTGAGGTTCGTTTTCGGTCTTGATGTTTCCATGGTTGAGGGTGCTCAGAAAATAGCACCCGTGAACAATTTAAGCCAAGTATGCCATGTCTTTGGTGCGTCATGATCGATATCGATAAGGTGATCTAACTGGAAATTGATGAGTGAGTCAACGACGGTTTGATTGATCATGCCGAAAGCGGCATACTGTGTTTGTCAGAACATTTGATAACCTTGAATTCTAAACCGGGGTAGATCACAGAAATCAGGATCTAAATCACACGTAAAGCTCATTCTGGCTGCGTATTTGTCGGACTATTGTTCCTATAGCAGTGAAAAACAGGATTTACCCCGGGTTTTCATTCTCAAACGAAGGTTCTGACAAACACAGTAGCGTGGCTGACTTTGGTGAGACGTCACGTCTTCTTGACCAACACTTTGGGACAAATATTCCTTCTCGACTCACAAAACCAGCGACTATTCATCCCTTTTGCGGCAACAGCGACATGACTCAAACTTTGCTACTCAATCAATGACAGCCATTCGCCGCATACACGCTCTGCATTGAGCCATCCGGACGAGAAATCAAGGAGTAAAACCGCAATGGGAAGACGCTGCGTTGACTGGCTTGTCGGTTAACATCTCATCTCTGCCAATGGCTAGGACGTAGCCACTGGGCATTTGGAAGACAGCGGCAAACAAGTCTCTCAGCTGCGTCATGGCGCTGCAGAGGATCGCGGCTGGAAGCTCGGGAGGGCGGCTCCGACAGGCTTTATGCAGCTCGACATCGACTCGTCCAAGCGCGCCGTCCTTCGTCAACATGTGACGCGGTTCCTTCTTCGAGCATGTCCGTACGCTTTGCGATGGGTAGTTGCCCACTCGGCTTCGCCATGTGTACGCCGGACTTTCGGCTAGGAGTGGGATCGTCATGCCTTTCACTTGCTGGCGTAGATACCAACCAGAAAGCGACCATCAGCCCTATCGCCCATGACCTTGAGGTCACACAACATCTCAGGTCACACAACATCTCAGGTCACACAACATCTCAGGTCACACAACATCTCGATGAGTTTCCGAAAGGCTGTGCCTACTGCAGATACTCCTGCAGTCCCGTGTTGCATCATTTGCATGCAATCTTGAGTACTGTGCCGTGCTGTGAGCAACTTGAGAAGCTTTGGAGCTGCCAGACATTCTCATTTGGTTCTACGACGTCTTGAGTATCAAGATCAGGTCATCAACACGCCGAATTCCTTGTGCTCTGATGGCACTATCACGAGGCACCTGCTTGTGTTCGCACTGAAGCCCGCTCATTCCCGTCAGAGGCACGATTGCGTTCTGGACGAAATCCGACCTTCCTACAATTGCCCCTCTAGCCCCAAAGGCCATGGCCCCTAGCGCGTTGAAGTCTCGATCTGGATGTTTGACATGTCTGGCGCGCAAGAAGAAATGTGACGAGGGTCTGCCGAAATGCTCGCATTGTCAACGGCTGGGACTGGCTTGCATTAGCAGAAACGCACAACAAGTCAAAGCCGATATCACGCCCACCAATTTGAGGAACAGATCTTCATCACTCCAGCCGGCCGTCTCGAATGGCTATCCAGCATTCAAGACCCCAATTGAGCAGAAGCTGTGTCTGGAAAGTCCCTACGTCTTGGACGTGTTAGTGTCTGACGGCCTCGCGGACAAAAGTTTCAAAAGCATGTCCTTGCTGGGGAGGTTCTGCACGCAGAGTAGACTGGTACGGGAGGCGGTAGTAGCATTCGCGGCCTTTGGCCTTCAGGACATGGGCGAGGAATACTACAAGCTGTCGCTCAAAAGCTACCAAAGTTGCCTCTCGGCGCTCCAAAATACTCGGGCTTATGAGAGCGAAGACTCCAAAGAGATGGACTTTGCCATCGTCTCTATTATGTTTCTTGGATTGCTCGAGGTACGTATTTGTCTTGGTGTAATCCTATCTGCAAGTGAACGAACTAACACCATGGTAGGCTCTGTCTCTCGGTAATCCAAGTGCATCTGTAGCTCACTTTGAGATGTGTCGCAAGCTGCTGGCCAGTCGCTTGAAACGTCCAGCGTGGCTCCAAAGCAGCGAATGCGTGAATACTTACCGAATGTGCGCAGAATGCATTATTTACAACTTCGCAACACTGTCGCCGTTTCATGAAGGTATTGGACAAGCTGCGAGCGACTGGGAGGAGTCATTCAACAGCCTTTTCCCAACAGACGACCACGCAATTTCTTCCTTTCTTGGAGGCATTGACTTCCAAGCGATCTACCGGATCATGTTCTCGACTAATGTACTGCTCCATGATAAGGGCTCAGGTGCGAACCAGACCAACGCCCACCCCGACGCCTGCCAAAACCTCTGGGAACGACTCGACACTCAAGAAAAAAAGGCCAACTCGCTTTACTTGAGCATGTCTCACAAAGCTATGGCAAAGCTGTATCGAGCAAAATACCTTGTGTCAATCCATGCCCAGCGTATCCACTTGATCAAGGTATCGCGACCCACAGCTACTCCAGCAGACTTGACAGTGAAACTCTACCTCTCGAAAGCCATGGCAATCATCAAGGAGCAGAATGTCTGTGAGGCATGGAACCCAGCGCTTCGCTGGCCACTGACAATCCTTGCATGTGCAGCACACACGGATGCCGACTTCGACCTCGTGATGTCCACGATGGACGAAATGATGCAGAAACTAGACCCGGCCAACTCGAAAAGGCTGCAGTCTGCACAGGCGATGTTAAGGCACTTCCGCAAGGGAAACGCTTGGCCTTCATTGGACGGCTGGGATGCGGATGTGTCCCCGAACCAACTGAAGTTTCTGCTGAAACCACAGAGCTTCGACATACCTCAAGTCCAAGCCATCTCCGGGGACACCGCCATTACGAACTTGTAAGGGCTTAAAAAACGATTTAGACAAACCGCTTGGAAGCCTAGCTTGCACCCCCAACATTACCGCCCCGAGAACCCGAATCATGTCAGGGGACGCATGATTGATTTGATAGCATTCGGCTGTGGCGCCAGCCTACGAATTCACGAATGAGCGGAGTACTTCGGCAGCTCGAGGAAATCTCAGCTGCAACACTCTATAGGAGTCGATAAGCGAGCTGCGCCTGTGCCGATCGCATGCATTAACACAATGCAACGAACCAACCACCACGCGCGTCGACAAGCAGCAAGCCGCCATGCCGCGATCGCCAGTCGTGTGCAACACCTGGAACGGCATCGACTACCCTACTCCCCTGGAAAGGTGCAAATTTTGAAAACAGACCGCGAACCTACGCTTCTCCATCTATTACCCACCCTTTACAGGCCTTTGCCGGAAGTTAAGTCTGCGAAGAGCTCATCAATAACAAAATCTCTGGACATCGTTCAATCTCCCCGCGAGAGATTCCCGAAGAGCAGCGATGTCGAATTCAAACCCCAGTCAGCGTGTGCGCCGGACAGTCTCGGAGGTCGAATTCGTACATCTATGTGGGTTGGTCCTGCAAAACGAGGCCGACAGACAGCTTTATGAGCAGATGAAGGCACGTACAGCTGATTCCCTCGGCACGGCAGCACTGACCAGAAACCCATCAGATCCATGCCTCCTCCGGCATTGAAAGAATCCTGGCGTCACCTACACCTGCAGCGAATTCCATTGGAAGACCGTCGGGACAGCCAGAACCGCCAGGTGCGGCAACAATCACTGAGCAAGCCGTCAGGAGTGAGACTCGGAGGATCTATCAACTCTCGTCTGACAAGCTGAAAGCAGTGTACCAACGCGGTGGCGGAGCCAACGACGATGACAATTGGATCCTTCGATGGCTGCTGTGGCGAGAGATGATTCAACGGGGTATTGTGCCCTGAGGAGAGTGGTGCAACAATCTAGTGATGTTACTACCTACTCAAGCTGTTGACAAGTAGACAAAGCAGCATGAACATGACGGGAAAATTACAGCTGCAAGTTCGAAATACAGACACGGACTCTACATTGCTCAATCGAAGGCAGTTGTCAAAAGCGTATCCTCAAGAATTTCCCAGTCGGCAGAGCTCGACGGCGTGAGCATGTATTCCGGCCCTCACAAAATATCGGGCCGGATCGACGAGGCCGAGACTCGGTGAGGCTCTTCGGATGAAATGGCATCCGACTCTATTATAAGGAATCGTCTGGCCTGCATATTGGAGGATGATGCGGTACTGTCCTCTCGTGGCCGCCGATCACCACGCGAGCCTTCGTCGAACCCAGTGGCGTCCAATGAAAGCTCTGTCCGCCGTGCAGTAGGTCTAGATATGTGGATGCCAACTTCTGCTAGTCCAGCATTCCATCCAAACTTCTTGCACTATCAAGTGACGGCAATGTTGCTGGCACTAGTGTCGTTGTTAGCGGACAGGGGTGTGCTAGAAACGAAGCTTCCGTCTTCACCCTTGCATATGAACGGACTTCATCGCGGTGGTTCGAAACTACAATGTCCTTTTGCCAAAGGCTGAGTATTTAGTTCCGACAGCTTGGGAGGAACTACGAGTGACAGCGAACCCCTTCATCTTCACACCTGCCTACCCTTAATTTTACTTCCTAACTATACGCCAAATTTCAGTGAGTCAAACGAAACGTACATATTTTCGTTCACTGACAAAATCCCAGCACCAACAATGTGTTACGCAACGCTCGTAACCTGGGAGAAATGCGGACATTTCCAAGTCATGCATCAAATGTGTCCCATAGCCAAACAGAAGAACCCACCGACTTTTTGCACGACGGCACATGAGCCGATGTCTATGGACCTGGATACTAGCTACGGAGTGTGTCCTGATACGGAAAAGCACCCGCCAGTGGAGACCAGGCCGTCGACGAGAGTTCGGACTCGTTAGTCGGGATGGAGGGATTGGAGGGATTGGAGATGCTTGGAGTTGGGGTTCTATCTTTGGCGTTGACGGTTGTTCTGTCCTTTGGTCGATCGTTTGTTCTCTCATTGATTCCGTCAGTAGTGAGCGGAGCGTATATCAGGGGTTAGAACAAGTAGCTTGAGGGTCCGGACTGGACTTTCAACCTTGGGAACGATCGCTCCTAGCGCCGTTCTGGTTCGACTCCAAGTGAGTTTTGTGCTCTTTTTGCTCTCTTGCTGTCTTCGTCGTTGTCAGCTGCATGTTGCCAAGGCTGCATCGACGGGATCAAGCAAGGGCACAGACGAAAGACGGAGCTAAATGGTCGACAGCATTCTTAGTCGTTCAACAAACGAAAAATCAATTGATTGATTCTCGGCCTTGGTGTCTTTTTGAGTGATGATGTGCCATTGGATCGGTTACATCGTCCAAACAGCCCCCACATGAATTGACTTGATGGAATTCACTTGCATAGGCATGCACTTGGATACGATGACCCTCTGCTCAGACTCATGGAGGCACAAGACTCACATGTGGTTGTAATATCGACACCAACTGTTGTCGCCGAACTGACAATAGAAGGATCCAGACAAGATCCAGGGTCCTCTCTGGCGCGTGGCATTCGCGTCACAGTGAGGCAAGATTTCCGTGACATCATCATGTCGAGTCGATTCGACAAAGAATTGAAGATGGCCATCCAAAGTCGTTTATAACATCCGCACAATTTTCGCCGTAGAGCAATACAAAAAGAGCCAGTTGTTGATCCTATTCCCAGAAGATTATCTTCTCGGAAAATCCATTGTAAATGCGGCCCTTCGGACCCCAGTTCTCTCGTAGTCTCAGCACTCCTACTTTGACCCAAGCTCGAGCTGTTCCTGCTACGAGCTACAACTTCAACCCGGCTACATTTACCTTTACACAACGGGAATCAAATACAATCAACACCAGAATGGCATCTACCGAAGTTGGCGAGCTCAAGATTGAGAATACCAACATCAAGACGGCACCCGGTGTCGATCTGTCCGCCAACCAGAAGACTCTTGTCGGCAGCGTTTTGGACCTCTTCGCTGGCCGACCATCCCTGGCCAAGCTCCAGCTCTGGAAAGACGATGGCGAGTTCGTCGACCCAATCACCATCTCCAGAGGCCGCAAGCAGTTCGAAGCACAATGGTACGGTCTGCAAACAGCATTCTCTGAGATCGAGAGACTCCATCATGAAGTCACCAACGCGGGTAACCCAATCGAGTTGGATTTGAAGACACGCTACGTTGTCAAAGGCATCAACAAGGAGCAAACAATCCAGAGCAAGGTTCTGATCCACACGGACGGTGACAAGATCTCGAAAGTGGAGGACAAGTGGGACGGCAAGCTGCCAGATAGCAGCATCACGAATGTGAGTTCCGTATTCCAGTTGCTGAACCCGCTTTGGTGGATGAAATATGCCGAAGGTTGGGCATTCTCGTTTTGGAGTTTGTTCTGGGAGACCACGCCTTGGAGGGTGAGGGATGCATCTTCTTGTGTGCATCTAATGTTGTGGAACCTTTGCTGACCATTCTTGTTCTCTTGCAGGCTTTCCGTCGTCTGAACGCCGTGACCGTGCCCAACCTTGTCGGCGTGCCGAAGAACGCGGAGGAAGATGCGAAGAGGGGCAACTAGTTTGTGGAATTGCTATTCCACCTCACACCACCTCTTTCGGGTCATTGTATAGCATGATATGTATCATAGATTGACGAATCAACGATGACAATTTCCGCGACCTCTCGGGAGGCTTCAGTTCCCGTTGATATTCCATGCCGTCCCCTCAGCCATCTTGTTGCTTCTCATGCCCTGCTGTAGCCACCTCGAGAATGTCTTTTTCGAGCCCAGGAATGTGCAGTACTTGAATCCCAGCATCCCCCAACTTCTTCTTGCCCTCATTGACTCCAACGAATGTCTCGGGCTCTGTAACACCGACTACCACCGTCTTCACCGCTTGACTTCCATCCTGTCTCTTCAAATTCAGGATACGTTCCGTACATGGCGTATTCCCCACGCTCCTCTTGTTGCACGGCTCCATGGTGGTATACAGCACCGCATCCTCAGGCAATCGCTCTCCTAAACTGCTCTCTTCACAACCATACTCCTTCGCCAATTTTATGAAGCAAGACTGCTCGGCATGCGTATTTCCAGGACACTCGAGCGTATATCCTGTCGTAAGAATCTTCGGATCGCAAGTTGAGCAAGTGCCCTGGAAATTGGCGTGAGCCTTGCTGGGCGAGATGACGACCGCGCCGACGCAGAAATTCGTGGGCTTCGGTGGTGACTTTCGTGCTTCGGATAGGGCGAGTTGAAGGTAGTGGATGTGGTCGTCGTGGGTGAGAGACATGGTAGGAGGATCTGGCTTATCGGTCCATAGTCGATGATTGAGGTCCTTTGCCGCGCGGCGTTCACGCAGGTATAGATTCGGTCAACGTCCTCGACAAGCGAGTCGGATGTTGGAATATCAGGTGTTTGGTGAGGGAGCTGTTGTCGTTGATAGCAACAGCAGCATTGAAGGGATTCGATTTCCGAGACCCGCCGAACTCGGGCTGCCGAGGTCGTCGCCGTTGACTTCACCTCATTATTTCCGGGTCTGTCTCTCCTTTGATATCGCCAACATATGCCCAGGCCAGTATACTGGCGAAGAGGCGAACATGAGCCATGTGGGTGGTCTTGACATTGAGACCAAAACCATGCTAATCGATGCCAAGGATCCTAACACGCCAGCGATAGTATCTCTGCTGGCTGGTGGCTTTGCAGGAGCTGTCGAAGGAGCTGCAACGGTACGTCTCGAGTTGCAGAATTGCTTGTTGGTAAAGACTAAGGTATTCTGCAGTACCCCTTTGAGTTCGCAAAGACTCGTGTCCAGCTCCGAGAGCAGAAAGGTCAACCAACACCGAAGAATCCATTCCGGGTAGTGTACCAGGTCTACGCGTCCGAAGGCGTCAAAGCCCTTTACAAAGGATGTCTACCTTTAGTCGTCGGTAGCGTTGCCAAGGATGGAATTCGATTCCTGTCCTTCGACACCATCAAGAACACTTTCAAGGACCCGGAGAGTGGAACACTCTCGCCACTTCGTAATCTCCTCTCGGGCATGGCATCCGGCGTCGTGGCATCCTTCACGGCTGTCACGCCGACGGAGCGGATCAAGACTGCATTGATTGATGATGCGAGGAATGACAAGAGATTCAAGTCTGCTACGCATTGCATCAAGACGATATTGGCGGAAGACGGTCTGATGGGACTGTACCGTGGACTTGCGGGCACGACGTTGAAGCAAGCTGGTACGTCTTTCAGATATGTCAAGTTCATGTTAATCTACAAAATCTACTAACATTGCATATCCAGGTGCGACCGCCTTTCGCATGGGCACCTACAATATCTTAAAGGACTACGAGCGAAAACGAGATATCCAACAGACAACTCTTACTAATTTTGCCAACGGCTCAGTAGCCGGAACTGTGACTACGCTAGCGACCCAGCCTTTCGACACGATCAAGACGAGATGTCAAAGTTCAAAAGGTGCCAGCACTGTTGATGCCTTCCGAAGTATCGTCGCCGATTACGGAGTCAAGGGGTTCTGGAAAGGAACGACCATGCGGCTTGGACGGACGGTATTCAGTGGTGGTATTTTGTTTACGACGTACGAATGGGCGGCTGCTATCTTGAATCCTCTGTTTATGAGAGAGCAGCATGCGTAGAGTAAGTGCACGAATCAGTACTGACTTCAATGCTGGCAATGTGCTGACGATCAGAGGAAACAGTGAATTGGCCACCTTCTGTACATATACCCTGGGACATACAGAACCTTGGTTAGAAGACAAATGAACATAGGCGTAAGATCATCAAACTCGAACAAACTGATCATTCCTAGCTATGGGTATCCAATGCGCAAATGCTAACAACACAGACTCTGCTCAACCCTCGAGCGGCTTCATGCCCGAGGAGGACGAAGACCCTGCCGTGGTGACCCTCGCATGTGCCGTCTTCGCATCCAAATCCCCATCCCGACCCGACGAAACAGCCTCTGGTGTATACATCTCATACTCATCTGCATTCTCATTTTTGGGATAGCCGGGCTTAGCTGCAACGGCCCCAAACAGCTGGAAGATATTGTTCATCCGCAGCAACATGGTATAGTAGATCGTTAGCCCCACCACGGTGATTTCCTCTCTCGCAGCTGGATCGCCCGCCTTCTCGCCCATAAGCTCGATGAAGCCAAGCTTCCTCACCGCCCAGACGTTGCTCGAGAAGCGGGCTACGGGTATTGAGTTCTCGTCCAAGCAGACAAAGTCCCATTGCTTGAAATCCGTGCTGCTCGTCCATGTCATGGTCATTGGCGCGCCTCCGGGTGTCCTGTACACTTGCGATGGATGTGTGTACCCGGTGGTGAAGCGTTTGAGCGCTTTGATGTGCATCGGCTTGCCTCTTACTTCGGACTCGCTGTCGATCTTGAAGGTATGGAGGTTGCCAGTGCCAACGAGCTCGTCGTCGTTGCTGTCGCGGAATTCGAGGTGTGGCTTTCTTAAGTTGCAATGCACGACCATGGAGGCGTTGTGAGTGGCTGATGGTGCTGGATCGGTGACGAGGCAACGGAACTTCTTCCATGAGAAGTCGACTTTGAGGGTGTTCGGTGGGAGGGGTTCGGAGTCGACCATCTTGAAGCTTGTATTGGGGATGAGTGATGTTCTTTGGACAGTTGATATGACTGAGGATTGAAAGTAGGATCTTTACTTGGCACTGTGAGTGGTGAGAGCTTTGAAGATTTCGAGACGACTTCATATATATCTTCTGTTCTTCAGCTCGTCCAGCTGGTCGTATTCGTACTACATTTCGGCGCCGTACCAAGCCAGGCCAAGCGCAGCCGCAGCAGCTCGGTTAGCCGACCCGACGTCATCTGGCAGGATTTCTCTGGTGATGCGGTCGTCCGTCCCTTGCATGGCCACAAAAATAACTTCAATGGCGCTTGCTCTTCTTCGCAGTTTCGCCGGCTTGGGAAGGATCTCTCAGCACGTCACCGGCTAAATGCCTCAGCTTCTGCATGCCCGTGGAGAGTCGCCGAGAAGTGAGGTGTCGAATTGCCGGGTTTGGATTAGGGGCGGTTGAAACCTTGTCTGCGTCTTTTCACTCAGCTCGCCGTCCTGGGTCAAAACAAACCTGTGTTACTGTACAGCCATCTTCACGTATCGTAACACGACCGAGGCAGTACACTGGGAATTATCGTGGGACTGGACCGACTAACCCAAAGGCCGGACTAAAGGTCACTTCGAGTGCTTGAACATGGCGGCATGCTCTGAACCCACGCCAGGACACCGACGAGGGGCGAATCAACGGCAAGAGCCAAGGCTCTCGAGAACCGACAATATGACCTCGTAGATCCAAGTTCGAGCCCCATCTTGCCGACGTCTGCTATGGAGAGCGAGAACCAAATAGGCAAGAAGAGGAAGCTACCTCTGAAACTGCCACGCGATGCTGTGGAGACTATCATGGACTGTCGCTGTACTATCTCTCCCTTGAAACCTTCACTTCGCGGTGTATCCCCCATCAAGCCTTATGTCGGCCCCATTGATATTCCTCGACTCATCAAGACACAGAAACTCCACAATCCTCGCCACCTCCAAAGGTTCTGCAAAACCACCCGTTGGAACAGCAGCCAGATACTCCTCGCGGACTTTTGCATTTGCCCAAGCCTTCTTCCCAAGCTCCGTCATCACCGGTCCAGGACTGACCGAGTTTGCGGTAATACCTCTGCCACCCCACTCACTTGCCATGCACTTTGTCAAACCGATGAGTCCAGCCTTGGAAGCGCAGTAAGGGCCGTGATGGTGCAAAGCGACATGCGCGGCTTGAGAAGCAATGTTGACGATACGCCCACCAGGGATGGATTTCCCACGGCCTTCTGCGGCTTTGGCAGCGGCCATATATAGTCTGGCGAACGCTTGCCCAGTGAGAGTCGGACCATAAAGATTGACCATATAATGGCGCAGCGCATCATCGACCGGAAATGACTCCAGCGGGTGCAGATTGACGATGCCAGCCGCGTTGACGAGAATGCTTGGAAAGGCGGCATTGTCGTTCAAAATGGCCGAGAAAGCCGCCTGCACTGAATCTGGAGATGCGATATCGCACTCGTAGGTTTTAACGTCCGTCAGGGCCGAATCTTCTTCGTCGAAGACCTCCCGGAGTATTGGATTGACTTTCTGCGCTTCGAATGGAGCATAGAGTATGGCCAATTTGGCTCCTTGTTTCCGAAGCAGCTGGCCGGTCAGTGAGCCGATGCCGCCTACTCTTGGACGATATTAACGAACATCAATCGATTATACAAGCAAGCACGGTTTCGACCTACCTATACCACCTGAAATTATGGCTAATCTAGACGCCAGAGCCATGTTTTTTTGTACATTCGAGAGGCCGGACCCGTGAAGTCACATTACATAGAGAGCGGGGTTGTGGTACACTGGTACTTGACGTAAAGAGAAGGCCTCAGGTGCGATGACATTCCTTGACCTCGCCAAATCGCTGACTGTGTCTCAAAAGCTTCGTAAAAGTGGCATAGACTGTTTCTACAACTTCCGAACGTTCGGGATACCTAACGTCGGTGCACAAGCGGCTTCATTTCTTCACCGGAAGAGCAGCCGGCAACCGCACCTTCGCCACCGCCTTGCTCAACTCCACCCTCTGCTTCTTCAAATTGACAATGGCATTATCAAGCCCCTCGAACTGATGCTCAGCAGTCCCCATGGGAGCTTTCGGGTCCAAGTAACTCCTCTTCAACCTCTGCACCTTGGCCTCGAACTTGCTAAGTTTAGTCTCAAACCCCCTCACACCGTTCTTCTCAAACGAATGCCACTCGCTGTTCAGAATCTTCACGGCTGCGACTTGAGCTTCGTACCGAGAGCCTGGTTGATCTCGTTGGAACAATGGCTTGCGGTCTGCTGGGGGCGGCTCAGGGGCTTGGGTCGTTGAAGCACGATCGGTGAAATCGACGGCTTTGGCTTGGAGTTTCTCGCATTCCTTTTGCAGGTCTTCGGCTTCTTTATTGAGGGTTTCCAGTTTGCAGTGGAGTTTCTGCTCGGGTGTTACGACGGGCTGTTTGCGCAGCTTGGAGAGGCGGGCTTGGACGCGGTCTTTGACGCTCATTTTTCGCTTCATGGTGGCGAGTTGAAATGATTGGTGAGGTTGGCAAGATCTGACGTGTGTAAGGAGCGTTGAGGGAGGTGGCAGGGCCTGTTTGTTGCATGTCCTGATCTTATATTAACGGGTGGTAGTGCATGTGGAGAAACCTGCGCCGATGGTGAACAGCAGCTGTTCGTGCAACGCAACGGCAAGGCAATGCTCTGACGACAGCAGGAGGTTTGTCAAAGTTTGTGGGAATACACAACTCCCGCTCGACAATGCGGCCATTTCCCGACAGCGATTGGTGCAAAGGGCCTTTTCGATACTATCGCAAGCCCTTGGTCATTTCAATCTCCTCATGCGCGAACGACAGCATACCAGATCAAACCCATGACCGCACCCAGCAAGATCGCAGCAGGAGGAGGAAGCTTGTAGTGCATACCCCCAACAAAGCTCGTCGCTACAATAACCACCCACCACGGATCCCTACTAAGGCTGCCTCCATTCCTCACTTCAGCGTCAAGATACCCAATCTCGAACAACCGGTAGACCGCTGTGAAGACCAATCCCACCGCAGCTGCATGCACGCCCCTCAAAGCTGCGCGGACCGCGTGAGCTTTGCGAACAGAGGACCATATCCCCAGAAGACCGGTGGCGAGCCACATTCCCGGGACGAAGATCCCAAGGAAGGCAGTGGCTGCACCCCCTATAGTTGGCGTGGAAGAGCCTTGGACCGCCAGCGCTCCCAGGTAAACCGCAAAGTTGAAGTTCGGTCCCGGGAAAGCCTGCACTATGGCTAGTCCAAGCAGGAAGTCTCGCGATGAGACCCAGCCGGGCGTGACGATGTATTCTCGGAGAAGAGGGATGACCACTGGGCCGCCGCCGAAGATGATCGTGCCTGCGAGGTACATGTTCGCGAAGAGGTCGAAGGCACGATTTCTGTCGGAGTAGATTCCTCTGCAGGCCATGACGATGGCGAAGGAGACGAAGAAGGACGTCAGAACGATGACACCGGTCTTCCAGGAGAGGAGCTTGCTTTGAGATTGCTGTTCTTGAGGAGGTTGTGCTTCATCTTGTCGAGATGTCCGGTGGCGCACAGAGGAGGCTTCACGGCGCTGCTCAAGTGTCTCCAGGTTGATATCGTCGTCTGCCTGACGTGGAGGAGGTTGGTCCCTTGACAAGGCCCGCCAGCTACGCTGAACGAGCCGTAAATCCGATATGGTCGTCATCAAGCCCCCAACAGCGATCAGCACAGGAAAGTACCACAGAGCATTATAGAGCATTCCCGCAGTTCCCCCAAGAAACACAATCGTCCTCGTCAGGCGATCTGTGATAGCCTTCTGACTTAGCTGCACGGCAGCAAGAGCAACGATTCCCACAGTCGCCGAATTCAGCCCACTGAGCAATGCGTAAGCCGGTCCAGGTAATTCATCCTGTATCTGTCCCACGCCCATCGCAAGACCCCAAGAGGCGATCGCCATGGGCAGACTCCAGACAAAGAACGCTGCAACTCCACAGTCAAAGCCGTAGTGCATTACATTGATGATGTAGAGCATCTTCGTCGAACCGGGCCCACTCAGCGCCTGGCAGAGACCAAACAGCTCGTCGTACGCTGTGTCGTCAAGCCAGCCATACTTCTCGACAAACAGCTCTCGGAACATTTGGAAGTGCACGGTAGGGCCGCCGAAGGAGATGAATCCGAGGTGCCAGTTATGGGCGAGCATGTCGAGGAGTGGGATTTTGGAGATTGTCCCTCCGTCTGGTAGCAGAGCCTTGCGGCCTCGGATGACCAGGTCGCGCATTCGGGCGAGTCTTGTAGACATGATGGCTTTAGTTTCTGAACAGCGATTGTTGGTGTTCTTGGTGAGTGAAAACGAGCTTGGTGGCTTTGGGTTTTGCAAATGCATGGCGCCATGCGAGATGGCTGGAGAAGCGTCTTGGTATTGCTCATCCAAGATCCACCAATTGCTTCACAGCTTTTGACTTTACGTCATTCGCAAAGTGATGTATGGTCCAGTTCCTACTACACCTCATGTGAGTTCTCACCTTGTCGCAGAAAGCGTATAAGTTCCCGTGACTACCCATCGTCTACAGGCCGAAGGAATCGCGTCGCTCATAAAGATCTTCATCGCGTCAAAATGCGAAGGCTCAGGCGCTGGCGGCGTATACACCGCGACAGGCCTCCCACGCATAGCATCGGGCATCTCACGATAGCCGGTGACGTTCTGTAAGAGATTGCAATTATCGTTGACCCAATTAATTGCCACACAATTTGGTGTCCAGTCGCAAGTCTCCTGGCAGTAGTCGAATGTCCACTCCGCCCCGGAGAGAGCTCGTTTGCGTCCAGTCGCAGTTGCACTCCGCGAGGAAGTCCGTGGAGGCGGATAGTTGACGTCTGACTCGTCGACTTCGGTGCCCACGTACGCGATGCCGCAGTTGATGTTGTAGGCGGTGCCGTTGGTGGAGGAGCATGTAGTTCCTTGGTTCTGAGAGCCGCAGATGTCTTGTGTTTGAGTTGGGCAGGCTTCATACGAAGTGCTTGCTGTTGGTACCTGAGCTGGCGTGACGCTGTAGACTGTGCTGGAGAATGACGATAAGTCCGAACTTGATGATGTGATCGATTGCGCGGAGCTCTGTGTGCTTGTGAGTGGAGAATTGCTAGACGGGTTGCTGGAGGTGATAAGGCTTGGGCTCAAGGCAGATGAAGGTGTTAGAGATGGCGTCTGTGGAATGTTGCTCATCGGTGCCGTTGAGGGAGGCGGGAGTAGGGTGCTGCTCCAGCTAATTATGGCCGTCACTGTCGCAGTAGCTGTAATTGTGGAGGAATGCGTGGTTCTTTGAGGTAAATGTGGAGTCGAAACTGACAGTATCGAAGATGAGGTGGATTCTGTGGAGGTTGTTGAGGTTGTTGAAGCCTGATTGCTGCTCGAAGACGTAACGACGTCTGAAGATGATGAGCTTGAGATTTCACTGCTGCTGCTTCCAATGGTGCTGGAATCGCTGCTTGATGTGAGAGTCGAGGAGCTGGAGATGCTGGATGAGGTGCTTTGTAGGCTTGAAGATGGTGATTGCGTCGAGCTGAGACTTGAAGTAAGGCTGAGTGTCGAGCTGGGGATTGCAACAGTTGAGCTTGTGCTCCGCAACGTTGAAGATTGAGTCGATACGTCTGTCGATGAGATTACCGAAGACGAGGTAGATGTTGAAAGGTCCGAGGAGCTCGTGCTCTGCAACGTGGAAGATGGACTCGACATGTCCGTCGATGAGGCAGCCGAAGATGAGCTCGATGTTGAAAGGTCGGAGGAGGTTGTGCTCTGCAACGTTGAAGATTGACTTGATACGTCCGTGGAAGAGGCTGCCAATGACGAGGCAAGATCCGAGGAGCTCGTGCCCTGCAAGGCTGACGATGTGGATTGACTGCTCGAAGAGGTGAATTCAGAAGAGCTTGAAGGTATCGAGGAGGCTTCCGAGCTTGAGGTAGCTGTTGAAGAGGGCGACGTTTGTGCGCTACTGCTACTGCTAGTGGTGGCGGGTTGCATCGTTGATGCCAGCAGTGGCGAGCTAGAGCTTATTACGCTCGAGGGCGATGAAGACAGAATGGCGGATGTGCTGCTTGAAGTTGCAGTAGTGGTCGATGAAAATGGAACCCCCGATGTGCTGCTCGGAAATGCAGTAGAGGTGGACGAGGAAGAAGTCGATGAAGCCCCCAAGCTCGAAGTGATCGTAGACGAAGTCGAAGCTTGTGCCCTGCTGCTGCTGCTGCTGCTGCTGCTAGTGGTGGTCGGCTGTGTCGTCGATGCCAGTAGTGACAAGCTGGAGCTTATTACGCTCGAGGGAGATGAAGACGGAATGGTGGATGTGCTGCTCGAGGACGTGGTGGAGGCGAAAGAGGAAGAAGTCAACTCGGCCCCTGAGCTCGAGCTCTCCATCGTCGATGAAGACGAAGTCCGCACGCTGCTGCTACTGCTCGAAGATGGCGTACTCGACCCCAGCGTCGACGAAGCCGAACTGGACACCGAAAGCGACGAGCTGTTTTCCACCGCCGAGGAAGAAGAAGAAGAGGTCGACTGAACCGCCGTACTGGATGTCGAGGAGGCGGGCAAGCTACCGCTTGAGCTTGTAATCGAGCTGTCACTCACCGATGAGCTTATCGTCGTCGAAGAAGAAGACGCCAGGGAACTGCTCGTTCGGGAACGCCTTACATAAATTGTTTCTGTGGGCCCGCTCACGGTGTTTTCTTCGGTGCTGATGACGGTGGTGGTCTGTAGAAATCAAAGATTAGCGTTTCCGTTGCAAAAGGGTAAGATAAGGCTGCCTGGCTTACCTCTACGTAGCTGACTGTCGCGGTCCGCTCGAGAGTTGTCACGATGTTGCTGTAGACTAGCGAGGTGACGTTTCGGAGGATCGTGGTGCCTTGGATATGTCAGCCTGCTCAAGTACGTTCCTTCGTAGATCTTGTGGGTTCTTACCGGGAGCAATTGACACCTGCGTCAAGGTCTGTGTGATTTCCGTCGTCGTTGTATATGGTATCGATGTCACGATTGTGCTGTAAATCAACGAAGTGGCTGTTTGTGTAATAGGTGTGCCTTGAGAAGTCAGCAACTATCCATTCCGTCGTCTTTCGAGCTGGCATACCAGAAATCGTCGTGATCTCCCGCGTCCTCTCAACGATAGAAGTCGTGATTGTTGTTGGCTGAGTACTGACCAACGTGCTGTAGACGAGCGAAGGCGTGGTGAAGGTGATTGTCGATGCTGAAGAGTCTTGATCAGCAGCCTGGCCTCCCCAAATTTCGAGCCTCTTCGCTTACCTGGAGCCGTGGTGGTCTCTGTCAGAGTCTGATAGAACGAAGTCGTATACGAGATGATCTGTTGAGCACAAGTAAACTTCTGATTCTCTCCATCGCCAACAAGCTCTCTCTGCGCCTACCTGCGTCGAAATTTCCGTAGTCACAATTGGATAACTCGAAAGAATCGTCACCGGATACGAACTAGTCGTAGTGACCGCGGGAGGAATCGACATGACCATCGTAGCCGGCTGCGTCGATATGGCGGTCGTCGTCAAGTATTGAACGGAGTAAGTGGTTACTGGGTAGCTCAGGTTCAACTTCGAACGCGAGCCTCTTACGTTTGAGTCTGAACAGAGACTGTCGTATAACTACGAAGAATGTTAGCAGGAACCAGCAAATGCAATCTTCATGAGCCTTACGTGACGACGTTCTGGGGAGTGGACGAGCTGCTGGAGGTTGTTCTGGCTAGAGGGAAGGTTAAATACATTTTCTGTACTTGCTTGATTCATCTCACGCACTGGTAGTGGTTGTAGCCGGCGTAGCTAGAGAAGGAGATACAAGTCAGCATTTATCGCAACGTCCTCAGGCCGGATTTTCTGGAATATCAGGCTTCACATACTTGTCGTCGTGGTAGTAGTAGGCGTTGCTAATAGAAAGATCAGGATTCCCCAAACCACTTCTTCCAGCTCATTCAAAACTCACTGGTAGTGGTCGTAGTAGGCGTGGCTAGAAAAGGAGACACATATCAGCATTCATCTCAGCATTCTCAAACTGCTTCGGGGAGAGATATCGGGCTTCACGTACTCGTCGTTGTCGTCGTAGTAGTAGGTGTCGCTAATAAAAGCTCATCAGCACTCTCCGAAATCACTTTTTCCTTCTCATCCAAAACTCACAAGTAGTAGTAGTCGTAGTCTGCGTCGTACTAAACACAGTCGACGACGAGCTCGACGTCGCTAACCGCACCTCATCAGCATCTTCAAACATCACCCGCCTCGCAATCTTCAAAAATCACTTGTGGTTGTTGTCGTCGTCGTAGTCTGCGTCGTACTCCCCGCAATCGACGACGTACTCCCCGGACTCGGCGTCACGATCCCCTGATACCGAATCCCCGCCACGAGAGCCGTGTTCGAGCTCGCCGTGAAGTAGGGATAGTAGCCTTGGTTGGCCTGGACGTCACGAATCAGCCTCTCATCCCGTCCAACCCCACCCATCCAGTCAGTCAAAGACAAGACATACCTTCAAATAGCAATACCCCCCCGAAAACACCCACGCCACACACTGCGGGTTAGCATCGCACTGATAAAAGCAATCGTTGAAGCCATTCGACACCAGCACGCCGCCGCCGATGCCGACGCCGGTGATGTCCCAGCCGCAGCGGACTTCGTAGGGGATCTGGTTCTGGTCGGTCACGACGGTGCCGTTGACGGAGGGGCAGCTGTAGTTGGGAGGGGTGGAGTTCAGGGGCACGGCGGTGGGGGTTGCGGTTGCTGTTGTGGGCTGCGGAGGGATTAGCATATAATGATGGGGTGATAGATATGGGGTTTTATACAATCTGCGGTCCACCAGTGCGATACCTCGCGGCGAAGTTGAACGTCGTCGTGCCTCCGCCCGTGATACTCGCGACGGAAGTGTAGAACGAACACGTCGCCAAGCTGTTCAGGACCGCCGTGCTGGTCTGCTCGCCCGTGGTGCTGTACTGGTACTGCACGGCCGAGCAATCCGTCGCGGACTGGCAGCGGCTCACGCAGTCGGGGAAATCTGGCGGGTGTTGTTAGCTCTCGTTGCGGAAGATGGATGGATGGGGCATCTTACTTGATGCTCGAGCGGTGGAAGCTGCCGTCGCTCCGGTGTTGCCGTACCCGCAGAAGATCTGCCATTGCTGGCCGCTCGGATCGCTGTAGATGAGTCCATTGTAGTACGGACACAGCAACGTCGGGCTAGCCTGCAGCAAATACACCGCCGCATAGTTATTCAGCGCGTTGAACGTAGTGTTGCTCGGACAGCTGCTGTCTCTCGCTTGACAAGTCCCATCGTAGTAGAGACTGCCCTGTTGGCCTTGCATGCGGTTCCTACCCAGACATTAGCTCTCATCCACCATTCCCCCTCAAGTTCTGCAAATCTCACCAACACCTCCCCGTCCCCAACGTCTTCCCCCAATTATACCCATAAAACGTAAACCACATACACCCAGGCCTCTTCGCACACCCCTGAAAACACGCATAAAGCCCCTGTCCAAACGTCCCCATCCCACCCGTCTCGCCGCCCCAGTACCCCTGGCCATTATAATCATACCCACACCGTATCTGCCAGTAGTTCCCGTTGATATCTTGGAATGTCCCGCCCACGGGTGGGTTGTTCCACGCTTGTACGGCTCCTGCTGTGGCGCCGGCGGCGCAGGAGGCGGTCGATGTGGGGATCGTCCAGGTGTTGGTGGGCATGTATGAGGTGCCGGCGCTGAGGGTGAGGGTTGTGATTGTTTGTAGCGCGGAGATGAGTTTTGCTGTTAACAAGGCCAAGGTGGCCCATGATCTGGTGCCGCGCATCTTTCTGGTCGGTAGGGGTGTGTGGAAGGAGATGAGTCCGAGCCTATGGTATGAGGAATTCCGCGGCTGGGGACATCCGAGCCGTGTGTCTGCATGCGCTGAAGGTGGGTGTTGCTGACGACGCTTGTTCGCTGTTGATAGGGAAGAACGATGACAGGCAAGAAGCAAGGACAGAAAGAAAAGACGGGAAAAGGGGCCAACTCTCCACAATGTACATCATTCATTACCTCCCCCATTTTTCATCATCAAACTCAAAACTAACTACATACTCGTACTCATATCATGTATACCATTCACATAGAACTAATGGGGGATATCGTGCGCCGCTACTGCAAGAGTTACAAGAACAAGACACATAAAACACCACCCACCACCCATCCATCTCCTCCGATCCGCGCACGAGCACTTCACACAAGTGCGAGTTGTTCGTGACCTCGTTGCTCTCGTGAGAATTGTGTTTCTTGGGCTCTGGTGACCCATCTCATCATCATCCTCCATCTGCTTCATGCTGATCTCCTCTTCGATTTTGACCTTGTTCATCGTCTCACCCTCCTTTTGCCAATCTTGGTAGTGATGGCGATCAACGCCAATCTACAACTCATCCCTCACGTGCTGCGTTGCCTCGCTGACAACACTCGACACAGTGCTCGCGGCAGCGGTAGCAGCCTGGCTCGCCTGCACACCAAACTCAGAGATGCGGCTGTTCGCGCTTGCCACCGCAGCTTGAAGCTGGCTCTGAACGCCTTCGAGATAGGTCTGCTCTTCGCCAAAGATGGCACTGCTGACAGCGCTGCTCGCCGCAGAGGCTTGCTGAGCGGCCTGGCTGGAGAGCGAGCTGTAGACACTCTGGGCGGCACTACTTGCTGCCTCGGTGGTGCCTGTTGGTGAGCCAAAGATAGCAGCTTGGATAGCACTCGACGCCGATGCACCAATGTCCACGATGTTGCTCTGAGCAGCCTCGACGTAGTTTGACTCCTTGCCGTAGACCGCCTCACTGACTTGAGACGCAGCGTCGCTGTACACGCTCGCCGCAGCCTCAGTTGCTTGCTGCGAAGAAGTTAGCATCAGATTAACAGACGATCGCGCTTCATCATATACCTCGTAAGTGCCCTTGGTAGTGCCATAGACTTGCGAACTGGCGGCATCAACGGCCGCATTGAGCTGCTCTTGCATCTGCTCCAAGATGCCTGGAACCTGCGTAGGAGGGATGAAGGCGGGCGAGACCACCGAAGCAGCCTGGACGTATGCCTCGCTGGCGTACGATGATGCTTGCGAGACTATCGCTGGTGCGCCTGTGCTGTAAGCAGATTGGAACCTGCTGTAAACACTCTCGGTGAAGTCTGGCTCCTTTCCGCTCACAAGCTCAGAGAAGAGTGCCGCCACAGCACTGTATTGCGACGCAGCAGCTTCGGTGGCCTGGCCGGCAAACTCATTCGCACGGCTCGCAACCGACTCGGTGAATGGCACTGGAGCGCCGTAGACCTGCTCACTTGCTTTCGAGATCAGCGCATCCCAGTTCTCAGAGGCTCGGCTTGCGAGTGATTCAGTGACGGGAGTCTCCTTCCCAATGACTGCACTGCTCACATTGGCAGAAGCTTGAGCGAGCTTAGAACTTCCAATAGACATCGCGTCGGCAAGTTGACCTTGGAGATTGTCCATAACGCTCTCATCCACGGTCTTCTGTCCCTGAGCGTTCGCAGCCGAGCTGGCCATTGACAGAAGTAAGCTGTATGTGGAGCGAGCCTCGGAGGCGTAGTCGGTGAAGGCAGAATGAGCGTCGGACAACACGCTCTCCGCGGATGCAGAAATGCCAGTGGCCGTTGGCGTGGGCGAGACGACGCTGGATGCTGCCTCGAGGAACTCGGAGTACCTGCCGTGTGCAACACCAAGAGCTTCATAGTACGCTTTCTGTGCCTGTGCGAGGTATTGCTGGTGGGCGGGAGTGGGAGTGGCACCGAGCGCACTCTTGGCGCTGGCGTACTGGGCAGAGGCAGCGCTCACACCTTCAACGAGACGCTGGGAAGCAACGGAAGAAATGCTCTCGTAGGCGTTTTGCGTTGGCGAACCCAAGACTGCTTGCAAGTTATCGCTGGCAGCGCCGACAGCCGCAGAGTATGCTGACTCGGCAGATGCGAACATTTGTTCGTGGACTGGCTTAGGAGTCCCGGAGATCTGCTCTGAAATTCGGGACTTGACCTGTTCGTAATGGCGTGCTGCTTCACTCGCAGCATGATCGTAGGCAGAGCTGGCGGCAGCGAGGGGAGCTGCAGATGCTGGAGTTCCGTAGATGGCGTAGGAAGCAGCGGTGACTGCAGAAAGATAGTGCTCTCTTGCGGCGCTGCTACCCTTCTCGGCGGCATTCTGGCTACCAAACAGCACGCTGCTTGCGGCTGCAATCGCACTTTCGTATTGCTCGCTAGCCACGCTCGTAACACTCTCGACGGTGCCTTGTGTCTTGGTGGCGCCCTTGATGGCATCTTGGACGGCCTTGGTGAGCTCGCTTGCTTTGTCTCCGGCAACGCTGGCCATGGACTGGATGCTCTCGCTGAAGCTCTCAGCACCGTCGACAATGTCGTCGTCGAGAATTGGTTCCCTCGCCTCAACAAGGACCTGTGCATTGGCACCGGCGAACACCTTCTTTGGTGACTCTGTAGCACTGGAGACAATTTCCTCGGCAGCACTTGCAACGCTTTCTGCATCTGGTACGGCATCGCTGACAGCTGATGCAGCAGATTTGGCACCGGATGAAGCTTCGCTAAGGACGGATGATGCACCGGACGAGACTTGAGATGCAACAGGGGGCTTGCCAGTGGCCTTGTCGGCGAGGGAGGATCCGCTGGAGGAGACCACAGAAGCTGCAGATTCCACACTCTTGCTGGCAGACTTGCTGTTCTCCTTCTGTTCTGAGGAAATGCTGGACAACTTCGATCCAGGGCTCTTGGTCAACGGCTTGTCCGCGACTCGGGATGAAGCCGAAGAAACGACACTCTCTGCAGCTGCAGACGCCTTCGAAGCCGCATCAGTTGCGCTGTCGGAAAGACCTGATTCGGCACCAACGACGGCGCTTGAGATGGATGAAGCAGCATCGGTGGCAGAGTCAGAAATGCCAGACTCGGTTCCAACAACGGCCTCAGAGGCAGCAGATGAGGCACTCTTCGCAGATTCGGCGACCTTGCTGCTAACGCTCTCGACAACAGGCTTCTCAGATCCGATGATCTTCTCGCTGGCCTTGCTTGCGGCAGTTTCAACAGAGCCGGTTGATGAGCCAACGACTTGCTCAGACAAGCTGGAAGCCTTCTCAGCCGCTTGGCTGGACACACTCTCGACGGTGCCCTTCTCCTCTTCACCAAACACAGCCTGAGATGCTTCGGCGACCTTCTCGACCACCTGATCTTTGGCCTTGCGGACCGGAGCTGGAATATTCTTGGTAGCGAAGTCCTCAGTGTGGTCATCCGCTGCGATCTTCCACTTGCCAACGTTCTTCAGGCGGGCAAGCTCTTTGGCGGCATCCTCGGCAATGGCCATGGCGCGGTTCTCAACATCTTCGCCGGCAGCCTTAGCACTTGCAATGCCAGGGTGAGTGTGAGCAGCCTTTGCAACGTCATCCCTCCATGCCTGAGTAGCCTTCTTGAGATCGTTGTACTTGGCCCACTCCTTATGTGGGAGAGACGAGGAAGCGTACTTGCGACCAATCTCTGTCAGGCGAAGCTCACGAATGCCATCAATGGTCTCGAGGGTGGATTGGAGGGCCTTCTCAACCAGGTCCTCCGTCTCGACTTGGTTGGTCAGACGCCATTCACGAACAGCTTGAGCACGCTGCTTGACGTTCTGACCGGCAGAGCGAATGGCCTGGGTGAGGTCATCGTTTGCAGCTTCGAGGATACTATCATCGACATCTTCTGGCAGGTTCTTGACAATCTGCAGAATGCGAGCCTTGACGCTGTTTTCAGTCGCTTCGGCAGTTTGCTCGAGTTGAATGACAAGGGCATCTCCGACGCTCTCTGCGCTTTTGAGCTGACGGTCGGTGATGTCCTTGATACGCTCGGTCAAGTCTTCAGTACCCTCTTCAACCGCCTTGGCAGAAATGTGCTCCCAGCTCTTGAGGTCTTCGGCAAACTGGACCTTGGGGTCTGGGGTGGATTCGGGCTTGGCGGAGGCGGCAACACTGGCGGCGGACGATGGGCTGGCGGTGGCTTCCTTGATGGTGGAAGAGATGGAGGAAGCAGCAGATTCCACACCGGCAGACGCTTCGGCGAGCTTGGAGGAGCTCTCCATGCTCTTGATCTCCGCCTCGAGCTTCTTGCCATCCTTGTACCGACCCAAACGCTCGGTGATGCGAAGTAGCTGTGGCTCAACATTCTCTCCATACAGTATACGCATGCGGGGCCAGATTTGACGCGTCCAGAAAGTCCATACAGTGCTGCCAGCGAACTGAGCCTGAGGCAGAGCGGTGTTGACGGCAAAGTCTTGGCCTTGGTGATAAAGCTTCTCGGCGTATGGCTTTGTGCTGCGGTAGACAGGCTCTAGCTCCAGCTCCCAGATATCACCGACCGAAGTCCTGACTTGATCGTAGTATGGCTGGACGATATCCTGAGCCTTCTTGACGTGTGGGCCGAGGTGTTGTTGATATTGCTTGCCCGACTCTTTCTGCAGCAGCTCGAGTTGCGGCTTGAGCGTCTTCTCCCACTGCTGCTGGCTGAACTTTTGAGCGTCGGCGACTCGTGGGGCTCCATACTGCGTATAGGCGGCGAGGCCTGGAGTGTAGACGTTATCGGTGAAGCGGTCCACGTATGGCTGGGCTTGCTGGACGTAGGGCGATAGATATTGGTCGTAGTATGGCTGAGCGTATGGAGTCACGTAGTCTCTGGCCTGTAGGTACGGCTTGCATATCCGCGGCGAAGCGTCTGTGACATCTCTTTGTGATGACGGGCATCGAAATAGCAGCGTGACCAGGGCATACCACACGAACAATCGCGAAGCTATGCCGCCGGCCCAGCCGATGTACGTCTGCTTGCTCTTCTTCCTGTGGCCTGAGCGTCGGCGGTGGTCGATGTGGCCATTGACTTGACCGGTCATGGCGGGCGGTGGTTTGGACTTGGGGCCTCTGGGCTTGCCGTTGGAATCAGCAGCCATCGTCGGTGCGGGTGGGTCGTCAGCGATGGATATCTCTCCCCAGCTGCTGCGAGAGCTCTGTGCTCTCTCCTCCGAATCCGAGAGCGACACGCTTATCCACACACGAACGCGGCACCGCGAGATATAAGCTCGGGGGCGGTATGGGAGAGATGTGAGGAAATAGAGAGGATGGTGAGGAGGAGGAGAGGTGGTATTGAGTGTGCCGGCCCCTATGCGAGCAGTATGGCGGGTGTGTAGTGGTGGTGTCGATTCTTGATTGACGCTGCAGGATGACGCCGAATCCACACAATCGCAACCGACGCCGTGCAGCAAGCGAGCCACTCCCGCCCCGGTCACTGCCCATCACATGCTATTGCGGTCTTCGGGGGGTAGATGAATGAATCGCTCTCCCATTCCACCACCGCCCACGCCTCAGCTACCTGCAGGAACGACGCTGTCCCGCCTGTCAGCGCCGTCATTGTCTCAAACGCCTGAGTCGTACTTTCATTCATTCATTCACAATTCATACATCCCATAAGCGCACGTGATCCGCCTTGTTCTCGACACCACGCTGCCATCGCCGCTGCCCAGCAAACACTCCCGCCTGCGACTTGCTGTCCCATCCCAGCGCTGGCGCCTCCACAACGCGACACCCTCATGACGACCTGAACGGCCACACCCCCGCCCTGGAGGCACCCTCACGAATCTCATTACTTGGACCACACTCCGCCAAAATGGACGACCCCAGCCACTTCGATGCCGATTTGTCCTCCGACGAGCCCGACATCATGAACGATCCCGCCTTTGCCCCTCCTCAGCGCCGCGATACCGCCTCATCAGGCTTCGGCGGCGACACCTGTCGAATATGCCGCAGCGAAGGCACCCCGGATGAGCCGCTCTTCTACCCGTGCAAATGCAGCGGCAGCATCAAGTTCGTCCACCAGGAGTGCTTGATGGAGTGGCTATCCCACTCACAGAAGAAGCACTGCGAGCTGTGCAAGACGCCCTTCCGTTTCACCAAGCTCTACGATGCCAACATGCCCAAAACGTTACCCTGGACTGTATTTGTGGGAAGAGCATTACTACATCTGGCTGTGTTGGCTCTAAGAGCTTGTAGAGGGCTTCTCGTCAGTGCTGTGTGGTTGGTCATTCTGCCGTGGATGATAAGATGGGCGTGGAGGTGGATGTTCTGGCTGGCTGATGCTGGATGGGCAAGAGAGGCTTTCATTCGCAAGATGCAGGCAGACCATGTCTCTACGCAGGTGGCAGGTCAGAGTGCAGCACAGAATACATCGTCAACAGCGGGCTCGCTGTACTCTTCGTTGGAGCAACTGCTGGCTTCTCAGCTGGGGACGGACAACTCCCCGGCCGGCAAGACCGTGAACCTCATCACAGGTGCCATATCTGCCGCCTTTAAGAATTCCACAGCCACTACTCCTACTGCTGGTGACCCTGCTGCCTTCTGGCCACAGGCTGATGCGTCCATCCTCTCGTCATGGACCTACATTTCAGAACTCACCTCCAACCCACAGCTCAACCGCATTATCCTTGACATCTTCGAAGGACAACTCATCACTTGCGTTGTTATCACTGGCTTTATTCTGGTCTTTCTCATCCGCGAGTGGGTCGTACAGCAGCAGCCGTTGGTCAATCTGGACAACCTGAATAATATCCAACGAGAGCGTGATCAGAGGCAACGCGAGGTTGAGCGGTTGCAGAGGCAGGCGGAATTGCTTGACCAGGCGCGAGCAAGACTCGTTGCTTTGCAGAATGAGGCAGAAGCTCATCCGAACAGCGGCGAGGGCAACGAGAACAACAAAGCGGGCAACTTCCAGGGCTGGCATGTGCTTAACATTCTCATCGACACTGCAACTGTTCACCTTCGCAAGCATTTGGCTAGTCGCAATGACAGTGAGTACGACATCTTTGTTCGTGCTGCATCGGAAGTGATTGGGCAGGTGCGAGCGGCAGGTAACTCTGGAATTGACGCCGGCGAGTTGGCTGACAAGGTCTACGACAAATTGTACTCCCTCTCCCAGGACGAACGCGAAGCATGGGAGGGTGTTTTGATGTCGGAATTGTGGATCAATGGCCAAGACAAGCAACCGCAATCCGATTCAGCGCAGGGTGAGGAGGAACTGATTTCACCATCAGAAAGCTCCAACAGCAGGCGGCCGCCAATGCCTACCCGCGACACACACTCGCGAGCAACTCAGATCCAGCGAATCCTCGAAGAGGCCGACAGTGCTTTCGCTTCCCATGACCACCGCCCTGCTGGAAGTCTCTCCCCACGAAGCACAGCTGCCGAGCCTCCCACTGAAAGCGCTAGTATTGTCAGTGCTCCCTCGACCGAAGGTAGCTGGCTGGAAGTCAGTCCACCCAAGGAGCCTGGCGAAGTCATCGATCATATGGATATTTTCCAGGAGAACAACGACGAGATGCCCATTACCAATGCCGGCCCCGACGCAAAGATCAACATCAAGCGGAGCGGAAAGGGAAAAGCTAGGGCTGTTGTTCCCGAGCCCAAGATCGAGTCTAAGTTGCTTACCGAAAATGAGCTCAGACGGCGGTTGGAGAGTAGAGGTGGCACTCCTATGAACGAGATTAAGCGTCTCGAGGACTCGCCAGAGAATAACACTGCGGAAACGGGTGGCGAACAGAACGCGCAATCAGGAAATCCGTTCCACTCAGACGGTCCTGAGCCCGACCCTCAACAGGCAGAGCCCCTAACCACCAGCTCTGTCCGTGAAGAGAATGGAACCCATGAACAAGCACAACAGGGAGAACCCACAGAGCCTTCAAATCCAACCCCTGCACAGGATGCTGCCGATGATGACGAGCCTACTGAGCCAGATCAAGAGCAAGTCCCCGCTGCTGAGCCGAGCCTGTTCTCAAGAATCGTGGATTGGTTTTGGGGAGACATCCAGCCTCAAGGTGCCCAAGAGCCCGTCTCAGACCCTAACGAGGAAGTCATCGGCGAAGGCGATGAAGACCAGCAGGCGCCTTTCGTGCCAATCCACAACGGCCAGCCAGCGATTGCTGATGTTGCTCACGAAGACGAGGCTGCGGAAGAGAATGATCCTGAAGTGGTTGCAGCTGCGCAGCAAGCTGGTCTCGACGCCGAAGCTGTGGAAGACGCAGAAGACCTCGAAGGCATTTTCGAGCTTGTTGGACTACAAGGACCGCTGATAGGACTCTTCCAGACGTCCTGCTTCTGTAGCGTCTTGGTCACAGGCACAGTCTTTGGCGCCGTTGGTCTGCCATATGTCTGGGGCAAGCTGGTGCTATCATTCATCGGCGCACCGATGACTTTCCTCGTCAAGACTCCTCTGCAAGTCGCTTCATTCGTGGCTGATGTGCTTATCGATGCTGTGCTTCTTTCCGCTGGTTGGCTCGCCGTCATAGCGTCTCTGGCTTGCGACTTTCTTCTCTCTGCCGTCGAGGTGTGGATGCCGAAGTTGGCAGAGTACAACTTCACCCACTGGATCAACGAGATTGCCACGTCAACCGCTGCCACTGCTGGATACAGGCTGCAGAAGCTGTTCATATCAGGAGAAGCGGCATCTGCTGATGGACTTGGCTGGCACTGGGCCTTCTTGGGTGCATCAGTCCATGCTCATGCCTCACTGAAGAACCTCCAGGGCGAGGTCAGTGGAATTCTCAACTACACCGGCTGTATCATCACTTCGGTGGTGGATACCATCTCGTCAGGCTCCAAAGACCTCATGTGGCAGCGTTCGTTGAATGCTGTTTCGCAGTTTCCAGAAATCCCGGCGAAGGTGCTGGCCGGTGTCGAGGCGCTCGAGAATTACACTCGTCCTTTCTTGGACATGTTCCGCAGTCTCAAGACTGGAGCATTGACGTTCAACTCCACGTCAATGCCGATGGATCCAGCTCTTGTCTACTGGAACACGAACGATCGTGGACTTGCAGTCCTGGCTGGCTACGTTGCCCTTGCGGCCATCGCTGCCGTGTATGTCGCCCTCGACACGCCCATCACACGCTCGCAGTCTGGCCAGAAGACAGAAAAGATCATACGCGACACTCTTCGACAAGCAGGAGGCGTGCTGAAAGTCATCCTCATTATCAGTATCGAGATGCTAGCTTTCCCTCTCTACTGCGGCTTGCTCCTCGACCTGGCCTTTTTACCACTCTTCCAGAGTGCCTCCGTCGCCACCCGCTGGGCCTTCGCCATCAAAGCACCATACACATTCTGTTTCGTGCATTGGTTTGTTGGGACCTGCTACATGTTCCATTTTGCGCTATTTGTTGGCATGTGTCGTAAGATCCTGCGCAAAGGAGTGTTGTGGTTCATTCGCGATCCTGACGATCCGACATTCCACCCGGTCCGAGATGTCCTCGAACGCAATGTCACGACGCAGCTTCGGAAGATCGCCTTCAGCGCACTCGTCTATGGAGCGTTGGTGATTTTATGTCTGGGAGGTGTCATTTGGTCGATAGGAAAGGTCTTCAAGGGCATCTTCCCGATTTACTGGACACCGACGGAGCCGATCATCGAGTTTCCGATGTGCTTGCTGCTGTTCAACTTCTTGATACCGAGACTTGCTCAGCTGTCAAATCCGTCATCTGCCGTCCACATCATGTATGCTTGGTGGCTGCGCCGCTGCGCGAGAGTCCTTCGTCTTTCACACTTCCTCTTCGACGACCGCCGAAATGATGAAGAGGGTCGACATGTTCACAAGTCTTGGATCAGCTTCTTGCTTTTGAAGAAAGGCAACCCAGACGAAGCCATCGTACCGTCAGATCGAAGACTCAGCGATGGAAGCGAACTGCCTGATGTATACTTCAGACGAGACGGCAAATACGTCTTGACGCCATGCAACGACCAATACCGACCACCAAAACCTGGAGAGGCTTTCCTGCACGCCGACGACGAGGATGTGTACATCGCAGACAAGGAGGGCAAGAGAAATGATCACTTCTCCAAGGTCTACGTCCCACCGTTCTTCCGCCTGAGGGTTACGCTATTCATGGTCTGCCTGTGGATGTTCTCCGCTTTCTCTGGTCTCTGCGCAACTCTGGTCCCTCTGGTCTTTGGTCGCTTCATCTTCTCATCTCTGCTCCCAGCAGGCGTGCGTGTCAACGACATCTACGCGTACTCGCTGGGAGCTTTCATCATCGTCGGTGCTCTCTTCGCCGCGATTAAGAGTCGTCGGTTGGGCGGTGATTACTTGCCTGAGAAGATTCGGTCCATCGATGTCAACGCCGTGGCGAGCTCCGTAAAGAAGGCTGCACTGCAAGCTGCAAAATGCTTGTACGTCTATGGCTTCTTCTACATCATTATGCCGCTTGCATTCGCTCTGGTGCTGCAGTTCTACATCATCCTACCCTTGCGGACATATCTCAACTCATCAGGCTCTCCACACACCGAATCCACGGCCAACACCAACTCAACCACCATCAACAACACCGTCCAAAACACGACCCACCTCACAGTACAATACTCCCAACTCACGGCCAACGACCATCCCCAACCTCGCTTCCCGTACCTAGTCGACCACAGCATCCACCTCCTCCAAGACTACGCCCTCGGCCTGCTCTACTTCCGCATCGCCATCCGCGGCTACACCACCTCACCCACCTCCCGCGCCGCCGAAGCCTTCCGCCGCGTCACGGCCGAAAACGGCTACCTCAACCCGAACATTCGCCTCGCGACAAGATATTTCATCCTCCCCGCCACCCTCCTCGCCTTCTTCGTCCTCCTCACGCCACCACTCCTCGCGCGCCTCTCCATCACCCTCATCACCCACCTCACAACCCTCCAACTAGACGAGGTCCTCCAAACGATCATCTACCGCTACTCGTACCCGCTCGCGGAAGTCTGCGTCGTGACGATGACGGGGCTCGTGCAGATCGCCAAGGCCACGGGCCGGTGGAGGGCGAGGATCCGCGACGAGGTATATCTTGTCGGCGAGCGGTTGCATAATTTTGGGGAGAGGAAGCCGCCCGTGGGGAGTCGGAGTGTAGTAAGGCGGGAGAGGTAGATGGAGGAAGGAGAGGTGGATTTGGGAGGGGTGGATGGAGTGGTGTTGATGAGGGTGGATAGTCAGAGGGGACTTGATATGAATTAGCGTTGGCGTTTGTAAGACAGACCTCGTCGTCTTTTACTGGGCTTGGGTTTGGTTTGGTATTTACTCTGTGTCGTTGGCAGCATGCCACCACCGCTCTTGATCGTAAAGTAGCTTTGCAGAGCTCTACTCGATTCTACTCTCGTGCATTATGCTCCTCAGCCTTTCTTTTCCTCACGTGCCCTCCTCGCTGTACCTGTGTTTCGACAACCTGGGACATCGTGGACATGCTCAGCAGCAGCCATATCGACCGTCGCCTCCCAAACGCCAAACAAACTCCATGTCAATGCTCATACCCATATCAATGGCGCAAATCACCCGAGAGGGATCGAAATGTGACGCAGATTGACATTAACGTCTTCTGTGAAATAGGCATTCAAGATTTTCATCTCTTGCTTCAATGGATGTTTTGCACTCTCTTTCTCGTCCTAATTCTATCGGCGGAGGCGGAGACTCGTAGCATATTGTACAATATGCCAAGGTCTGTTGCTCCATTCCGACGCCTCTACGGCTTTGTACTTTGCCTTGAACTGCTACGACGTCTCTACCCCGCTGCATCTCGATATGCCATCAGCCTTACGCATCTGGACGAGATGGCCATGTCATTCGTCCTTTCCCCGACGCTAGAGTCCACGGCTTATGGGCGTCTCGTTGGTGGCAGGGAGATGGACCGTGAGATGCGGATCGGCGTAGTCGTTCGAGACACGATGTTTCAGGGCCTTTTTGGGTCCCTCTGTATGGTTTTGAAGTTTCGGGTTTTTGGAGTCTGGTGATAGATTACCACGGCTGTGGCTCTACATGGTGTGTCATGTTACATTGCTCCACGCTGGTATGTGCGTTCAGCTTTACGCATTTGAACTCTTGGGACTTCCCCTCCACGCTGCTTGCTCAGCAGAGAGCAGATTGCATATAATCCTCCTCATCTCCAAAACGCCAGAAACTCCGCGCGATGCCCAGTATCCATGGAATCCACAAACCCACCCATCTCTCCTCCTCCCCATATCACGCACCATTCTAAAAACCCGGCGGATTAACCCTCTGACTAACCCTCGTCCACTTAGGCAACTTATGCACCCCCTTCCGATACCCCCTCACCTTCTTATCAAACATCGTATACTTATCCCTCGGCAACATCTCCTGCTCGGTGGGCATCTCGGCTTTCCAGCGCGCGATCAGCTTGATCGTGTTGGAGTCGCGGGTGAGGAGGGGGATGGAGGAGGGCCGTTGGAGGGTTATGCTGCCGGTGGGGGTTTGCGCGGGGATGGGTGTTGAGGTGGGGAGGAATTCGCCTTGGAGGGGCCCGCGGCCGTGGCGGCGCGTGGATTGCGAGGTGGGTGTGTTGGTGGTGGAGAGGAGGCGTTGGCCTTCAGCGGTGGTTTGGAGGTCTGCTTTTGTTGCGCCGGTTCCTGCTGCTGATGGGGGCAGCTTGTCTTCGCTCTGAGGCTGTGGTTGTGATTGTGTGGATGTTGACTTTTTCAATGCGCTATCGAGGACTGAGACGACGTTGTCGACGCGGCGCAGGCGGCGGCGTTGTCGGAGTTTGCGGGTCGAGGAGAGGCGCCAGGGGATTTTCCTGCATCTTGTCAGTACTCGAATGCCCGTGAGTCTTGAAAAGAGGGTTATCGTACCATAATAGACCTCCTGAGAGGGGTGCGCTGGGTTTGAATGCGCCGAACATTGTGATGTGTGTGGTTTGGATGTTGGTGATGCGATTGAAAGTCGATCGAGGTTCGATGTTTCCACTTCGGGAGCTTCGCCGCGGGAATGCCAAGACTTGTGGATCCCAAGGGAAGTGAGTGAATGGTCTCGCCTTCCAACCAACAACAATCCAACAGGAATGTAGATTTCCAAAGCAGATCAAATTACTTCACTCGCGACACGAAGAGAAGGAGAAAAGATGTCCTACTACTTCACCATCATCGGCACGCGCGACAACCCGCTCTTCGAACTCGACTTCGGCACCTCCAAAGTCGGCGGCGATGGCATCGCGAGGTTCCGGGAGGAAGCCAAACATATGAATCAGTTCATCGTGCACGCCGCGTTGGATCTGGTAGAGGAGACGCAGTGGAGTACGAAAGATCTGTACGTTCACTCACCTCACCCCTTAGAACCGCTGCCTCCCTTGCACCACGGCCCAATGTTCGTTGCTGATATTCATTCTGTGTATACTAGGTATCTCAAGAAGATTGATTCTTTCCAGAACAATCACATCCACACGTTCCTCACCGGCGGTAATGTCAAGTTCATGCTGCTCATGAACCCGGATCCTTCGAGTACATCTTACTCGGCTTATCAGACTTCTTCTCCGCCTTCGAGGCCAAGTACTGCGAGGCAAAATACGCTGCTTGCGAGTAACCCAGGGAGTCAGCAGACGGAGGAAGCAGTTAGGCAGTTTATGTTTGAGGTGAGTATCCACTATCTCTGTGTCTGACGTCGACTGGCATATGTGTGCTGATTTGGGACGTGTAGGTCTACGAAGCATGGATGAAATGCATCATGAACCCCTTCTATCAAGTCAACCAACCCGTCACGTCTCCTGTATTTCGGAGTCGGGTAGGCATGGCCGCAAAGAAGTATCTCTGAATGTACCTATGGCGCGATACCTTCCCTCGGATCCACACATGTGAAGGACGAAGGAAAGAGCAGCCCAACTGCATCGCTTACACGCATGGCATGTGCGTCTCCACCACCGCGGCTGAATGAGCTACATGCTGGTTGTTGCCCAGCCTCTCTGGACGACCTCCTGCTGTTGCTCAATGGCTCCAGCAGGTCAGCAGGCCCTCCTCTACCATATCCACAAAGCTCCGATAGGGCCTTGATCAACTGCAGGCTGACGACCCCAATCCATCCATCCATCCATTGCTGCTGTATGAATGAGCGATGCAAAGCGAAACAACCACATACCAACTCCCACCCGACCCACCCCCACACCTTCCACAAGGACAAGCTGCAGATCACAGATCGACTGCGGGGCCGCGCACCCACACCCACGAGATACCACCGACTACTGTACCTTCGCACCCATTCACGCATTGATAGCTACGACCAAGATTCCAACGATAAGCTGAAGCTGGAGCTCGAGCAAAGCTCACGTGGCACACCTCGTCGTTATCAACCCTCGGGAGAAAGAGTCCGAAAAACAAAAACCGCAGTATCCCCGACACCACCGCATTTCTCCCGGCTTTGACCGCACTTCATGTGAATGACGACAGACAGAATATACACAGTGTAGCCTCACTTTCCCGGCATGTGAAAGGATGGGAAATGTAGCATAATACTAGCGGGCTGACGACACCGACATGAACAACAAACAACACTATACTCCCTTGACCGGTCAAAAAGATCTGCCGTCAATGCGACGAGGACTTGAATGAAGTACAACGGCTGAAATCGGATCCAAGCGATGATACGGGCATGGTGGTAGTGGAAAGTAGGTAGCTGCAGCTGTGAAGATGTTGCGTGACAGTCGTTAGCAAGCAGGGAAACTTTGGTAACCTATCGGCGAGGCGCACTGGAGCTTTGCTTCGATCAGAAGACGAATAGCTTTCGCTGTAGCTATAGCTAGCTATACTCGGGTACTGGGAACTGCAACGCAACGCAATGCAACTGCAACTGCACTCAAGCGAGCTGATGATAATCATTCTTCGGTGATGTGATCGATTGATCCTGTTGGTGCGAGAGAAAAAGCACCCCAGCAAGTAGGAGAAAGAAAAACAAAAGCAAATTGGTATCGTGCCTTCCCATCCATGCCATCTTGCGCGCGCGTGAATGCAATCCATGGTCCTCTTCATGCAAGTAACCCGAACCGTGACTCCCATATCCATGCCTCGTTTCCAAAGAACCCCATCAATCATGCAAGATTTGATCATTCTGATCCATAACCAACCAAACACCCTCGCTGATGCCCAATGCCCGTGCGTCATTCTTGTAGTAAAGATACATTCTGGTTGGTCGTTCTGTCCGTCCATCCATCCACCTCACCGCCGTGATCGTCCCCTCGTCTCCATGTCGACCGGTAAGGTGGTGGTTGTCTTGGCATCCTCCATCTCAGCCTCACTCTCGGCCTCGGCTTCCTCGCCCACGGAGTACAGGTGATAGCTTGGTCGTCGCCAGACGTGGACTTTGCCTGACATGGTCCGGTTGAAGCGCAGGCCTGGGCGTTCCATTTGGTGTGCTACTCGGCGGCGTTCGCGGGCTCGGGCGACGAGGTAAGAGACGGGGAGGTCATCTTCATCTGAATCCTCCTCATCTTCGTCGTCGTCGAAGTCGTAGTCATCTTCTGGTGGAGGAGTGACTTTGACGGCGAGGTAGTTGGGTACGCTGGGTCGAGTAGTCTTCGGTCCGCAGTATGAATGAATGTCGTGGTCGCCTTTGAGGTTTGGCGAGTTGTCTGGGGTGAGTTGAGGGAGGTCTTCCAGCAGAGGCGTCCACTGTCTGCCTGATGGGTCGGAGTTGGCGCGGTTGCGAAGGACAGCACGCTGCAGAGCTGATGCTTGACTGGCGAGGAGACCATCCCATCGATCAGGGACTTCCTCGTGTCGTTGCTGAGCGTGGCGACGGTCGTTGTCGAAGAGGGCAAAGTCGGTGATGCCGGCATCCCATTCTATCTCCTCAGCATCCTCGTCCTCGCTATCCTCGGCCCAGTCTTCGTACTCGTACATCTGAACGGGAGACAAGAAGTGGTCCTCGGGGTGCTTGTTGAGGTCATCCTCGAATGGGTCGAAGATGGGCTTGTTGGAGTGAGCGGGAGTCGAGGGCATGGTGGCGGGCGCGGATTGAGTCTTATGTAGATGGGGTCTGTCGCCATGCGCAGTGGGAGGAGTGGGAGGCGTGACGCGAATGGACGGTGGCCAAGTTGCGCTGCGTGCCGATGGCTCGAGCCTCTGAAGCACGGGCGGCGACGGCATGGTTTAGTTATAGGGTTGGCGACGGATTTGGGGCACGCGAGCGATTTCCTTGCTGGCGGCGTGGGATAGGGCGGTGATGCACGGCCGCTGTTTTGACGACAGACCGCTGGAGTGTCAGGTCGCAGGCGTGCAGTAGCGCGATCGAAGGAAAAGCAGTGCAGCCGTCAATGTGCGAACACGTATGGAGGCGGCGGGCTGTTGGACTCCGGCTCGTGGCCGGCCAGTGGTATTTCAGAATTTCTCAGCAGTTGGCTGTGGTGAAGGCAGCAAGCGAGCGTGCGTGGGGGCGATGCAACTCAAAGTTTGGAAATGCAGCGAGACTGACGGTGACAGAGGAGAAGATCGAAAGGAGTGACGGGGATGCAGCGCGTCTTTTCAACGGCGCACAGAGGGCGGGGCAGAGGGCGAAGAAGAAGAAGAGGTGTCGAGCATGAGCATGACTGGGGCAGGCAGGCGTCGTCGAGCTCGTCGTGGAGGGCGCAGCAGATGACTGTTAGGGTGAGACAAGACACCCATCAGGCGTCGACACCACCACCAGCCCGCCAGCCGGCTGCTACTCACCAATGATTAATCAATATCTCGCCAAAGCTACGCATCCCGCGTCAGCCTGCTCGCTCGCCAACTGATGGGCGTGAGTAACGCGTCCACGCCAATGCGAACCGCGCATGCGCCCGGTACCTGCAGCCGTGGGTCGAGTTGCATCTTCTGGCCTGCTTCTCACTCCGGGGCGGCGTCCTCATCCGATAGACGCGCTTGCCGGCGATTGATTGATTGATTGATTGATGCATCGAGCATGAATCGGCACTGCAGCCTGCAGGAGGACAAAGAGGCCGCCGTGAGTCTTGCATCAATGCGTGCGTCGACTCATCGTCGAGTCGGCGTCGTGTGTGGCATCGTACCGTATCGGAGCGGTGGCAATGGCGGTGAGATGGGATTGACCACCTGCGATGTTGATGTGAAGGTGGGAATAACGAAGAGGTGAAAGAGAAGCTGCCTCAGTAGACTTTCACACTTGTTGCTGCCCGCGCCGTTCGGTCCGAGCAACGCCCGTAGCGCAGCGCAGCGTTGCGAACCTTGTTCCGTCGACGACCTCCTCTCCTGTTCGACAACTACATCGATATCAACATCAACTTCTTCTTCAGAACCATATCAAGCGCAACGTGCTCCTCATAGATGAATACCAACCACGGCTTCATGCCCTGCCGAAAAGAGTCATCAACCAACAACCTCCCCCTCCCTTCCCCAGCCCCCTCCACACCCACTCAGATCAAAACATCCCGCGCTAACCATCGCGCATGCATGACGCCCGCACACCCACGCAACCTGCAACAAGCCATCCTTCATAAACCTACACATCCTCCCTTTTGCAAGATATATCCGTCCCTCGCCGGTTTCTCCCAAAAATCTCTTACCCGGTCCTCGCCTCTCGCGGTAGTTTCTAAGAAACAGCTCCGTCTGCACATATTTCTCTGCGTCTCCTTCACAATGCATATCGATTCATCGAGATTGTTTTCTTTGACTGCTATTTACCGCCGGACTTTTCTTTCACCTCGAGTGTGGGATGAAAGAAAGGAAAAAGTCCCTGCCTAAATGGTGGCGATCTGAAACCGGAGATGAGCGCGACCCGAGGACGACTGACTGACGACTCGGATCTGACCAATGTCTTGGATCCATGTCCGCTTTTGGCGGAGACGTGGATGGTCGTCACCTGAGTTCGTAATCTTCGAAATTCAGCAACTTTGTCGTACACCCTCTTTTGTCAACATCAGTCCACCTTCGCCGTCCTCAGCTACATCACGAGAATATTACTCCCCGGACTTTAGACTTGGAGCCGTCGTGGACTTCTAGTCGGCCGATATAATGACAGCTCTCCAAAGAAACTCCTATACCTTGAAGCCTGGTGCGTCAGATGAACACCTCGTACAAGACCGCGTGTTTCGCGTCCCCCCTTCGCGACACGTACACCTCGATGGCAAGGCAGCGATTACAGTCTGCTCCGGTGTGGTCAATCCCGTATTGCCTGAGATTAGAGAAAGTGTACAGCCTGGCCGTTCGCGTACCTAATGATAGAACTAAACACGCCTCAACAGCTTCGAGTACAGGAGTCAATACTTGGCCGACCTCTCAACTCTGCGACTGACGCCAGTCTCCGAGCATGCTCTCCAAATCAACCCCAACACGCCACTTACCCGTCCACGAGGCATGCAAGAAAGAACCAAGTAACTACAAAGCTCTCTTCACACCCACATAATGCTGACACATCCCATCTTTACACCCATCCACCCTTCCTCCCATGCCAATCCAACCCCAGCCCTACAAGAAATCGCAGCCCTCTTGCTGCACGGATATCGATCCTACCTTCACTCCTCTGAGTTCTGTTCTTGGTAACACACATTGTCATGTCATCAATTGACGAGATCACGTTCAGTCCATCTGACACCCACCCACTCGTTTGGTCGGTTGGTCGGAGAATTACCATCCGGTCGGTGAGTGCTCTCATGTCAGTCATGGATCTCTTCATTTGTTCATTGAACCCCATCGGGTACACGTATGCCTTGTCACCCAGGCAGATACCTCAAAACGTCCGCCTACCCTGCCGGCCCATCCACTTCTCCTGAGGACGTAGTCTGCCAATCCACACCGCGAAAAACCAAGGCATTCATATAGACCCCGAAAGGCACAAACGTGTGAGGTCTCCTACACTCCAGCACTGCTATCTTCAAGGCTACACCTCCCCTCCAGAACAGGCAGCCTGACCCCTTCGTAAAGACACCTTTCGACAAGGTGTCCTTCGCGAAGTCTACCCAGGGAGGTAATCTTGCAGTCTTACAGTCTACACACCCTTTTCTTCACGGGATGATGACACATCCCATTCAGGACACTCACCTGCCTACCCACTCGCCGTAATCCATACAACCCTTCGCTCTTAGTCCTGCCCCCCGTCCCAATGCAGCCCGTCATCCCCAATCCATCCACCCCCAACCCCTCCATCCAATCTTCAGCCCTGCATCCCAACTAAGCCCTACGAAATATCAGCCCTCGCCCATGTCTCCTCTTTCTCCTGCACAGATATCGATCCTCTACCTTCCACCTCCCTTTCTCGCTCCCATGTCACGCCTTTCTGTGTCCCTCTTTGGTAACGCACACACACAAGAACGCATAGTTATGTCATGTCATATTCTGGTTAAGGTCACGTTCAATCCATCTGACACATCCACACTTCCACTACTCGTTCAGTCGGAGAATTATCGTCAGGGCCTGGCGAGATGAGATGAGAATGTCTTCAGTTCACTACCAAGATTCTTCTTTTTTCGTGTCGTTTCGTACGGTAGCTGGAAGACCCTCGCCCAGCTTGCCAAGAATAGCAGATTACCTTACTTGGTCTTACGCATGCACACACACTCACACTCCCTCGTCTCCATCACCAAGAGAAGAGCTACCTCACCTGACCAACCCTCTCACAGCACCTCAACCCTTCTTCACACCTCCCTCCCTCTCCGCCATCCGCCTCAAAGCACTCATCCCCTCCTCATCCGCCTCAACCTCATAATCCGGCCTCTCCCCCTCCTTGAGATGCTCAGGAAGCACAACCCGACACGTCAACGCAAACCGCAAACACCCCTCCGGAACCACCTTATGCTCGAGGAACTGCTGAATCTCATAGCCCTCCATGAGCACGATATCCCCATGATTCAGCGTCACCGTCACGGCGTCCGGGGCGAGTTTGGATTTGTTGCTGTAGAGCCCGAGTTCCTGCGGCAGGGCTTTGCGGCGCTTGTCGTAGAGGGATCGGTTGGTGTCCTTCAGGGCTTCGATTTCGTTCCATGCGGCGAGGCGTTTCTCGTAGAATTCGGAGTGTTTGTAGCCGCCGGGGAGGGGGCGATCGGGCGTGAGGATCCCCGTCTTGGAACACCCCGTGAAATGCTTTTGCTTCATACGCAGCATCATCTTGGCTTTGCCGCCGAGGGACATGGTGGCGATGCGGGGACCGAGGCCTTCCTCGCCGTCGTCGTGGTATTCGATTTTCTGGCCTTGGAGGTAGGCGAAGATGAGTTCTTCGTTGAACTCGACGTGGTCTTCGCTGGAGAGGAAGTTTTGCGAGGCCCAGTTGAGGTCGGCGCGGACGGCGCGGACAGGCCAGGGGGCGGAGGTGAAGGGGAGGCTGGCTCCGCTGGCGACGAATTTGTACGGCATGCCGTAGTTCATGGAGAAGGCGGTCATGAAGTCGCCGTCTTGGATGGGTTCGGTGGATTGGTCGGCGGATTCGCGGTCGACTGCCGGCTGCTGTTTCGTGGGAGTGATGGTTGTTTGTCCTGCTTCCGTCTCTGCGGTTGGGAGAAGCGAGTCCTCCAGCTGGCTCGGCTCCATCATCGTGGTATCTTCGACGGCAGACTGATCGAAGAGAATAGACTGGTCCAGCGTCTCGTCGACATTCTGCTCAGAGGTTGACTTTCGCTTCGAAGGTCTTCCCACGGCCTTCTTCTGCTCAGCCTTATTGCCACCCATCTTCTCCCCTCCAAATCTCCGTCTCTCCAGATGCAAATCCATCTTAGGGTCCTCCTGATCTTGAATAGCTTGAAACATCTCATCCGCACCACCCGGCTCGCGATTGATCTTCGCATTTGAGATCAGATGCGTGAAGCTGCCGTTGACACCCGGCACCGTGTACTTGTAAGCCTTGAAGCCGTGCAGATAGCTGACTTCAACACTCACGCCGCCAATGTGGTTGTTTCGTGCGAGAGCAGGACCTTCGCCGATGTTGTCCATCGGGGTGTGAAGCATGGGCACTTTGACGGGAATGTGCTTAGGGAAGTTCTCAAAATCGCAGTCCGGGTTGTCGCATTTCCAGCCCTTGAACAGCCGTCGTGAACTGCATCGTCCACATTGGGGGCAGCAAATTCCTCGAGTATTGACGTGGGTCAGGTTGTCGCCGACGACGTTGCCGACGTCTGGAACCGATGGCTTGATGGTGTACGGCTCCTCTTCCACAGGCCACGGCGTGCGATCGAGAAGGAAGGCCGGATTGTAGTGAAGGAAGCCGTAAGGAGCATCGCGTCCGTTGTGCTGCCAGAATTGGCCACAGTCCGGATTCAAGCACATCCAGCCGAGGAGGTAGGCCTGAGCATACTCCTTGTGACAGTGGCCGCATTCCTGACGGAAGAGAGGTCCTGCAATCTGCCTATCCTCTTCACTGACGATACTCTCTTCAGGAGCATGCCATGCCGTCTTGTCCTGATTCATTCTCTCGAATCGATACTTGATCGTGGTGTAAACCTTGCCACGTTTGCCCAGTGTCTTCTCGCCCCATACAGCAATCGGCTTGTACCAGCCCAGGATATTGTATCGATATGGTAGCTTGCAGACCGCGCCTTCGTTGTGATTTCCTCCAATGAGGACAAGCGGATTCTGGAGAGTGACGTTGTTCAGCACTGACCGCACTTGGGAGTCTTTCATGAGGTGATCGCTGTTCTGCAGGAGCTGGCCAGGCTTTTCAGACTCCATCGAGCCTCCAGCTCTGGAGATGATGACGTCCGGGTCCATGTACTCTCTGCAGTGGCCGCGACTGTCGAGGAGGAAAGAGTACACATGACCACCATTTGAATGGCAACCGCTCTGAGGCATCTTATAGTATGGAGTCGTCTCGCAGAGTGCCTGTCTGCTGTCGGCCCACACTTCTGGTTGACCGCGAGTGAGTGGCTTCGAATCGATCGGTGCTCTGAATGTCATCTTCTCGGATAGTTCGTGGCGCTTGACAAGCTCAGGGTCGGCCGTGGAGAGATCGAGTTCAGAAGCTGGCCGTGAGTCGATGTCTTCTTGAGAATCAGGGGGTGTGAGCAAACCTTCCACCTCATCGAAGCCTCTGGGGGTCTTGAACTTCACAACCAGAGAAGATCTTCGCTTCTTCGCTGCACCAGACTCGCCATCGGCACTGTCCGGCTGCTTGCGCTTCCTCGTAGTGGTCTTGGGGGCGTGAGTCTTGGGAGCAAGAGTTCTAGGTTTGCGACTCTTGGTTTGCCTCTCAGCAGCAGCATTCGGCGGGCGTCCCAGCCGCTTCTTGCCCTTCTTCAAGGGTTCCGGTGATGGCTCGTCGACTTCTTCCTCGGTGCTCGAGGTTTGGTGGTCGTCATCTGCCTTCTCCTCCATGACGACGTCGCTGCGCGGACCGGCATCATCTTCGGTGACGGCAAAGCCGGTTTGCACGAAGTTACCAAGGCGCTGGATCTGCTTGGTGTTTCGGCGACTGCGTATCTGTTTCTGAGGCGGGGTTGGCGGAGGTGGCAGAGTTGGGGGCTGCGCATTCTGCGGTGGTACGGACATATCTGCAACTACGGCCGTGGTCGAGGTTGGATTGTTTGCTGCTGGCTGCTCGACTGGGTCTTGAGCAGTGGCATCCGCTGCAGGTGGTTGTTCGACCGGGTCTTCCGCAGTTGATCGCAAAATGTCCCCCGAAGCATTCTCGAACTCGAGGGGTGAAGTCATGTCAAGATCTCCCGGGACATCGCTCAACTCGCTCGACGTGTCCGACATTGGATCGTCCATCTTGCCTGCGAAGTGGCTGCCGAAGGATGTCGCAGAGAAAAACTGCCGTCGTGGTGTAGAGCGAAGGATGGTGGAGGCTTCGAAGTCGAGGGTGGACTTTTTGGAAGGAGTCGAGGGACCACATGTTTGCCCGGGCTTACCCGCGTTTGCTGTTGGTGAATATTCACGACTGTTTTGCCCGGGAGGTACCGAATCAGATGACTGCTCGGCTTGAAGAGGTGAAGATTCAGGCACATCATCTACTGGCTGGGTGTCATCTGAATTGACTTGCTCGATTGTGGCATTTGCAGTCTTCTTGCCACGACCTGCTCCTGGCGCAGCTTTCGACTTCTGCTTCGTTCCATCTGGCTTTGAGGCTTTTGCAGGAGCCGACTTGGGCTTCTTCGGATCTGCTTTCACTTTCGATGCCTTCGCCCCTTGCGTTGGAGCCTGTCTTGCTTTCGTTGCAGGTGCGCCCTTCGCCTTTGATACTGCTGCCTTGGCCGGTGCTTTGTTCTTCGAAGCTGCACCTCCTTTCACAGGAGGCTTCCGCTTCGAGTCTGCTTTCGTCTTTGTACGTTTCGAAGAAGGGCCGTCATCTCTAGTGCTCTGCTTGCGCTTTGTGCCAGCAGTCTTGCTGGTGGACTTGGCTTCTTGGACTTGCTCTTCGACATCACCGAATCCTTTCTTATCGAGGTCGAAGTAATTGATGGTCCTTCTCGCGCCTCGTGGCCGAGACACGCGCTCGTAGTCGGCAGGATCGAACCGTTGATCCATGTTGATGCTCTTCTTCTTGTTGAGGCAATCCGCTCAGTGTCCTCCTTTGAGGTCCGTCGAAAGCTGGAGTGAAGCCTACCATCGCCTTGCCGCCAACGCACAAAGTCACAAGCCTCCTGCAGGAAGCCGCTGATGTCGTGTCGTGCTCCAACCTTCACACAACGAAACAAGAAGGACCCCAAACCCCTCAATGGCCAATGCCTCCGCTCTCTCACTGCAATGACTCACCAGATCTCCTAATTCCCAAAGCACCTCTCTCAAGATGTCACCGTCCAAATCGAGTGATGAAAAGATGACTGAGTCATAAGATAGCGTGGGCGGAAACGGTCTGTCAGATGGTTGAGTTCGGAGCGGTTCGCGCGAAGATGGCAGCTGGAAAGGTGTATCGTTGATCTGTCTCAATGTCTTGGTGATGTATTCCAGATTTGCAAGGTCGGCAGATGGTTGTTGATGAAGATGGGTCGAGAGCGACTACAATAGTAAGTGAGGTGAAGTTGACAATAGCGCCACACCGTGGCGATTGAGTTCAGCGCGGGTTGACGGTGCTCCGAGCTTCATCAAGTGAGGAAGTCGCAGCCAATGCTGTTGAAGTGAGAGATAATCGCTCTGAGCCAGCCATTGGATCCGGCATTGGGTCAACGAACACGAGTCAGAAGCTCATCTTGAGTCACATGCAGAGACGGAGAAAGTCATGTCGTTCTGGCATTGAGGACGGCGCCGACGAAGTGAAAGAAGGGAAAGAGACAACATATTGAGAAGAGAGACATGGTATTCGTGGTGACCTGTCTGGTGTGCAATCGTAGAAGAAGATAGCCTGATCCAGAGGATGCAGAGGCATACGCAAAGTCCACCTTTCCTGCGTCGCAGGTTTGCCCAGTCAAGTCCCTCCACCCAAGTCTCCAGTGGTAGAAGTACAGTACCGTCATTCCTTTTCCTTTTCTCCCAGCTGGAAATCTTCTTTCTTATTCGTACAACCTTTCATCGACCGCCGTGATCATCCCAGCTGCTTATACCAGAGCACACAAGCAAATCCGTAGAGTTCATCATACCACCAAAAAGCAGAGCCCACAGCTGAAGATGCCCTTCTCTTCTTGCTGATGTCTCGTGCCGACGTGGGCACACTACATGTCCTGAAGAGAACAAATGGCGGCAAGTGGGTATCATCGAACTTGCTGAACGCAGAGACAGACGAAAGACAAGAATACCACCGGGGGTGGTGGTGGTTCAGAATGGCGATGAGCAACTCACTCAGTCGAGAAGAAGAGTCTTCGTGGCATCACCGACAAACTGTCGGCGATACTCGGCGATGCGCTTGCTGATAGCCTCGACGTCTTTGGCTTCATCAGTCGTGCGGATCTCAGTGATGAGAGCTGCAAGACCCGCCTTCCACTTCTTGACGTCTTCGGGATGCTTGGCTGGGATTTGGTCCGCTCCCATGAGCTTGAGGAGCTCGTTGTCTGGGAGTTAGTGAGGCTAGATTAGTATGTGCAAGCAGACAAACCGTTACGCGAGCGACGGGAATGAGAGTTGTGTGATGATATGTGCAGGAGGTCACATACCAGAAAGGGCCATATCCTTGAAGTGCTGATACTTGCAGGTCTTGTCGTTGCACTTTCCGCCTGTTGCCTCCCATAGACAGACAACCTTGATCGGGTCGATCTTGTGGTTGAACGTCAGAGACTTGAACCCACCGGCGACAGTCTCAAGGAACGATGGGTGGTAGCGATAGTCTTTGAAAACCCGCAGCAGGCTCTCGTACGGCGCGAACTTGGCTGCCGTTGCAGACTATGAAAATTTAGCAACTGCCCTCAGCCAGGGAACGTTGGGACATACCTGCGTCTCGGGCGCCGCAAAGTGCTCTCCGGACTGCTGGAGCTGCGGGGCAAGCTCGTCGTCGACGTAGTCATCGTGTGGATAATCCACTGCGTCAACGTTAGTCTCAGATCCGGCAGGGTCGTCGACCATCTCGTTTGAGGAGTCGCGTGAGGGCATTGGAGGTGGCTCGGGCATTGGCATATCGACGGGCATTGACATATCGGTTGGCAGTGGCATATCGACAGGCATTGGCATCTCAGCGGATGGCGTGGCGGCAGTCTCTGCGTTATCGTCAGTAAAGCCATAATACTCATTCAAATCTTCTGTGGTGTCACTCGAGGTGTCCATAGCACTCTCGGTGTCATCATCATCATCCTGCGCATCGCCATCGCCAGTGCCGGTAGTGTTCACAGCTGGTGGAGCTCGTGGTGCAAGTGGCCCAGATGTCTCATAGATTTCATCCAGGTCGTCGTCATCCTCGATCTCCATGTCGGCTTCTTCGTCGGGCTGGTAAGATGCCTCTGGTTTGAATGGCTCCACGTTCTCAGCTGGCGCTTCAACGTGTGGTGCAGCAGAGAGTCCAGGGGTCTTCAGCATCTTGGCGTCGAGCATCACCGGAGTAGGATCGGCGAGCTGAGCAGCGAGTGCTGGGTCGCAAGCTGGAGTACCTGCGTCTGAAGCAGATCCGCTAGGCGTCGCGTTGTTGTCGAGTGCGGATCCTGTCTTCTTGAGCTTCTCCAGCCTCTTTCTCTCCATATCGGCAAGCTGCTTCTTCGCTTCTGCAAGCTGCTTCTCCTGAATCAGTGCCGCGTTTGGCGTGGTCGCAGTCTGACGTGCAGGACTCTGGTTGACGGGGGAATCGGAATGTTGAATAGGGAAGGCGTTGAAAAGTCCGGTCTGGCCATTGCGCTTCTCTTGCTTCTCGGCAGTGTGACCATTTGCCTGGGCTCCGTCTTCACTCTCGACGTCGCTATCGACGATGACAAATGATTCATCCTGTGATGCAGTCCTGCTCATGCCGAAAGGCCGCTTCGAGTTGTTGGCAACCGCCGTCGTGGCCAAGCCCTGATTGGTGTTGAAGTGATGTGGGCCTGGGGGATGCTGTTGCTGGGTGCGTGCAGCAGTAGAGGAGCCTGCAGTAGACGATGGTCGAAACGCCGGCTGCTGCGCCTGCTTCGTGGCATCGAGTTCTGCTTGCGAAGACCGCGGAGCTGTAGCTATACCACCGGTGAACAAACCGGGCAGGCTGGATGCCTGGTTGCTCGTAGAAGATGCTCCTGCCTGTGGCTGGATCGCACCTGAAGGGCCAGCGAGGTTCTGCTGAACTTGGGCGGGATATCCACCTGGAGGTTGGGTAACCGACAAAACAGTGGCAGCGAGGGCCACTGTAGAATCATTGGCCTCCGTCGCAGCAGCATCCACTCCACCTGTCGACATAGCAAATGTGGAGGTTTCAGTCTTGGGAGCTTCGGACTTGGCTCCATTCTGAGCTTTCTGAGCCTTCAGAGCCTCAAGTCGCTGACGAACAAGGTCCCTATCGATTGTTCGCTTGGGCTGTGTCATCTTCGTGGCCGTCGCAAAGACTAGCGCCGTCTCCTCCTCCTCTGCCGACTTCACATGCGACTCGTCTTCTGCACGCTTAGCTTGCCATGGGTATGGCTTCGATTTGGGGTCTGGCTGTGGAGCTTTGGTGTTGGATGCTGAAGGCACAGGAGACTCCTTGTTTGCCCGCTTGGACTTGGCAGCCGAAAGCTTGGCAAGGTAAGTAGCGCGGTCTTGCTGTGCTTTCGTAGCCACAACCGGGGTCGTCGTGTAGCCACGTGAAAGCCCGCAGTCCTCCCAGAAGTCCTCGAAGCAGGACTGGACTGATGGCGGGAGTTGGTTGACGATGCTAGTGTAATCGTTGCCATTCTGGTACAGCCGAACGAGGAAGTCCTTGGCCTGGAGCTTCTTGCCGGCGCTCTTGCCGGCGCTGTTACCGGCGGCGGTTGCTTGTTGATTCGACATCTGAGTGCCAGTCTTCGATGCACCGGCCCTAGGTGGGTTGGGCCGATCGAACGCGGAAGGACGGCGCGCACCAGCAGCTGCGGCGGGGGCTGGTGATCTAACGCGGAGTTGCTTTGAGGGGCGACGGGACGGATTGAAGCGTGATTGCGGGCTTCTAGAGCGCTTGCGAGGGCCCTTTGGCGGCGTCTTCAGAAAGCCTCGCGACGCGGCTGATGGCTTGGGTGCTTCTGGTTCATCGTCTACCTCGCCCTCCTCTTTGTCCATGTCGATATCTTGAGTATTGGGCTGGGTGGTATCGGACTGCTGGCTGGCTTGCAGCTGAGGTGGCTGGCTCACAACTGGAGCAGGTGCTGCGGGCTGTGGAAGCGCGGGAATAGAAGGCGGAGGCAGCTGGATTGCGCCAGACTGAAGCAACTGAGCAACCTGCATGAGCTGCTGGGGACTGATGTTCATCTGCGCGAGCATCTCCATGGCGTTGGGCGGGAGTGCCGCATTCTGCTGATACGCGGCTTGTTGGGCTTGCATGGTGGGTGCGATATTGGTGGGGTTAGGCTGCGGTGCCTGCGAGGATGAGGAGGTGGTGTTGGACGGCTGCCCGCCCGGGTGCTGCTGGTAGAAAGGAGGGTTCTGCGACATGGCTGCTGTCGTCAAGATGGGGTGTGATCACGTGGGAGATGTAGGAGGCAGCGAGTGCGCATAGTTGTGTGTTCTGGTGCGGTGTGTTGCTGAAGTCGCTGCTTCACAGGTGGCTTGCTGCAACACACGGCGCGTGTTGTTTCTCTTGCCTTGTAGGGTGGTGGACGGCGGTGGCGCGCGGCGGACTGCTTTGTTCAACGCCAATATACGCGGCCAACTGCTTGATGAGGTCCAAGAAGCGCACCAACGTCGCCGTCGCGGTGTGCGCAAGACTCGAGGGGGTGTTGCTGGCGGCGTGAAGGGTGAAGCGAGAGTTGTGACTGCCCTTTCTCAAGCGCCGATCGGCGCTAAGCCGAAATCGGTGGTAGGCCGGGGTGCTCAAATAGGAAAGATCAAAACAGAGAGCTGCCGCCAGTGGAGGCGTCTCGCGTGGTAGTATCATCGCCGGCGGCCATCTCAGCAACAACACCGCTTCGCCTGTACATATTCACCACTTCGCCGCCGTCGCACCATTTTCGCTTATTGCTGGGGTTGATGTGTCC